CATTCATAAGCTGATGTCAGAAGTACCAGAAGGTGAATCAGTTTGGTCCTCATGAAACTAAACTAATACACAGTGTTCACCAGCTGGGCTCCTTGAGTCACAATAGTCTCTGTAGACGTCCACGGATACCTTTATGCTGCTGTTGATCCGTGAGACACACAGAAGACATCCAAAGATCCAGATGTGTCTCAGCTGGACTTCAGTCAGAACACATCAGACAGAGCCTTTCTCAGAATTTTTACTTACCCACAAGATTTGAAGTATTGTACCGCTCTTTAGACTGAGGCCTCTCGACGATGTACAACGGCTCGCGGCTACCAACATTTTGTAAAGGCAGTTATTTGTTTTAAAGCCACCTGAACCCTTCGCCAATTTATACTCTGTTCAAATCTACATCAACGGATTCTTCTACAAATCTTCTTCAGGGAAATCGTCCAGGAAGTAGAAGCGGTTGTTGGACAGCTGAGAGACGAAACGTCGTCCAACCCAGAGAATCCCAGACGGCCATTCCGCCTCTAGATCCTACGTCCCAGGTGGACTTCAGTCAGAACTCCTGTGACTCTTTCTGTTCAGGAATCTTTTTTTGCAATGCAGAGACAAACAAAGGAAACAAGTAGAGCTGCTGGTCCCAGTGCACAGAAGAGGCCGATCCTTCCTCGATGATCTCCTCTCAGACTCGTATCACTCGTTGTCTCATGTTCGGGCCGATCCTTCACTGCTGCAAAGAGACCCAACAAATCTGTTTTATTAATGTAAAGAAAAATGTTTATTTATCTGAATGAAGCTTCTGAATTAAACATGTTAGTAAGTTTAACTTAATGAACCTACCAGTGACATTGAGGTGACATTCCTTATAGTTCTTGCCATAACTTGTGTCGACTTTACACCAGTACAGCCCCGAGTCATTAGTCTGGAGTCTGGAGATGTGAAGTCTGAGTCGTCCTTCTCTGAGGACGTCTTTGTCCCACTGGACTCGTCCTGCAAAGCGTTCATCCTGCAACTCTGGAACTTCGACACCTTCATGTAGATCAAACAGGACTGAAGGTCTATCAGAATTTATCATCTCACAGGTGATATGAAGGGAGTTGGGGGAGGGGTCCGTGCTGGTGGGGAACATCCATTCCAGTGAGATGTTGTGGTTCTCCTCTGCATGATACCAGCTCTGTGTCACATTCACTACAAATGACCCTGAGGAGACAGAGAAGGAGAGGAGGAGGTGACAAACTGACAGCTTCAACATGGAGCCTTTAGACTCCATCTCCAGATGTTTCTGAGGAGTGTGTGCTGATGCTTCACAAACAAACATGAACTCACCACAGAAACAGGAGGTCAGGATGAAGATCACCAGGATCCTGCAGATCATCTCCTCCCTTTGAGAGGAGACAGAGGAGAGAGGCTCAATATCACATCACAATCTACAGTGTGTCTTTACATCGTGATGCTCTTTGTGTTTCTCATCGGCTTGTTACAAACACACAAAGCGTTGATGCTAATGACGACCTCCCTGAGAACTACAACCACAAAGTAAAGCTGGTTTCCCTGAAGATGTTTCACTCATAGCCATTACTTATTCAGGGAAGCTAAGCTTTACTTTAAAAAAATTGTCACACTATAAAAAAAACTATAGAATCGGCTCAATAAATGTATTTGCACAATGTTTGTTTGGGTCGATTTCACCACATGTTCAAAGTAAAGCGTACCTGCGTTTTACAACTAAGATACACTAAAAGAAAAGAGGTAAAACTTATACAACTGATTACTGATACAACTGATTAAAGTAGGTAATATTAACTCTAGATTGTGTAGTGCACACAAAGTGATAGAAATTATAGTACAAGTAGAAATGTTTAGTCTAGAATTGTAGTTTGTGTGATGTAGGATATTAGTTATTACATTAGCATGTTAGATGAAGTGAATGCAATAAGAATCAAACATAATTTATAGTCATGTAATACATATAAACACTGTACACATTAACATCCTGTCACGATGTAATGTTAAAACCTGGGGACGGAATTATTCATGGATTTATGGATTTCTCCCAAACAGGGTTTTTGGGGAGTTTTTTCTCCTGTCAGGAAGTAGATGAGCAACTGAATGCAAGACAGCCGATTGAGGCAAATGTCTTGAGTATTGGACCATGTGAACTACGATCATTTATGATGCGTTTTATTTAGAGTGTACTTATGAGACCCCGTGCAGACGGACTCTAGTTTGCCTGAACCCGGTGAACCCCGTCCCCGGACAGCCCTATCGTGCAGACGAACGCACTGTGCGTAATTCACATACAGAAAAGCTTCATAAAGGCCTAAGATGTCTGCCTGGGAGCCTCAAACACTCATCGATCTCATAATAGACTAAACTAAACCCTCATGGAGTAAACGGGAGCGCTCATCAAAGTCTGTGATTGCGCAAAGGTGCGCGTTGAGAATATTAAGATGAATATTAACAAAATGATTATTAAGATGAATATTAACTAAATAATACATCTGTTTTATTTTTCGATGGATCAGGTTATATTTGACCTGTAAACAATAAATTGCATGTTTTTACAGTTTAATTCTATTTAATCAACAAAAAAGAGATCAACCGTAAATATCCACGAATCATCACATAATAAACACCAACATTAAGTCATTCTCTCTTTACCATGGACGTCTTGAGTGATGTGAACTGAAGCTCTTCAACAAGTAAACTCCTCAGTCAGTCAGTTTCATTCCAATCCATTTACAGAGTTAAGAATTAAATTCCCGGACGAGGATCCTTCCTGGTCTTTGTTTCCACTCGTAAAGCGTGTGGAAGTGTTTCCTCCTTCGGGAATGAGCGCACTCACAAAACTTTGACTGAGGTGTGAAAGTAGTCCACTTCCTCATTTGGGGAGCAGTAAAAACAAGTAACGGTTAGAAAAACGTTAAATGTTAAAATACGTTAAGCGCTGTTCTGAGCTTCAATTTCAACATTCAAACTACATTCACTTAAATACGTCCACAGGCTTCTCTTATGAGTTAATGAACTGTTGTCTGCAGGCACGTGGAGAGACATTTTGGGGGGCAGGTGCTAAAACCAAAACCACCCCCCCCCCCCATCCCCACTCATCCCAATTATTTATGTATATAATAATAATAATAATGAAGAAAAGAATAAACACACTATTTTCCAGCTTATTCATTTTTTTTTGGTTGATTCTCTTGGAACTCAAAATGTCAAATTGAATAAATAAAATGAATATCAGGGCAAAAACATGCGAAACAAGGTCATATTGTATAACAAAATAATATGTTAAATAATCAAAATATATTCTAACTCAATACTTATCAAAACTCTGGTCTGAATAAATTAAAGGAGCTTCACGGGAGCATCCTCCTTGGTGCATCTCTTGGAAGATGTTTACTGTTTGCTTCACTGTTTACAATTGAAGCATAAGCAGCTTTACACTAAATTTTTTTTGTTTGTTTATTTTTGTTCTTAAATGTTGATGAATGAAGAAAAAATGAGGCACCAGCAGAAGGGGCACTTTTCTCATTCTGGGCAAAAGGGCAAGTGCTTGACGACCATTAGAGGACTGTCTGCAGTGTCCCTGTCTGTAACTTGTCTGTGACCTGCAATGGATGTGAATGTATTGTTAATAATAACAACATAGACCTTCTTCAGTAAAGTAATAGGACTTTTAAATTGTAAAGTTAAAAGGAATCTTTATGTGTGGATGTGATCTTGACAGTACGACTACGCACATTTTTTTTTATGTAAATTATAATAGTTTAATGGACCCACATGCAAAAAGGTAAAAAGCTCTTATGGTGGTGTTTAATGCTGATGGTTTAAAAAGCAGTGAATGGTTTAACCCCTTTTCATCATTTTAACGACTGTTCTTCTTTTATGTTTCAATCATTGTTACAGTGGATCTGTATCCTCAAAGAGGCTCTGACAGAAACAGTGTGGGAACTACTGCAGTAGTGCAAGTAAAGAGAACCTGGTTGATTGACAGCAGTTAGAAGTATAATCACGTGTCGCCCCCCGGTGGATTGAACAGGTATCGTCTTCTAGTTGAACATCTACGTCCTGCTCCCTGATAGACACCCATTGGTCCCTAAGCTGTTAGATGTGTCCATGTCTCATAATGTCTGTCCTTAACATTTTTCAAAACCTCAGAGAACTTTTCAATCGTCACTAATCATATCTGCACCTGAGTCAGATCTTAATCTACAGCTTCTCCGTCTCCGGTCACTCCAACACATTTTCACCAACTCTGTTCTCCTCTCAAACTGTCCTTCTTATTGTCCCAGAGAGTCGGCAGATTCAGGAATGTCCCCACAGAAGCACAGAGGGGGAAAGTCCCCTTCAAGGCCTCTGAGGCCTCACGTCACACCTACCAGGTGTCCACCTGCACCTGGACGTCTCCTCTTAACGCAGACCTGCTGTCACTTCTCCGTACTTGTCTCACGTGTCTTGTGTTTTACAGTCTTAATGAATGCACAGAGTAAAATATAAAAAAACAAAAACACCTTTACATGTTAATGTGTCAATAAGAATGATTTTATACCTCTTATAATAACTAGTTTAAGCCTAAGTAAAAAATACAGAGCAGACCATGCTGCCTGTAATATGGCTGATTATATTACCTTTAAAAGTTTGGTCTTATAGAAGGTTAAAACTTAAGCACTTGTCTTAAGTTCGCTGTATTTACAGAATACTGATAAGTGTGTGTACCTTGTATGCTATGTGTACTTAATTTGTGCTTCTCTCTTAACATTTACCTTCATGTGATACATTTGTATTGTTGAGGATGGTTTTCACTCGTGTCGTGTGACTTATTTAATTAATACAACAAGTGAAGAGGCTGATTGGAGTTTTAAGACACTTTTTATTTTATGTCTATAAATATATACCATTAATTGTCGAGGTAAAAGAAAACGGCAAAACAGAGCAATTAAGTTGTTTTTGATGCTGAAATAGGCGAGTTCGTGTCACGTGGACCAAGTTGTTTATCACGTGATCAGCGTGTCATACGCCTCTTAAAACACGCAGCCGGGTAACTTGGGGCGCTCAGTGTTAGCTGTTGGTGTAGCTAGCAATGCAGCTAACAGAACCTAAACTCGGTGCACCACGTTCCCCCGCCGGCTCTGCGGTGCTCTGCTGACGTCCCGGTCTGGTATTTGGAGCCACACATAACTTTGTCAGACCGGTGACCTCAGGCAGCACCATTGAGCTGCCTCCAACACGGCTAGCATTAAGCTAGCTGGAGCCCGAGCAGAGCTAGCCCGTTAGCTAGCTGGTTAGCAGCGATGGAGTGGCTGGGTGACGGAGCCCCAGCTTACCGCGATGAAGAGTCGAACATCGACACAGCTTCTTCGGGGGAGGCGTTGGGTGGTGTTTATCCTCCCCGACAGGTAATTAGTTAGCTTAGTTCGTGCTGGGGGTCAGGTCGTTGGGGACGTTAACGTAACGTTATTTAAAGCACGCTAACTAGCAAGCTAACCCTGCTCGGGGGATTGGGGAGTGACTTCATGTTTACCTCGATCGCTTGGCTGCAACGTTAAGCACCTTACGGCCTCGCGTCTGTTTTTCAACCGTGTGAGATGCCTGCGTCTGTTTCTACCTTTGCTGTTGCATTGTCCGGCTAAATGATCACATTAAACTGCCAATAACTGGCGATGCCCGACCTCAGTGCCAAGGCTGCCTGTTAAAGGGAATACTGACCCTTAATGCAAACCCCCACTGTCCCCTCATGTCCGCTACACGCGTGTTATTTGCTGTGTCATTCTCCTCTCCCCAGTCGTTGCTATTGTGGGACGCTAACTGACTGGCTGTATCTGTTGATGAATGGATGATGATGATGGCCACCAATGGATACAAGCCGTTATCTTTTATTTTTACCCCCCTCGCCCCACCCTGTGCTAAATACAGCTGCTTGGCTTCTAAGACACATGGCTTTATTTGAGTGTGTGAGTCATAGTGAGAGTGTTACATCTCTAAGCCGAGCCACTTACAGTTGACTTGAGTCCCTGACCGCATATTCATTTACTCTCAAAGTCCTAATCTTTTCTGTTGTTCTTCCACTTTCCTCAGTCACCGTCATCGCACTTTTGTGACTGCGCCACGGCGACACTTTGCCAGAGCCAGCACCGCTGTGTGAAAGCGTCCATCGTCTCCAGCTGGAGACTGGCGGAGGCCCAGGATCAGCTTTGCTCGCTGGGCGTCCACAGCTCCGAGTCCCTGGAGCAGGAACGCGCTCGGACTCTGGCTTGCCCCACGGAGCTCACGCACAACGAGGAGGAGTGGCGGCGCAAGGAGAGCATGCTGGGATGCCAGGGGCCCAACCGCGGTCCTGTGCTCGGAGCTGTCAGAAGTTGGGATGTGTTTGATAAGGTGAGGAAACAGTTGGGCTTTTTTCACATTTAAGTAATCTGTTTATGCATGAGAAGTCTTGTGGTCACAGAATCATTTGTTCTTACTCAACTGTGTCTACCTACTGTGTACTTTTCATTTAATAACGTTATCAACGTTATCAATCAATGTCTTCTCTCTCTTCCAGAGTATCATCAATTCCCCAAATGAAACGGTGGAAAGGGATCAGGACAAGAGCAAGACGTTTATCCAAAAGTTTGACCAAGAGCTCAGGCATTTTGGTAAGCCCTCAGGCTAATATTAAGACTGTTTGTTTGGTTTCATATGTTTGTTTCACTTGGTTGCTCAACACTTTTCTTAAAGATTGTTGCAGATTAAGGTGGAATTTCTTTTCCAGCTTTGCTGAAATAGTGACCTGTCATGTGCACATTCTATTTATTGGCAGAATGACACAAAAATCTCACATATGTATTTTTCTGATGTCAATTTGATGAATTCAACACCACTAAACTAATGTTGTTGATTTTATATAAACATGCAAAATCCAGGTTATTGGTTATGTCTTCAGAGAATGTCAACCTGTTTTTCATCCATTCCACAGGTATGTTGCGGAGATGGGACGACAGCCAGCGGTTCCTTGCAGACATGCCTCAGCTCATATGTGATGAAACGGCCAACTATTTAATTCTGTGGTGCATGAGGCTGCAGCAAGAAGAAGTAAGTCGCTAAAAGATCAGGCTGGGGTTTGTTTTACTATCGGAACAATTCATCTACAATATGTTTAGTCAGTCTGATGTGCTTGATGCCTCTGTGGGCGAGAACTCTTGACAGTTTCTGTAAAAGTCTGTCATAAGAGCCACCCACAGCCCTAATAGGTGGCATGTTACACCGTTAAGATCAACTCGTTCTGTGTAGTTCCTCTCAGCTGGTCACGTAAACATGGAGCCGCAAGCCTTCTACTATGAACTGTCACCTGCTAACATCAAAATACAGCTGTTTGCTTGTTAAAGTATAAACTCCCTTCTGCCAACAGAGTATTACCCTTCCAAATAAAGAAATATCCTCCCTGCTTTGAAAGTCCCAAACGTGGGTATTCATTTTAAACTAATTCAAACAATATGAAGTGTCACATGATATGAACGTGTTATAGATACAGAATAGTGCTGTCAGTGCTAATCTGTCTTTTAGAAATCTGACATTATGGGTAGGATGCCTCCGAAACGTTGCCACAATAAAACACTCAAAAGTGTCTGTAAGCTCACATCACATTCTGCTTAGCTGTCAGAATTCACTAATTACGGATGCCGAGTGACGTGATACCCGACTTTAGAAATGCGTTTCTGTCCTGTAGAAACAAGCACTGATGGAGCAGGTGGCGCACCAAGCTGTAGTCATGCAGTTCATCCTGGAGATGGCGTCCAACTCTCAGCAGGATCCTCGAGGCTGCTTCAGACAGTTCTTCCACAAAGCCAAAGTAAGACAAAAGCATCCAATTATTACTGTGACTGTACTTCAGCCCCCAGTGTCTCTATTGCTCTCAATATGTTGAAGGTGACGTACACAGTGTCACCTTGGTTGCTTCGTAGGAAGGTCAAGACGTCTACTTGGAAGTCTTCCATGCAGAGCTCGAGGCCTTCAAACATCGAGTGAAGGAATACGCACTCAAGTCTAGAGGTGATACGACCAACCATGGGGAACAGCAGCACACCGGCACAAACTACAAGCTCGGCCCCAAAGGAGCCTCGGACTCTTTGCCTCCAGTAAGTGCTCCCCCTCTTTCATAGGCGGTTGCAGTGACTCCACGCGGCTGTCAGGTGGCCCCATTGAGCTGCACGTTAGTGCAACGGCTCAATCATTTTTTTTCTTATTCATATATTTCTTGAATGAAATAGTTTCACATGAAATACACATGCAGCCGCTGGGGAAAGTTGGTTATAGCCGCAACCAGGACCCTGAGCTGATGTCGCTGGTGATCGCTGACGCCAAGCGGACTTTCGTTTTTGGTTTTTAGTTCTACTGGACTCAGTCGGATGTGCTCCTTGGTAGTGTCATTAGGCGTCCCAAGTTAAAACTTTAAGAACCTGACTGTAGCGCACAGGAAAATATCAGATCAATTCATCTTGGTGGCCATCATCAATTCCACTGCAGTGTAATCTTGAGACTGTTACACGGGGGATAGTTTTCATAAGCTGTGCGTGGGAGCTACTATTTAGTTATTCTTAAATATTATTGTTTAATTTCTTGGGTTGATATAGTATTAAGATAGCTTTTTCTGTTTTTGTTTCAATCATGTTATGCGCATAATTGCATATACGTTTTCCAATCCAAACAATAAAGTGCTGACCTCTACGCTCCGTCTTGGTCTCCTCCCACTAATCATCACGTCAGCAGCTCGGGTAACTCAGAAACTCCCCGACCGTTAAGTATTAGCATTATTAGATCATGGTTCTGTTTGCTAGATCATCAGTGTGCTTCACACACTCCACCATTCATAAAGGAAACGTTACACCTCTCCAATAATAGACGAGAAAGACTTCACATGCTTTTGTACTAAACTTGACCTTTAGTTGCTTGAAGCCTTTTATGGTTGTGAGAACGAGAATGAGGCCTCCTCCCCTCTGTTGGCCCCAAATCTTGACTAGCTGCCAAACCTCTACTAATCATCCTCCTCCCAGAGGGAAAAGATGGCCACCCAGGAATGTGACCGGGCCTGTTGAAAGCAAATCCTGTCTCTTCTGCTTTTGAATTTTGGCTGTTCTTTATTCTCGTAGCGACCCGTATCGTCTCCTTCTGAGCTCATAGTTTCTGAGGGGTGATTTGGACGAGAATTCACACATGACACATGTGTTCTTGCAAAGAAAGGCAGGTGTTGTTTCTTGAGTTCATGACCAGATGTCTAGTTTCAGTTCACTGTTTGGGCTTTAGATTGTTCAAAAGGCAGAAAGTAGTTACATAACTATCAGAATCCTTTAACAATAGTAGATTAGCCCCCCGCCCACCTCTCTGCAGCCTGATTTTAAACATACATTTGATGTAAATTTGCATGACGTTCCTCTGCTATGAAAGCTCTCTGATCTTCTCCCTCCACTAGGTGGCAGAATATCCTGTGAAGCTCCGTTTAGAGGCTGGAATGTGGACAAATACAGGAAGGTGGACAAAGGACGATGCTACAGACGATATACTCATGATGGAGACCACCTAGTGGTTGTGGGATCCAGACCCGGCTTTCCCTCCACCACCACCACCTTCCCATTTAGGAACACCCCGAGTTTTAAGCCCTTTTTACTCGGCGGACGCGGCTGAAAGGAGCAGCGCAAAAGCAGGAATCTAATGAGACGGGATCAGTCTTTGACAAATGTTTTCCATCAGCAAACATTATTTTCCTGCATTTCTCTGCCACTTGGTCTCTTCACAGCAGCTGAACAGATGTGCAGAAAGCCACCCTGCTTTTAAAGAAAGAAGAGACTAATTTAAAATGATAACCGACAACACAAAGAATATTACACAAAAAAAGTCTTTGGACAGTTCGCTACCAAATTGAATGGCTGACGGAGTCTGATGTCCGAGGAGCGTTTATTTTTTTTATTTTTAGCTGCTTAAACGAATCGTGAGAAGCGAAACTGACAGATCCGTTGCTCTGGAGTCTCGGTATAATACAGGTGGTCTGTAAAAACAATTGAGTTTCAATCATGAGAGGAAAAGAAAGGATTGCGGAGTCTGGAATGAAAAGAGGAACCTCTTTACCGGAGAGTTTCAGACCCGCCGGTTGAAAACATACACAATAACACAAACACGTTAAAAACATACACGACCTCATATCTTTTTTTTATTCATTTACTAAGAGCTTACCGGTCAGCTGCATGCGACTGAGCAAAGCGCAGTGTCTTTGTGTTTAGTGAAGTAATGTCTGAACTTGTACAAACACAGTTCCAGTTTAATTTATTTAGTTTTCGTTAAGCTTTTGGAGCTCTGGGTCAGACTATCAGACTCCCATGTGATCCGCATGTACTGAGTGGAAGACGACCGACTGGGGCTCATTATGAGGAGGCGATACATAGTGAGGTGTTTGGTAGCTGGATCAGAGCTGTCTACACGAGGCAGAGATGCTTCCAAAACAGCTTTTGAGTAGAAGACAGTTTGCAGAACCGACTTCGGAGGACGTGATAAACTTCCATCTGAAGCAAAGTACTCGCTGTGTTGCCTGGAGCAGATTAATAGAGCCATTAAAGCGCCGAGTAATCCAACATCCTCCTTTTTCAAATCTGCCATTCAGCTTAAATCCAGAATTGTATTTACTGTCTTCACCGTTCCAAACTGATCCAATGCACACAAAGCTTTTCTCATCACTGTAGAATCTGTCGAGCTCGTGCCGCTGGTTTTTGTGGTTCTCTCTGCTGCATCAGCTCACATTCTCCTCTGTGACAGAAGTCGGTTGCCCGTTTACCGAAGCGGCTTACCAAGAAAGCCGCAACCAATAATGAGCGCACGCCTTCCTCAGTATGCGAGACAACGCGACGTCTCGGCGCGCTATGCAGTGAAGCCAAGCTGCGTTTTTTAGAGGGACAAACTCGACCTCGAGATGGTGTCGATTGTAATAGTTTGTAATTGTTTTTGTTTAGCTGCCGAATATTCATCCACTGACTGATGCTCCTCCCCCTGTGAGTCACCCGTCGGGGCTCTCACACGGTCAAGCCTCGTCTCGACCGGCGCACGCCGGCGGTGAGGGCGGTTTGCTCACAGGATCACAGGAGAGCCGCGTGGGACGGAAGTCTGTGTCGTGCTGGTGGAAGTTCCTCATTGTGAAGGAGGTGAAAAGCACCGCTATGGAGGGATGATGATGATGATGGGGGGGGGCGGTAGAGCCGGCCCTGCCACGAAGAAATCTGTGATGTATGTTAGTCTGCAGAAAGGAAGTCTCTGCATCTGAATGTGTCCTGCACTTTATATTTCTCTGCCGAGGTCCAGAGGATTTTAAACAGTTCTCACCGCTGCCGTATTTTGACACCATTTTATTCTTGTCGGCTTCCAAACTTTAAAGCAGGCTTTAGATGAGCGTGTGTTTGGAATTTTAGGCCCTTTTTTCTTTTACCTTTTTGTAGGCCGTTGTTAGCTGACGTCTTTTTTTTCTCTTTTTTTTACAGGCAAAATCAGTGAAAATCTGCCTGAGCAGTTTTATTTTACTACAGACCGAGGGATTAAATGAACCATGTGATGCATTAAAGTACAATGCATGTGTGGACTTCACTGAGCATCTGTGTGCTGCAGCGCACCCGATTCACTATTCTGTATTTCACAGCGCTCGTGTCCGGCAGCATCCTGAAGTGTGTAAACATAAACCAAAGTAGTGTACGCAGTAAAGCAATGTGCTGTTGTGCTTTGAAATGTACTTTTTTTTTTTTTTCTTTCTTTCTGTCCAAAGTTACTAATCCACTATGCAAACTACGTGTCTGGCTTGGGGCTGTTATACTAAACCTGTGTCCGGTGTCTCAACATCCTAAATAGTCACGAAACGTGTGAGTGAAGATTGAGAGACTTACTGTAGGAATGTCCGTCACGAAGCTTTGAGCTTTAGGAAAACAATCCACTTGTCGTTCATAGTAGGATTTGTCTTCTTGTGCTGCTGTTTAACAACTCAAATATAAAACAAGTGCTAAATGTTTGTCTTGATGTCAACTCAACTGCTACAGTTTATAAACCCGCAGTCACGACTGCACGACGTGGTTCCTCTGGCATTTATCATTTAAGGAGCCTGAGATGTTTATAAATCCATCAACACAGTGACGATTTACATGATAAACAGATACAATATTTGCTGCGATTGGGAAAGTTTTAGCTCATAATTGTTCAGGCATCAAGTAATTTCTGAGTTTGGCCCAATTCCTCTGCAGTAGCTCGATTTACAAGTAATCAGGTTTAGAAAGAAGTGAGTTGGTTAGTCTGCTCCTCATCGCCGGCCGTTAAAGACCGTCAGGTCTTCATAAGAAAGCAATAATGCACCAAAATCCCCAACAAACCGTCTGCTGCCAGTTTGCATTGTTTGGTAATGTTGTTTGCACCAACAAAAGAAAAAGAATCCGAAAAGATTGTTCATGATTCTCTTTATCACATGTTATAAAAGCAATCAGTGGAGAAGGATTCTTTCAACTGTCTGTTTTAGGACACAAGTATCCAAATTAGTCCAATTAAATCAATGACTGGGAAATGACTTGTGTTATTCTGGTGTACAATAATATCATTTAGTATCAGACATTTGCACAGTACAATTCAGGAGTCATTAGATTACATTTAAAAGGCATTTCTGTTGCTTTAAACCCAGTGAAACATTCTTAAGACTCAAGTGCAAAGACACAGAAGGGCAGATCAACTTTGTGATGCTTCAAACAAAAAGACAACCTCGTACCAAATGTGCTTAGAATGTTATGAGTTAGTACACTTTTCTTTCAATAAAGTTTTAAATGGTCAAGTAGCAATAATTAAATATCATACATTTATATTACATTGTAATCACAAGGAGCGACTGGTTGAAATGGAAACTGCATTTCAGAGGCAATGCGAGTAAGAACGTGATTAAAAGAATGATGGTTTGATTAAAAAAATGTAAAACTATTTAAATTAAGTGTGGTTCATACATTATTCAATCTGGTCCACATTCATGGAAAGAATCTACAAACTACATTCACTGAGCTATCGGTGACCCTTTTCGGAAGCAGTTAAAAGCCCTTAAAAGTGCAAAAGTGAATTTCCAGTAATTTGTACAACTTGGATCGATTCCCTTTCGTATATTCTGTCTCGTATTAAAAAATAAATCATGATTGCAGCTACAAAACCTAAACATTAAGAATTCCATATTCTACTGTTAGATATCTTGATATTTGATTCGGTGAAGCATCCTGGCTTTAAGGCACTTTTTTTTTTTTTTTTTAAATAAACTCTTAGCGAGTTAATGTGTGAAAGCTCGTAGGCACACCTGAGTATCTCCCACACTAACGCCAGCGGCGGCTTCTCCTCCGACCAACGTTTACGCTCGACGTGCCTCCGGCTTGGTCGTCCTCGTCATCATCCAGGACGCGCATCGCCTCACCGACGGCTCTCCTCTTGTGTCGCAGAAAGTGGCTCCCGATGGGACGGGGTGGTTTCTGACCCCCACCCCTCCTTTCCCTTCCGGCTCCCTATGCAGCGGTCTGCTCGACGGGGGAGACTTTTCTGCGGAGAAAAGCCTCCACGTGCGGCCAGATCTTGTTGGTTTCTGTCCCGGAGAAGATCTCTAGTACGCCTTTGCTCCTGGAGGGAATGAGAAGATCCGGTTTTACTTTACGCTGTCTGAAGTGTTCAAATATCACACAGTGACTAGGAAAACGTGAACGTGAGCGACTGCCGGCCTTTAATGTGCAGAGAAGTGTGAACGCTAGTTTGTCACGTGGGCTACAAGCCTGTTCTTCTCCTAATGAGTTACGGCCTCACAGATGTTGTATTTAGAATAAGTGGGACACCAGCTGAGCTTTGACGTTATTCCAGAGTGGATGTGAATGTACAGGCCGGGTCTGAGGCCTTATTAGCGTGTCCTCTTGGCTCTATAGCAATTATTCAATCATGTAAGTTACTATGAGGACTGTGTAGGGAAGATAAGATACGGCCTGGGGTCAAGGTTCACAGGCCTTTGGCCTCTTACTTGAATAAATCAATGAGTAGTAAAAGTCAGTGAGTTATTACGACGTGACGCCTTCTAACGTCTGCTGCTTTTTCATTTCTGCGTCTGCTGCTACAAACTACTGGTCGACACAGACGGCGGCAGGTGGAGGTGTGCTACCTGTAGAACTCTAAGACGGGCTCCGTCTGGTTTTGATAGGCCTTCAGTCTCCGCGTGACCGTCTCTGGTGTGTCGTCCTCCCGTTGGACCAGAGTCTCGCCCGTCACATCGTCCAAACCCTGGAGAGAACACGTGAGCTCCCGTTAATGCGGACGGTATTAGTTCAAAACCACAACAAGTTGGACACGGCCTCAGGGACGAGAACGCAAACCGGTCGACCACGACAAAGCGGATAAAAGCCAAGCTGAATAATGAAAGGAGTCATCTGCGGGTTGACTGCTGTATTTTCCAGCAGAAGTCATACGGTTTCATTTAATATTTCAGGAGTTTCAGGATCACGCCGGCGTCTTCTTTTTACTAAGAGAGCTCGCACAACAGGAGCTCAGCTCAATTGTTTAGTCCTGCTCTCTGGTGGAGGCGTGTTCCCTGTTGAAGTGACAGCTTCTCAAATAACCGGTAGAAGGAAGAAGAAGAAAAACTGGTATTTTTTAAGTACTTGTCTACGTCTGTTTCTGTCACCTCGTTCTCTCTCAAACCGGACTGGTTGGAGAGGCGACTGAGGCCAATGATTAACCATAAATGTGTCGCTCCTGCAGACTGTGCGGGAAATGTTGCAGGAACCTGCTGAAAAACCCCAACGCAGTGAGAACACGTGACCACGAGCACGCCAGCTCGGAATCATCCACCCGTTACACAGAAGAGGGCGGAGGGCTTTGTCGAGCTTATCTCTGCCTGCATGTTATGCAGTACCAGTCAACAGTTTGGGGAAATGGTACCGTACTGTACTGTGTGCGTCTGTGCCATAAGCGTGATGCGTCATTAGTTGAGCCTGTTAACAGAGATAATTTTATAATGAATGTAAATGTTAAAAGAATATGTAAAAGGGGATAGTCTGATAACTAAAGGACTTGGCAACATCTGAACGCCCGTTGTTTAGCATGAAGTAGTCGACTTCGGCTCTGGTTGTCGTCATGGAAACTGGATGCAAAATGCACAAAAAAATGGAATTGTTTTGCCTGAGAGGAATCTTCTGAAACCAATGAGAAACCTGAGCTCCAAGCGACATGCACGAGGACGCAGTGCTGCTGTCTGCAGGGACAGTGAGGTAGCTGAAGAAGCAACCGGTGTGAGAGGACGTATTTACAGGGACTTTAGGGGGGTTGAAGTCGACGTTGTAGACTCTGCCGCTGGAGAGGTGAGTCCAGCGTGAGGACAGCCTCTGTTTGATGGTCTGGAACGGGACATTGAGGTTGATGACCGTGTCCACAGTGAAGGCGTCGTCCAGAGCTTCTGCCTGGGACACCGTGCGCGGGAAGCCTGGTAGGGACGGACAGGGTAAAGCAAGGCAAAAGTTAGAAAAGGAACGTAATGGTTAACTATATCAAAATTGAACTTTAAAAAAGATCAACAAATCCATCGGATAACAAACAATGGCGACGCTACAGCTTCGTTATCAATTGGCGCCCGGCAGATGTGAGCGATCGTACCGTCAATCAGCCAGCTGCTGTGGTCCAAGGCCCTCAGGTCACTCAGCATGAGACGGGACATGACGTCATCGGGTACCAGCTGACCCCGATCGATGGAGGACTTCATCAACAGGCCGAGTTCTGACACACGCGCACACACAGGGGAACAGAGATAGAAGACGCTGCCTCTTACAAAAGTCTTTGACTTCCTTCTATCGGCAATGCGACACACGCCACATTATTGAATATGGACTTTATCTCCCGCCAAAAGCATTGACTGAAATTCCTTTCTTCCACACGTTCTGTGTTGTAAAGCAGTTAACATCACAAATAAAGAACTAAAGGTTTTACAAACATACAATATGTCATGCTGGATGACATGAACGTGTATTAATTGGTGCACTAATCATCACGCCGTCAAACTGCACAAGAAAACATTCTTTCCTGCCATAAAGCTACTTAGCAGAACATTTGACAGGATGATGGGTAATAGACATTCGTGCATAAATCCAGGTGAAGACAATTTCCTGCATTTTTTCAGAAATGACCTGAATGTGCTAATATACTACTATGATTTAACAACAATACATCAAATACATGCAGGCAATAACCAGAATGTAACAATGTTATAACACGTCACGTGTGTGACGAGCACAGACTGCAGAATGAGTGGATGTTCTTCTTCTTTGTTAATCAAACGTACATGAAGATGGAACCCAGAACAAAGTGTCGAGTACGCAGGCGCGTTGCTTTAAGGAGGACTGTGCTACCCACGCAGGTAGCAGTGTGTTTAGAACGCCGCGAGGGTCTTCCTTTGCAGTGCACACACCCAAACAGGCATTTCTTCCCCCGAGGGAGGTGGAAGGCCACCGGTTCAGCCACAAGGACTGTTTCGAAAGACGTGTGTGGGGGAAGTCAACTAGCAACTTCTGCAGTGGACTTTGATCCTAAGCCGTAAAACCTCGCTCCTTCTTCTGCAGCGACTGACGGTGCACACTTCCTTATCTTTACTCCTGTCTTTATCCTCATCCAAGGTTATGCAGAGGAGCCCGGGCCTCGAGGAGCGTGTCAGCCAGGGGAAGTGTTTCGGTACAAACAGGAAAGAGCAACCCGTGTAAACCCTGCGAGTTAGTTTGACCTCGGATGATGAGCTCACAGGTTCACAGCAAGACAAGAGATCAAACTGGTTAATTATCAGTCAGAAAAGAAATAAACTGTTATCTTGCACAATATACATATGGATGCACATGCATGTGTGGTTTGTGTGTAATAATCTGTATTTGCTTTGTTAAAGCATTATAATAAATTATTTCTAACGGTACCCAGATGACAATGACGTAGAATAACATTTCTGACGTGCATTTTTACGTCTGAAGTTGCAGATTCGCGTTTTAAAGCACATGGACACCGGTACGTGCCGGACGCGGTGCGCTATCTTACCGGTTTGGTCTTTGATGTTGGCTCTCAAAATGTCCCCACTAGAAATGTGTTTCAGTCCAAAAGTTTTGGATATGCGTGCGGACATGGTTCCCTTCCCGGACCCCGGAGGTCCCATGATGACAGCACGAAAGACCCTTTGAAGCACCATCTCTGGGTTGAGTGTGCGTCGCAGGCGGAGAACTTAGCAAAGAGAAAAAGACGGATTCTTCCCATTAACAAAAACCTCCCCGGATGCTCCACCGGGAAACGGGGCCCCGCGAGACCCGCTTTTCCAAAATGCGCAACCGAAAGTGGCTGCGCCTTTTTTTTCCCAGCTTCGGATTGTTTCCCCCCCTGCAGAAAGACGAGGAAGAGGAGGAGGAGGAAGAACACGAGAAGTGTCTTCTGCTCGGTGGCAGCGGGACCACGTGAGGATCTGCTCCTCTGACGTCACGACCCGATAGGAGCTTTCTTTATCAGGCGTGTTCACAAACTCCCCCCCAGCAAAGATGCCGTTTATTTATTGCAGGAATGGGCTGTAACGCGGTTATGTAACTGATCCGCAGGGTGGGGAAAGCTGCTCGGCAAGGTTACGGAGATTAATCCCTTTCAGAGCCTTAAAACCCTGCGTGGACGGACGTGCACATTGGCAACAACAACCAGTCTGTTCGCTCCATTCAGCCCCTAAAAACAAAAGAGAGGGAGTTTCAAAGAGACCACTGTTTGCAGACATTACCGTTACAGATTAGAATCATGTTTAAATAGTTAGATAACAGTTGTATCTACTGTCTGTATTTTTCAACAATGATAGCGATATTATTGATCGTGCCCCCCCATTTGTTTACGTTTTGATCACGCCGTGTGCCTTTAAAAGGCAAAACTCTCGTCACGCGTATCAATGAACGTGTTTTTAGCGCCACCCGGTGGCCAGACGCAGCGACCGCACCACCTGAGCGCAAGACTCCCTTTTTGTCCCTCGCCCTTCTCCGTACCCTCCCCGCCCTCTGAGCTTCTTCCCAAGGCAAACACACGTGGATTCCCCACTCGCAGCCAGACAGAAACAATAACATGGCCAGCCAGGGGCTCGAGTACGACGGCTGCAATTTCTTCAGGCAGCGGCTGGTGTTGTCCTCGCTCAGCGGGAAGCGCGTGAGGATACGGAACATTCGCTCCAAAGACGACAGCCCGGGAGTCCGCGGTGAGTCGCGGCTTCGCCCCGCGTGTGGCGTCGCAGTTAGCGCGGCAGCTAACGTGCTAGCTGTTACGCAGTTGGGAGTGTTTCTTTTAATCACCGGCCGGTCACGTGGGCGAACGATAGGACGACAGTGTGTAAAATGCGAGATGAGTGATGTTTACATCGCAGTGCAAAGTTACGTCTCCTGTCTTTATGACGAGGGACTCGTTTTAGCGTAGTTGTGTGAGTGAGGATCATCAGACGTTCCCACAGGACTTCATCCTCCTGTTTGAATCCACGTGTGTTTCATACTTGTGCTCCATCACTTGTTCCAGCCGACCTGTTGATTTGCAAAAGCTTGGTAGACTTTGCTTCAACGTAACATTACTTTTATCCCCAGATTCAGCTGTGGAAAATGTTTGGTTTGACCTAACTGCATGTTTATGTTGCTCTCTTCCAGATTTTGAGGCCAGCTTCATAAGGCTGTTAGACAAAGTGACAAATGGCTCCAGAATAGAGATCAACCAAACAGGTGAGTCTCATCATCAGGATAATACAATCTACTGGCAGAGGATTGTTGCTCAAAACCAGCAAACTGACACCTTCGATGTAAATAACCGGATTGTAGCAGATGTTGTTTAGTGTTTTTTTCATATTTTTCATCTCATTAACCCTTTTGCCGGTGGCACGGGTGTAGTAATGCTCAGCACCACCCTATGGACTCACCCCCCTGTCTCTCCACGTCCCCACAAGGTACCGTGCTGTTCTACCAGCCCGGCTTGCTGAACGGCGGCTCTGTGGAGCACGACTGCAACACGCAGCGCTCGGTGGGCTACTATCTGGAGGCCCTGCTCATGCTGGCTCCGTTCATGAAGACCCCTCTGAAGGCCACGCTGAGGGGCGTCACCAACGACCCCATTGACCCAACGGTGAGGACACGGCACACATAAATGCAACTGAACCGTCCCAACTGTTCATTTTGACTTAGCAATTTGGCTCTGATTTGTTATGGACTCAAATCAGCGGGAGGAAACTTAAGCATGCGTCTGCAGAGAAAAATACACACTGTACTCTAGTGCACACATGCTTTAATGCAATTATGTCCTCTCAGATCAACACTTTCTGTGCCTGTACAGGCTGTAACACTGATGTCTACGGTCAGGGGCGTAGTCAGGTTATTGAATCACACACTTGTTTGTGCGCTGACTAGAGAAAGTGTTTTAAATTGAAACCATTGTGATTCTGGAGAGAGGCGACGTCCTGGGAAAACAACTGTGACGAGCGCTGCCCGTGCCTACAGAAGCACGCTAACACTGTTTCTCCTGCAGGTCGACATGCTGAAGACCACGGCCCTCCCTCTGATGAAGAAGTTCGGCATCGACGGAGAGGGCTTTGACCTGAAGGTGAGGACACAGAGGCGGCCCGTTCATGAGCATGGCGAAACGCTTCAAATGCAGTGCTGCAACGTCACCGTCGCTCCGTCCCGTGTCTCTTCCGTTGCTGCTCCCTCAGGTGGTGAAGAGGGGCATGGCGCCCGGCGGGGGAGGAGAAGTGTTTTTCTCCTGTCCGGTCCGCAGGACCATCAAGCCTGTGCAGCTGACCGACCCGGGGAAGATCAAGAGGATCAGAGGAGTGGCGTATCCTTTTTCATCCTCTAATAATTAATGTGGTACAAACTGTCGGTTGAAAAGCCTTTTCGGTTCTGTTTTGTTGTCTAAACAAAGAAATAATGACACGTAAAAATGTTCCCATGTTTAATATCCTTAAGTCCGATGTGATCGCGTCAGATGTTTCCTCTAAAAGAAAAGGTTGATCTCAAACGGATAAAAGCTGCAAATCCTCACATTTGAGTTGCTAAATAACTAATCGCTGTGTCTTATTGAGAACGCCAGAAACTAAATGTTGTTTCTCACGTTTGTGTCATACGTGTTGTTGAAGTCCTTGACATCCTGAATCCAGATATTCAGTTCGAGTTTCTCCCCAGATGGCCAACAGGCTGGTGGATTCGGCCAGAGGCGTTTTAAACCAGTTCATTCCAGACATCTACATCCACACAGACCACATGAAAGGAGCCCACTCCGGCAAGTGAGTGTCCTCGACACTAATGGTTTAAAGTGTCAAGTGTCCAGAGATGGACAGAGAGTGATGGATGTCGGGTGCCTGCAGGTCTCCAGGTTTCGGTCTGACTCTGGTAGCTGAGACGCTCAACGGCTCCTTCCTCAGCGCTGAGATGTCGTCGACGCCGCAGGGGCAGGGAGACCCCTCGCTGCCAGAGGACCTCGGCAGGAACTGTGCCATGCTGCTTTTGGAGGAGGTGTATCGGGTAAGTACCGCCGACGAAGCATACAGGACGTCCCGTGCACGTTGGTGGCGTCCTTTCAAGCAAAGATGCAGATTTCAGTTGTTTCGATGTTTTTGTTTGGGTCCGGAAGGAAAGTTGAGTTGAATTAGAGGTTTAGTGGACTCACTGAAACCTGGAAAAATCTGCCACGTGTCTTTTTCTAGTTATTGGATGTTTTGTTACGGGGATGTATCTTCTTCTTCTCCTACTTCCATGTAGTACACGGATTTCACAGCGGAATTTAATCCGTTGCTTCGTGTACGCTGGCAGGTTGTACTCTGATGATTCTCTGCTTAAGTTGAACTCACTCATGTAAATAAGTTCTTCGCCAGCTCTGCACACAGCAGCCGTGTTGTCACTGTGGTCACCGGACAAATCCAAATTCTTGGGGAATACCTGACAGACACAGTCAGGACACATTAGACTCCGAGCATGCGATACTGACACTTTGCCATTGTTTGCCTGCATTCTCCAGTAATGACTCCAGTCTGTCATTCTAACTGAGATACTGTTTATGGGCATAACCGCAATAATAAAAATCTAAACTAAATGGCATTTCCTTTCAAATTAAATGTTGGGTTTATTCCACAATATGGCCTGTTTAATAAAGCCACCATGGCCATATGGTTCTCTATTGGAAAAGTATTTGTCTCGACTAAGACGAGGTTCCTTGTGCTGTCAGGACGTGCAATCTTTTGTATAATGCTACATTTACACATTTTTGGCATAATGATTTGCTCAGCCGGAAGCTGCCAGCAGCAAACAACAACAACCCTACAAGTTGAGTATTAAAGTAGTAGTAAAAGTTAAAAAAATAAAAAAAATAGTTAAAAAAAAAAAAAAAAAGACATGACACTAAAGTGTCTGAGGAGAAATGCCAAAATGAGTTACCAACATTTGAAACATCAATTGAAGTCAGATATTTTTGCAGAGGTCAAAGGTCGGAGTGTTTCGGGTGAAAAGTGATTGTCTATTAAAATGATTTAGGGACAGAAAACAAGTTTAATGTCCCAGAAAAAGTCCCATTTTATGTCCATATCTCTTCCTGAGCCGTGTGTCCCCAAATGGGACTTACGCTAACAGCTGTAAGACTTGCATCTTAAAAAATATACACAGCAGGAGCAAACATAACTTCACACAGTCGAGTCATTCTTGTACAAATTCTTCCGAATTTGTACAATTGGATCCAGTGAGTGTGTGTGTGTGAGTCGGGTTTTCCACGCGGCTCTTGCGCTCGGCCCCCTCGCAGGAAGCCATGTGAGTCCAGTTAGCTGGTCAGGCCACAGCTGATTAACGCTGGAACGGGAATATTGTTGGATGCGTCGGGAAGCTGACGCTCCACTCTGGCACAGTAGACGTTGGTGGAGTCCGGCTCAGACGGCTGCTCATGGACCGGTTTGTATTCAACTGGGGCTTTTAACGCGCCGACTGCAGCGGGAGCGCCGCAGTGTGACTCTTGTGCTGGAATAGTTAACTTTTGAAAACTTGAGGGAGGAAAACAAATGAGCAGGATTCGCATTAAAGGGCATGTGCGCACTGTATCGTGCGACTTGTTTGTTTAACGGTTAATCAGTACCGTCTTCTTGTAGTAAACCAAAGCTACCCGATGGACATTTTGTTTTTTGGAAGCCACATCAACACGGGACAGGAGCTGATGTAAGAGCTCCACGTTTATTTTTTATTATTGTAAATTTAAGCTATCTTTAAGAGTTTTTACTTGTATTGTTCTCGTTATGCTCAGCGCATATACAATGTGAGAAGTGTGTAAAATGTTTTTATCCCCTTGGATAGTATCGTGTTTCACAGGTTAACGCTGTGATGACACTTGAGCGTCTGCAGCCTCGTCTCTTCCTGTCTGTCCTCTAGAGGGGATTCAAGGGGCTTTTCCACGGGGGCTCCCGCCCGCCCGCTTGGTGGCCGCTGGCCTCTCTGGAGACTTTAACTGTCGGGTGTTTTGGTCTGAAAAACATTCGTACTGAATCTAGCTGTCGGGTTCATGCAGTTTAGTTCTTTTTTTTTTTTGTCTTCTACTGGATAGAAGTTGCTCATTTTAAAAGGAACAAAAACAGAAACTTTTCAGGGAATCTATGAGTGTTTGACTTTCCGCAGCACAGAACAACGGCTCAAACAGGTACGGTGGCTCGGTCCCTTTGACAATAGTCGACTAAATGTGCGCTCCACTTTGGGGTTTTGTCCAACTTCAACATTTCTTTAACATTTCCACACGTTCAAGTAGATACTGTTTCTTGTGCTCAATGAACACTGCTGTTAGTCTTGGGTGTAGAAATATGACAAATTCCTTCATGTATCTAGACAGTTGGAAGGATACGTAGAAAACATAGTTCTAATAGCAATTAAGCCGATTCTCTTTGTGAATTACATGGTCAACCCATGTCAGAATGTGGAAGACCCATCAAGCCGCTGTGAAGCTCTTTCTGTTGGTTTGAAATGCTTCTTACAGCTCGTTTGGATCCCATTCACTCATCGGTGGAAAGCAGTGTGCAAAATCTGCCTCATTGGCACCAAAGAGAATTAAAAACAATGTCACCACAGTTTTGCCCGCGGCCTCTGATATGATCATCTTATTGAATCAAATCCCTGCTGCCACGTGCACACGCGCAGTGCATGAAACATATTTTGTTTACTAACTGGGGGACTGCGGAGGAGGGAAAGAGCTCACGGTCAGGACAATCCAGTGTTATGAAAGAAAAACATGTAGAACTAATAACATTAAATAGGTAATTATTGTTGCGTTTTCAGTTTTTTTTTTTTAATGATTTGTACTTCATGATATTGAAATCTGAACTGAGAAAATGACTGTGGTACAAAATAATTTTGACACACTAGCGTACGTAAATATACTACATTTCATTATGTTCCAAATTGTGTCGTAGAGGTGAAAAACATGCTTTGGATTCTGACTATATTGTGCAAGCGCAGATGACTATCAGCGTTGGACCTGAGATAATCAATTCCTGGTCCAGGGGGGTTGCAGAGTTCGTTTTTAAAACGTTTCCGCCCCAAACTGTGTTTTTGTTGCTGAAAACAAACCGCCCCGCTGCTCTGTGTTTTTAGGGCGGCTGCGTGGACTCGTCCAATCAGAGCCTGGCGCTGCTGTTGATGACCCTCGGCCAACAGGACGTGTCGAAGGTCCTGCTGGGACCCCTCTCCCCGTACACGTAAGCGCTCATCACGCCGCCCTGCCCCGTTTATAAGTCACCACGCAGGTGCACTTTGTTATTCTTCTACTTGTCCAGTCTTGGCAAGTGAGTGTATTCCAAAGTTCTGGTGTCACAGTAGAGCATCCGATGCCGGTCAAATAAACAGCAGAGGAGATGCGCTGCTGTGTGCGCTTTGTTGCATTAGTGTTTAAGGATTTTCCCTGAAAAATACCGTTTGGCTGAAGCCTTTAACAAATTTGTACCTGAATTGAAAGTCCTTTTCTCCCAGAAGTCCTTTTCTTTGGGCTCTGCAGTCCACAATACAAGTGTTATTTCAGCCCAATTAGTCAAAAGAAATGGGCGATTAAAAAAAAAAAGAATGTTGATTTGCAACGGGTAGAAACCTAACAAGCCTCCGTTAAAGTCGACAGACATATCTTAAATGCTTGCACTATCATGGGACTGGAGCAGCTGTGTACTCACAGGGTCAATGGCAGTTCAGTGTGTGCGCTCATACAATACAGTTAAAGCAGAATGTTTTGTTTTTTTTGAAATGCAACTGTTTGTCATCTCAAACGTGGAGAGAACTATGAACTGTCCATTTTCAGTTATCATGGTACCGGTGCTGTGTCTGTCTCGAGTACAGTACTATGATAACTGAAGATTGGCAGTGCCATCGCAATGCACTGCTCTCATCACTCAGGTAATGCTGATGTTATAACTGTTCAGTTGGACACCAACTAAGCAAACAGTCACCAGAGATGAGGACTGGGGTCCTTTGACGTCATTCGGAGGACGGCATGGAGTAGAATGCTGTTGTGTAACATTTGTTGACCGCTCCAACTTCTTAATCGAAACTATTTTCTTTTCCCTCCCTGACTCCCTCTTCTCTCAGGATCGAGTTCCTCAGACACATTAGAGATTTCTTCCAGATCATGTTTAAGCTCGACGTTCAGAAGCCTTCAGAAGATGAAAGGAAAGGAGGGGAGAAGGTCCTGATGACCTGTGTGGGAGTCGGTTACAGCAACATAAACAAAACACTGAAATAAAACGTTTTTATTATATAAACATGTCTTGAATTCCTCATTCCACAAACAAATAGAATACATTATTTTTATTTAACATGAAATCCTGCTGTTGGTGTTACTGCTTGAATATAAATGTGGATTTTACAGTTGTCAGTTTAACCTCAAATAAGACACTCAACCACATCTGGATGTGCACTTAAATGTTAATCCGTCTGCACAGCGCAGTCAGGTGGAACGTTACCGCATTCCTAGAAGGTTAGTTCTAAACTACGTGTGCTATTAGGAAGCTTTGCTTCAATTCTTCACTGGAGTTGGAAGCAGTTAGCCGTCTTGGCCACAGAGACGCTTGAGGACTTCCCCGTAGCTGCCCGACACTTCACCCTTCACAAAGAAAAAACGGGAAATGGAGGTTAACTTTCTCCAAACCAGACAGTGACATTAAACCTATCTGCACATTTCTGTCGCGGTGCACATGCTTCTCTGGGCGCGTTCGCTGACCTCTAGCTGGGAGTAGAGCGTGAATCCAAACAGCTTCTTATATTCCGCCCTGATGTCCAGCAGGTCGATCTCTGAGCGACTCACCAGTATCCTGGTCAGAGTGGACTCGTCGGTCCCCGCACCCTGCACAAAAAGGGAGAACGTTTGTGTACAAAAGGTGCAGATAAATAAACACTCCCATGCGTTTAATTCTGTGGTGTCACATGTTTTGAGTCTTGTGCTTTAGTGCCTGTTGACAGTGTAACCAATGGTCCACGTGTAGCCAAAGAGGCCGCAGTTAAACGTGGGCTTAACATTCCTTTCCGCGCCACTAGTGACAAATATAAATGTCTGGTGGGCCTTTTTTTTTTTTTTAAAGGACGGGATGCCACGAAACAATGTGTGGCTTTGTCGGGTTCATGACACAGACGGACGTGTCGTTTACCTTCATGCTTTTGAAAATCCGCTCAGCCAGGTAGGCAGGAACATTCTTCACACACTTAACTAGACCAAATAAAAAATAAAAATAAAAGTTATGAAAGAAGTTTTCAAACGGGGCCGACAACATGCAGCTTTATTCTCACCGACAGCCACCAGCAGATCCTCCAGCGCTCCAGACATCTCACCCTCAATGCTCTCCTGAAGAGTCTTCTTACTAATAGTCTTGTACTCTACCAGAGCTGAAACACAGCGGGGAGGAGAATGCAACCGTTGGTGATCAGATGCCGGCTCAAAAACACAAATGTGGCAGTGAACTCTAGAAAAGCGTTGAATGCATCGCTGTGTGTTTGTGCGCTACCCTTTCCTGTGCCATCAATTCTAATCTTACTTTTGTTTATGACCAAAATACATCGGGCTCAGTTGTACATTGTGTATATCAGCAACATATCTGGCAATTGGCACGGTGACCTGCTGAGGTTAGCGTTTAGCTTAAGCCACCGTTGTGTAACCTCGCAGTTTGGTTTCACAAGCATCCACGGAAACAAACGAGGTGAACCCACTCTGACGAAGCTGCGGAACGCTCCTGTGGCACAAGATGTCAATAAACTTTGCCTCGTCGGTTCCCCACTTCTTCTCCCCCGCTTCATACAGCGCCTGGGTGGGATGGGGAGTGAAAACACGTACATCTTTAGACCATGCATGCAGCTTGGTGAAGGAAAAGTGCATAAATTAGTGTTTGCTTCACATTGAGGAAATTGCAAATCCAAGCAAAGCATGTCAAAATAACAGAAGATCCATCTGAGTAACTAAACGGCTCTTAGGGGACACATTTCATTACATCCACAGAACAGTGGTGGGTGAGCGGTGGACGTACCTTAGCGTCGGCTTTAGCTTTGGCAGCATCCACATTGGTGCTCTCGTCTCTTTTCCCCTGTGACCAACAGAATATATGAAATATGCAATGCTTTAAGCCGGATTCAGATTTGTTGAGACTGGGTTCATTATTTAAATGCAACGTGCGGTACCTCGGCCAAGATGAGCAGCGCTTTGCCGTAATCTCCAGATACCTCCGACTGAAGATCACGAACCACCGATTTTCCAGTTTCTTGAATGAAACCACAATACAAACCATTTCAAAACCGTATGAAGACCAATTGCCAACGTTTTCACGCAATAAATAAGTCATGCTCTAATCTGAAATTCCAAACACTTTGTGCTGAAGACGCTCACCTGCCAGGTATGCGTCAGATAAGGCTTTGATCTGGCCGTTGGATCTCGAGGCAAAGATTTCCGTCAGCGTGCTCTCGGTAGTTCCCGCTCCCTGTACAAGAGTGGAGGAAAAATGTGATGAATCCAAGCAAATCTGTAACGAATGAAGTCTGTTTGCACTAACGAAAGCTCGTAGTTCCAATGTACACCATTTGCTCCCTTGGAAATAGCTTTACTTATTTGTGGCTAATACACCATGGAGTCAATCCGACGCAGCCTCACCTTGATGGCTCGGATGACTTCCTGGGAGTCGTAGGCGCCGGGAGGGGTTACCAAGGCAACCAACACGTCCTCAAAGTCACCGTGGGTGTCGCCCTTCAGGTCAGCGACTAGTTTCTGATGGAGGAGGGTTGACGACACGCATTTCTTTTGTGCATGTGGTTGAAACACTCAGAACTAGTATTTAAAAGTCTAGTAATTTACCCGGCCTGTGGCCTTCTCATAGGCCTGAGCAATAAGCTGACGCTGAGCGTTACTCCTTTGGGTCAACACCTCGACCAGTGTCTTTTCTGTCGTGCCTAAAGAGAAGAGACAGAGCAAACGGGCTCACCTCTACCACCGTATGCAAACATCTATACTTGTTCCTCCAGCAGATGAAGTAGCACATTCTGTCGACTATGAGTGAAGTGCTTTGCATGTCGGTCTGATATAGTAGAGGTCAGATATTGGTGAATCGTTAACTTACCGAGGCCCTCTATGGCTTTCCTTAGTGCAGACACATCCTCTTCCACCTTGAAGTTGGCCTTGTCCTTCATGGTCCCTTTGGTGTTGGACTAAGGAACAGAAAGGCACCAAAAAGCTCACACACAACGACCACGTCTGCACGTTTCAAAACGTAAGGTGTATTAATCGTTTTGTGTTTTATGGGTTAAGCGTTCCTAACGGATTTGTCACTATCCATCCAAGCAATCGCATTATCCTGTAAGAATGATCATCAACACAATCTTGAGAACTAGAAGGCGAGAGTGTGTTGGACTTACTGTGACGGTCAGTGAGGAGGGGGAGTCTAAGAGCAGGTCCAAGTCATCCTACAACACAAAGAAGGGGCCTTAGTTATCAACGGCATTGTCGGCCTAAAAATTCTGATCTTTAAGTACAAGTACTCACCCAAACAGACATTGCGGTGGTTGAGGTCTTTAACTAGGGAGATTAAAAAGAAGCGTTTTGAACCAAAAACGAGAGAACGGAAATGGGCGTCCGTTTTCGTTGCGCAAATACGACAAAATGTATGTTTGTTTGTTTTCCTGTAAAGATCGAGATCTGAGACCAAAACTCAATAGAAGGAAAGAACATGGTTTACTCTTACAAATAAAATGGTTCTAAATTTGCATTCCAGAAGCTGAAGTAATTTTCTTTGGAACACAGTATTTGATCTTCAGCTCAGGAATGTGTGACAAATAATGATGTAGGTTAATTGTTCTTAATGTTTACGAAGAAAAAGTATCCATTTAATATATAATTGTCATGCATTACATTGTGATCCACAAATACTGCCGGTTTCTTTAGGGTATGTTTGGTTTAAATACAAGTAAAATGATGTATACTATGGAACCATACACATCAAATGAAATAAACAGCACTAAATACATCTAATACCAAACTGTTCAACTGAATTAAATCTATGGTTTAAATACAGTATTCTACTGGTAGACATGTTGAAAACCCCATGTTGCCTATTGGTCCCAGTCTGGATGATTATTTGTATTCAATAATTAACGTTTCTTAAGTTACCATGAATTATGCTTCCTTCATAGACGAACTAGCAGACAACGTTATACTGCGTTGACTTTTAATGTGAAAATGTACCTACTTCCGGTTTTGCTGTTGAACAAAAAAAAGGGAGGATATTTTACAACTGTCGTTTAAACAGTAAAAATTGTTAAAAAGGTGCACGGACAACTCAACTAGGCTTTTAAATGTCTGATGCGTTCAGGTTGACTAAGCGGTCACAGTCGGACACGTGTAACTAGAACTTCACCAAATGAATGATGTCCTGATGTCGTTATGATGCCGACCGCTGCATTTTCTCGAGGAGTAAATCACGACAAAACGTGAACATCCACACAGATAAAAAGGTATTTTTCCGCTTACCTCAGAAGGAGAAGAAGCTTGATGTCACGAGGAGTTTCACAGTATCCAGAACTCGCCACACCTTTCTCCCGAAGCGGAACAGGCAACGCCCATTAGTGGCAAGAGGAAGTAGAATCACTGAGGCAAACTCCTCCTCGCTGACACACAGCACCAACTACACTGCTCAAAGAAATACAAATAAAGGGACAATCTTTTATCAGGGTGCGCCATGGATTCAATTGCACTAATAACAGAGGGGGTTGTTGATCTGTTTCAGCTGCGTTGGTGGTGATGGAATTGATGAATCAGCTGCACTAGAGCGGCAACAATGAGACGACCCACAAGTTTCTCCCTTTTGATCTCGTTTACTAGTTTTCCAGTAATTAGCACTACTGGGAGCATGAGGCAATTTTTTTAAAAAGTTGCACAGATTTTCCAACCCCTCCAGGATTGCACACCCACGCATGCTGTTGCAAGGAGATGTGACGCGTCTCCCAGCACAATCTCCAGAACATAGAGGAGGTTCCAAGTGACAGGAGAGCCTGATAGGGCCATGGAGGGTCCTCAACCCATCGGCAGCACCGATATCTGCTGCTTTGTGCGGGGAGGAACAGGTTGAGCACTGCCCGAGCCCTACAGAATGACCTCCATCACTGGTGTGAATGTCTCTGCCCAAACAATCAGAAACAGACTTCATGAGTTAGTCCTCAGGACGTGACGTGAGCTCCATCCTTCTGCTGACTGCAACATCAATCAGCATGACCCGTCAGGTGGCGGCTCAGTGATGGTCTGGGGAGGCATATCCATGGAGGGACGCACAGACCTCTACAGGCTAGAGAACGATAGTCTGACTGCCACTGGATATCGGGAGGAAACCCATAGTCAGAACCTACGCTGGTGCAGCAGGTTCCGGGTTCCTCTTGAGGCACAACAATGCCTGGCCTCATGTGGCAACAGTACGGAGGCAGTACCTGGAGGATGAAGGAATTGATTCCATTGAATGGCCCTTATGATCACCTGACCTAAACCTGATAGAACGCCTCTGGGACATTATGTTTCTGTCCATCAGATGCCACCATGTTGCTCCTCAGACTCCACAGTCTCCTCAGTATTCGACATGTTTTTTTTTAGATTTGATGTATTTGTGGAGCAGTGTGTTTGAATCCGGTTGATTGTATTACACGGACACAGGAGGCCGGAATGTGTGCCTCATCGCATTAACTCAACCCTGTTTGCACAACAATCGGCACACCCTCACGAACAAATATGCATCCTAGCTGCTGAAGACAATCTGCGGAAGCCATCATATTACAGTAGTGACCCGACGAGTAATTAACCACAGTGGGTCCAAAGTTGCGTTTGCTCTTAAGGTTGGGGCAAGGACATGAGTCAGAAAAGAGGAACGCAAGTTGAGATAGAATTTAAAAAAAAGTTTCCAATCAACCAAACGCTTTGTAACATTATCAAAGTAACTGCAAGTTGTTCTACAAGTAACTACAGTTTTCATTTCAGTTATCATAACTGACATCGTGTGGTAACTTGTAGGTATTACAGATGAAGTTGCCTGAGACGGTTTTGCCTATATACTGTTCAACTCGTTAAGGTTTGTGTACGCTTTGCAAATTGTAAAATATGTTATAACATAGTCTCATGCTAAACAACTGATAAGTGTCTGTATTGAAGTTCAACATGTGAAAAGCAGAAAGGTGTGAAGTTTTCACTCGCAGCTGTATCTGAAGAGCTTTCACACAAAGGCTCGGAAAAAGGAAACTGTTACCCCATCTTCAACTTTCACTCGAGGGGTCTCACCTGCTTTGTAAGGGTCATAACCTGGCTCAATATGTATTGATGCAAGTTTCATAACCTAGTTTCATATCTCACCTGGTTCGCAAGTTTTATATCTGCCATCTCCCTATATGGGCTAGTGGTTTAGGATTCGGCGCCGCTGCGGGCCTCCTGCCACTGAGGATGACCTTATTATGTGTGTATACAAGCTCGGCGTTTTGACTGCACGGAGACGCCTTCTCCACAGAGCACTGTAATACGTGCGAGTGTATTTGACCTCCTGCTTGCAAGCAATAAATTGACTTTTACAACTTTGCTCATTCATCAAGTTTTTATTAAATCTAGAAACGAATTATTCTCTTTTTCCAAACTAGTTTTATTGAAATATTCCACAACAAAATTCATCAGGTGATATTCTTGAGTTCGAACACTAGGTAAAAAATGACATGGTCATCGAGGCACACGACTAAAATATATACTAACTATAAGTTAATTTATGATTTAGACGAAATACGCCCCTTGACTCCACCCACTTTACGAGTGAGTCTGTCACGTGGCTATTTTGTTATTGTGCCCTAAGCGATGCCTGACAGGGGATCGTCCTTCCTGCATGGACGATAGCCCGATGCGCATTACCTGTACAACTGAAACCCTAAGCATAAGATGAAGTAATATGGTCAACGACCTGAATCACTTGCTTGTGGGGGGAGTCACGTTTACTTCAGTTAACGTTACGTGCGAATCAAGCCTTCCTTTAACGTTGAGCTCAGGGGAAAGTAAACCCTCATCCACAGCTCAGCCGGTTAGCTAAACAGCTTGACAGTTATTTGACAGCTCGCTCCGGTTTCTACGTCTGGTTTATGTACGACGGTAGTGAAAGTTGACGACGTGTCATCTACCAAGTAACTCAATTTAAAGTTCAAGTCAACTATATATTTTCAGACAAAATTATTTTTTACTAAATTTCTGTATTTAGCATTTGAGCTGTTTTGCTATCTGACTATTGCTAACGGCGAACTAGCAACTTGTTATGACGTTAGCTGGCTAGCGTTAGCAACATGGATCCTCCTAGCACCATTATAGCTAGCTGTCTTTAGCTACACTTTCTTCAGATTTCAAGCTACGTAAATATATTTTCTAATATTTCTCTTATTAGCCAGCGTTTCGTGGTCGGGGTTTGTTCTTCTAATCAGGGTAGCCTCAACCGCTATTGTTCATCGAGGTTCAGCTGCAGCTCGCTGCTTCTATTGTTTACACGGAAACGGTGGATGTAAGTGAACTATGGGCATGTGGTGCGAGTAACAATACTGGATCAGCCACAGGACAACTAAAGTGGACCTCTGGAAATGGGGCTGGGAGCAGGGTAACGTCTGTCCACCACTACTCTGCAGCCGACTCATATCTGGATCAGGATGATCGGGGCATTGAAGGAGGACAGCTGTGACTGCTGGACTGTTTGACTTTGTGCAGGCGTTGGACAAAGGACAGGAGTTTGGTTGTCCGTATTTAAAGCTTAGGTTAAGAAGGGGAATAAACTGTGTTGGGATCTGATCCACACATCTGGCCCTGGGATGTTGCTGAGTACCTTACTGATCACCAGTCTTCTTGGCTGGGCGAGATGTCAAGAGAGCCAGAGCATGACGCCAGAGGAGAAGACTGTTATCAGGTAACAAATATCTACAGACAGAGAAGTATAACGCTGTTTAACTGTGTTTGTGAATTACTGGATGTATTTACAATGTCGTAAAAGTAAAGTATATTTGCCATTTTCACTTTTGATTGATCTATATTTTTCCTTTTCTTGTTTTGCAGGGACCAGATTATTGAAATGTTTGACCACGCTTACGGCAGTTACATGGTAGGGTGTTCACTTGGATCTACATTTAAAAAAATAGTAATTGTAAAATGACTCATAGCTTTAAAAACAATGTCACGCCTCCTTTAATTACACCTTTTCTGTTTGCGTCGCAGAAATATGCCTATCCAGCAGATGAGCTCATGCCTCTGAGCTGCAGGGGGAGAGTCCGTGGCCAGGAGCCCAATAGAGGAGACATAGATGACTCCTTGGGGAAGTAAGTTCAGCTAAATTCCTCACACAACACAACAAACAAGCCAATGAAAGAAAGTTAAACGCATACTTTCAAAAATCGAATGAGAGTGCTTTGAGTCTTGGTCTTAGAGCCGCGCCACAGTTGCTTAATTCACCAAGAAGCCACTAAATCACAGACTTGCAGTAGAATAAATCCATTTATGCACCATGCAATGTCACATAATATCAGTTTACTGCATACGTAACAGACCTGTAATAGTATGTGGGTCATTAATATGAAACTGGGCCAGTGGAGAAGTGGGTGATCGGCTCCACCGTTCGGGGCCAAAGGCTCTCCTCGTAACGTGTCGGACATTTTTTCTGTAGGTTTTCCCTCACGCTGATTGACACCCTTGATACCCTGGTGGTGAGTTCTTCCTCTCCTTACAGGAATAAAAGCATATTGTTGAGGTTTCCTTAATGGGTCTATTTTGTCACACTTGTGTTTGTTTGTTTTCTCCCTTCTTTTGACTGTAAATTTATTTGTCCGTATCTGTGTGTGTGTGTGAGCAGGTGTTAAACAAGCTTGATGAGTTTGAGGACGCAGTGAGGAAGGCCATGACAGATGTACGCCTTGACAACGATGTTGTGGTGTCCGTGTTTGAGACCAACATCCGAGTTTTAGGGTATGAAATATATCTGTGATTTATTTACTTTTGCACCGTGTATTTAAACCTTTATGCTGTTTTTCAGATTCATCTCTAAACCTCTGAATAAATAACTACTAAATGCAGAATTATTCCATATGACCACAACGTATTGTTAATGGTGATCGGTATTACAATTTTTCCATCTTGACCTTTCTATTTAAGAAAATATTCCCTTTCTCCCGTCTCTCATTCTTCCCAGAGGGCTTTTGGGAGCCCATGTGATGGCCGACCTGCTACGGCAGCGCGGGGGGAGGATGCAGTGGTATCGTGATGAGCTCCTGCACATGGCCAAAGAGCTGGGCCATCGATTACTGCCTGCCTTTAACACCACAAGTGGCCTTCCCTACCCTAAGGTATTTCTCATGCGATTGCTAAGTACCACATGGCTTATTTTAGATGTGTAATGTGGAAAAGTACCAGAGAGTCTACTGACAAATCTTATCAGGGATGGCCTTGGGTTTGAACTCACTGCATTGTTAGAGAACAGTTCCTCTCAGTCAGTGCACCACAGAGGAAATGATGAATAATATTTCACTAAATGAAAATAAATCATTTGAGCTGAGTTTGTTTTAAGAACCTGAAGTAGCCGAGATGAATGTTTCTTTTTTTTTTGGTCTTCCAGGTGAATCTGCGGTACGGAGTCCTAAACCCACTTTCACGCACAGGCACAGAATCGGACACCTGCACAGCGTGCGCTGGAACAATGATCCTGGAGTTTGCTGCTCTCAGCCGACTTTCGGGAGATTCTATTTTTGAGGTATTCTATTCTTACGCCTCTCTAGAGATAAGGCTTTGTTCGTTTTCTTCTTTATTTCTTTGCAATAAGGCCTTATTGGGAAATGACTGCGCTATGAGTGCAGTCGTTTTATTAGAAATGATATTTGGTCATAACGGATTCCTGTAAGAATTGCTTTACCAGGAACATCTGAAGAATATAATAACCGTTATTGTGTTATAGGAGCATGCGAGGAAGGCTCTGGATGTCCTTTGGCAGAGGAGACAGAAGGGAAGTGACTTGGTGGGGACCGTCATCAATATCCATAATGAAGAATGGGTCCGGAGAGGTGAAGAAACACTTTGGGATAATGAAGAGCTTAAAACACGATGCACCACATAAAGAACGCTTATCATTCATAATGACATCTACAGTACTGGGTTACTGTGTTCTACTAACCTTCACACTTCTGTGTTTGCAGAGAGTGGCGTTGGTGCTGGTATCGACTCATATTATGAATATCTGATGAAAGCCTACATTCTTCTAGGAGATAATGTTTTTCTGGACAGGTTCAACATTGTAAGTCCTCCATCACCGTGTGCCTGCATAGAAATCCATATCCAAGGGTCTGGCACCTGCTTTTTTGTCCCGCTGCTGCAACATAATTGGCCCGTTTGTTCATATTGTGATTATGAATTGTTTGCTAATATACAACATGATGCCATACCTTTGTCCTCAACAGCACTACAGTGCCATTATGAAGTACATCAGTCAGCCTCCCCTGCTGCTCAATGTACACATGCACAACCCCACTGTGAGCGTGCGCAGCTGGATGGACTCTCTCCTGGCATTCTTCCCTGGCTTACAGGTCAGGGATCCTCGATTAATCACATTTGCTCCCATCACACACTGCAGAAAGGAGTCGAGTGATCTTTATTGTTCGTGCAGGTTTTGAGGGGAGACCTGAAGCCAGCGATTGAGACTCATGAAATGCTTTATCAAGTCACCAAGCAGCACAAGTTCCTTCCAGAGGTAAAAAAAGAAATCATTGCCATTTCTGTTTATTTAATGACGCACAGTAGGCATGTGAAGGCCAGATATACCAAGTCCAACACTCCTTTGAGGTGGGTGAGGTTTCATACAGTCATATGTCTCTGTTTACATCACAGCGTATTACAATAAAAGTACTCATTACATTACTGTTGGTTTTCTGGAAATTCAAATGAAAGCTCCAAATAGTAATCGAGTGAAAATGTCTGCTACCGCCTGTCTACCAGATCCATCAAGTTAAATAGGACAAATAAAAATAGCTCATTGGGATGATGAAAGCGTCTTGAAGATTTCTTTCTTATCACAACACTGTCTGCAACACTCGTAATACAAGCAGTACGAACGGATAACCACTTCAAATAGTTTAGTTTAACGATTAGTTTCTATCACTGAATTTCCATCGTCGAATCACCCAGTAGACCCGAAGAAGCCGGTGGCCCTAATGTCTATTACTGTCTTTGCTTAATCTGCTCACAGGCTTTCACCACAGAGTTCAGAGTTCACTGGGGCCAACACCTGCTGAGACCAGAGTTTGCAGAAAGCACCTACTACCTCTACAAGGTGACGGAACAGTGCAGATAGACAAACGCATACACTGTTTAACCTGTAGTACTATTCCAGCATGCTATTACTCATAATTAGAAGAGTTAGTCTTTAGTAAGTAGGCTAATGATGAAACTACTCCACTCTTGTACTAAATACACACAAGCATTTTTGTTAGGCGTGTGGCCGAGATTCTATTTTGACTTCTGCAGGCCACCGGCGACCCTTACTACCTCAGAGTGGGACAGTCCATTGTGGAAAAGCTCAACGCTTACGCCAGGGTGCCTTGCGGGTTTGCCGCTGTGCAAGATGTCCGCACCGGGACGCATGAAGACAGGTACACAAATGCTGTTACACGCGTGTCTACACTGTCATGTTTCATCTGGATAAGACGCCTCAGAACGTGTGGGATGGCAAAACCTTTCTGGTGATGAAATAACTGTGGAGGAGACTCCAAATATCTCTTATCAACGTGTATGTGTGTGTGTTTGTGTGTGTGTGTGTGTGTGTGTAGGATGGACTCCTTCTTTCTGGCTGAGATGTTCAAATACCTGTACCTGCTGTTTACGGATAAGAGTCAGCTGCCCATCGACATCGACGACTACATCTTCACAACGGAGGCTCACCTCCTCCCCGTGTCGCTCTCCACCACCCAGCCGCCCTGTCGGGGCAACAATACGGTGAGAGTTCTCACTTTATCACCAACATGTTGGTGAACATTACTTTGTCATTTTTAAACTGCATTTTTTAAACTGTTTACAAAATGACTGAGTAGTTGACGACACAAGTTCATCAGTATGAATAGTTCAGCATCTACCGCTGTCGTTTGTACTGTTTGTTGTTGCATCACATATACGGCATATTGTCCTTTCCCCTTTTTTTAGTAATGTGCATTTACATTTCACTGTGTGAGCTGAAAGCGTTGTATGTAAAACTGTTTTGAATTTTTTTTTTTATGTGCTTCAGGAGACTGTTCCTGTTTCTAAAGAAGAAGATCTGTTCACACACACCTGCCCAAGCATGGAGACGTTGTTTCCCAACAACCCCTCGTTCGCCAAAACCATACGGGACAGCTACAAGTACCTCACCGGGGTGGGACGAGCCTTCCACCCCCTACCTATCAGGTGTGTTGATAAACAGCCGCTACAGAGTGCTGCACGGAAGACTTTTAACGCCCCGAAACGAGTGAGCACGGTTGCACTTCTGTTTTTGGTTTCCTGTGAATGGGTTTCGGGTTTGAAGCCCGAGGTAAGGTCTGTGGTTGCAACACACTTTAAATGTTTTCTCTAAAAACAAAGAAAATGATGTATACATAAATAACTTACATTTTTACACTTTTACATTTCTTGAAACAGGCGGTTACTAATTATTGGCTAAAAATAAGTACAAACTCTATTTTTCTCCACTTGTGTCATCGTTGTAAAATGTGGTACTAGACACCCACGGTGGCAGAAACCACTTAGGGGACTTCCTGGGTGCTTCTACTTCCGTCTGTCTGTGGATAGATTTAGGCAATGCAATTACATCACATCACTGGTCAACATGTACAGTAGTCATTAAACTTTACAAGTGGGGTTGAGACCAAAGAGAAGGTCAAGTTTAAGGGTGGGAGTGGTCTCTAGGGGATCTCCAGCCTTGATTACTTTTGAGCTTTAACTTTAGCGTGTTTGTGCTTTACAGGGAAATTGAACTGCCGCTCCACGATAACGGGATGGAGCCTGTGGAGTTCTTGAAAAGCATGGGTATCTCCCTCACCCCGCTGAATGAGGTTTTTGCAGGACACAGCGGAAGTCTGAAGGTATTTTACTTCCTTTGTACCCACCTTATGACATTATGTTCTGCCTGTCCAGGCCTCCAAAACTTGAGGCAAGTTACTGGTTTGGTACTCGGGCACAACATTGACCCAACTACCTCCGAAAACAGAACATGTTGTCCCTTTTTTGACACTTTAAAACAAACAGCTTTTGAAGTCTTCTTTTTTATTATATGCAAATAAGACAACGTTAAGCATCATGGATGTACAAAGGTTGTAAACTGCTTTAATCAACTTGTTTAATACATTAGTTCATCATCTTATTAGAAATCCTCTGCTACGCCTCGTGTTTACCTAAGTATTTAATGTGTCCACAGTGGGGGGATATTCAATCACACATTCATACTATACCGTTTTCCTAATTTCTGCAGGTTTTCCATTATAAATATTGCACTAGCTACACCATTACATTGTCACAGAACTTCCTTTTCTTAACTCAAACATGTCACTTCACTTCATGGGAAGAGATTGAATTTTAAGTTGTTTTTTTAAACATGACTTGAAGGAGCATAAAGGAGTGTACCGGGTAAAGCTCGTGGCGGAGGTGAGCCACACCGCGGAGGAGGATGAAGTGATGCCTCATGTTGTTCAGCTCATATCCCCCCCGTTCCTGGGGAGGACCGTCCTCACAGCGGGACCTGCCAAGTTTGGGTTGGACCTCACCAAGCAGGAGCACGGGGTGAGCCTCCAATGTGACCATAACATCCGAGCTCCCAACAAGTCCTGTAGCTTTTATAGAAAATAAAATGACTAAATATAAGAATGTTATGATTGACTCTCACTTGTTCCGCAGGTGAAGGGCAGCATTGTGAAGGCGTCTCCCTACACTGCGTGTGAGCCAATAGACGGTGCAGTGGACCTCAAGGGGCATATCGCTCTGGCGCTGCGCGGTGAATGCATGTTTGTTGTAAAGGCCCGTTGGCTGCAGCAAGCAGGGGCCATAGGAGTCATCTTCATAGGTGAAGATGATTACCAGAGGGACTGAAAACCCACTTTTTCCCCTTTTAAATCCACCTTAAAGCTCAATATTTATATGAGAGAATGAAGGCCGGAAACTAAATCATTCTCTTTCTCAGATCACCGCGAGGGAAGTAACAGCCAGGATACTCCCCTCTTCCAGATGGTCGGAGATGGCGACTCCACTAAAGACATCACGCTGCCTTTTGTCTTCCTGTTCAGCCGCGAGGGCGCCGTGCTCACGGCAGCTCTGGAGGAACATCACAACGTGGACGTGCTGTTGCTGCCCAAGGAGAGGCAGCTGGGGCACGGTGAGTGGCGGCATCAGCAGCAGGAGGAGGAGGGCCGAAGGATAAGGCAATGTTTTAATATATTGTAATTCCTCTCTGTTTTGTCCAGATAAGACAGAAAAACCCGTCGGCATGAATATCAAACTCCGTCTGGCAGAGGACGGGGAGCTGGAGGACGGACCGGCCAGAGGGCCCACCTTGGAGTTTGTCTTGGAAAACCAGGAGCTGTTTCTGAAGGAGGAGGAGGAGGAAGAAGAAGAGCCGGGAGGTCCCCAAAAACCACAGCAGGGCCAGTTCGGCTCAAAGGCGTCGGACCAATCTAAACAGTGTTCAGCAGATTCCTCTCAATCGGCAAACTCTGACCGCGGACCAGACGCGAGCCCTTGACCACCGCTCACCCCGACGCGCTCACGATTCCCTGACACTGATTTGTCATCAGTTTTCCTAACGGCGTGCACCTCAGAGCCCATCACTGCCTACGTGGAGCCCTACCTGACCCCGCCTGCATGTTTACACCCGACGGAGGAGAGGAGAGCAGCGTGATGGCCACATTCACTTCTTGACTTGAGCTAAAGATGAAACTGCATTTACTGGACCGTGAATGCCGTACCTTGATGATGATGCTTTTACTGACATTACGGCAACAAGGCACGTCAAGAGACTAAACTAGGTAGTTAAAGGCCAAAAGCTGTAGGGTGAGATGGCTTGGCTGGTGGCGCCCCCACCCAGCCTGAAGTATCGCTCGGCACAAACGAGTGTTTGTGATGACGAGAACAGATCACAGACTAGAATAAAAAAATAAGAACTCACATTAGAGGAGGACATAAAAAGAGGCAAACATGTAGTCTGCTAGGTTTTTATGCAAGGCAGTATGTTTTTAGAATGTTGCTTGGCCAGTAGGTTGCGTTGGCCATTGTAGCCTCTCGATAATATAATGTTAGAAGATGGAGATTAGCTGGGGGCCAATTTGGAACGTTTCTTTTCTTCTGTAGGAGTAAACATGTTCAGGGAAATTCAAGAGTGAATGCAGTCTGCAAGAATGACCCCTTTGATGAAATGTTAGGGGTTGTTCTGCAGTGTGTGTGTGTGTGTGTACACATTGCTGATAAAACCTTTCCTTTTCTCTATTTTTTTCCCCCAAAAGTCATCAACCAATCGTGGATTTTAGGAAATCAAGTCTGCATTTTTCAGACGGTAAAACACTTTTTATTCATTCCTCAAATGTAATATATCACGCCATCTTAAACCATTGTAAAGAAATTGCAGCTGAAGTCGTCATGCAAGGCTTTAGTTACGGATGCAGCGTCACTGGTTGGTCTGCAGTCCCAGACTGCTTTGCACTTTGAGTCACGGGTACGATGATCGTCTGTCAGTTTGTGTGTTTATGCAATAAGTGATTCATCAACTGTTTTACATTGTGCACTGACGCAATGTTTGTAGCCACCTATATGGACTCTGCAAGGATCGTTTGAAAACCAAAAAACGACATTCTAGTATTTAGTGAGTCATCCGTTGAGATTACTGTAGTGCTAACAATGTTTTTTTTTTTCATTAACTGAAATGGCAACAGTCAAACTGGAAAGGCCTTTTTTTAATCCTGTGCATTGTTTTCAGAGCATGATGGCATCAGTTGTCTCACTCGACACAAACTGAACCATATATTATTAGGAATTACTTCATATATCCATTGCATAATATGCAGAGCTCTTATCAGCTCATATTCCCTTCATTCTCACTTTGTCACTAATTATTTTCTGTGGAAAGTATATGTGAAGCTTATGTTTATGTGGGGAAAACACCTTTTTATGCCAGTGTATGTTCTTTTATGTTTTTGATGCTGCTGAGTTCATTCTATGTCTTAATCCAGCATTTTCTCTTCTTGTTCTGTTAAGCCATCATGCCTCAGGACTGTTCCAGTTGCTGCAGAGAAAATAATTATGGGTTTCTTTTTTTTTTTTAAACAATATCTAGTTTGCCATGCTATTTAATTTTCAGCTGTAGGTTTTTCTGTAAGTCAGTGGCTGAAGGAAAGTGCCAAAAATAATGCATGAGGTGGCTCCAGTTTCCGTTTCACATCTTCTCTATTTTCCAACTGAGCCAGTGCAGACCTGTCAATAAATCTGATATCACATCTATCCAGGTTTTTACTTATGTTTTCCTGCATTGTAGATTTCCTCTATTTGTGGAATGAATCATCCAAAAAAATCTATCTTGAATATATCGAGAAAAAGGTCCTACTATATAACTGAATGCCATTTTCTTAGGAAATATGTCATTCAGTTCAGCTTTTTTACATTACATTCCAAAAAACCAAATGCCCCTGTGCTTGAGCTAGCAGGTTCTGTATTGGTAAATACTTGGGATGTGTATCTTCTTTCCCTTTTGTTTTGTCAGGAGAAGATGAGATTTTGAAAGCTCTTGTGACAAACAGAACAGAACCTCGGAACAGCTCAATCACGAGACGCTATGACGTTTAAATTGACGTCATTGACAATGACAATGGTGAGCTGACAGGGACCAATGATTTGCACATTTTGGATCAAGGAACTATACAAACAGTTCTGAGTTTACACTATTCATTTATTGTTAATATTAATATTCAGTGTTGATACATTGATATATTCCTTTTATGCCCTAGTCACTGATTTTCAACCATTGTTGAGATATTTCAGCACGATGCAAACAAACTATCACTAGCTGGCATTTAACTGTTTGAGATAAACAAATATATAGTCATAAATCAACAAACCACTTCCGGAAGCCAATATCTTCATCAGGTTATTATTAGCAAATATTTGTTGTTAAATAATACATTGTTTAATAGAATTAAATAAAAAATTGGTTGATAACGTGTATAGTCAACAGCATGTAAATAAGATTATCCCTTTTTATCAGCAAAATCTATCGGTGTGTAAACTATGTAACCAAATATATAATAACCGGTCTAACGTACCTTCCTACACGTATTTGCTCAGTAACTTGCTGCCTTCAGGTGCTGTGGGAAACAGTAGTATTTTGATCGTGAGCATTTGCAGTAGCATTTTGTCTATTGTTTGTATATGTCTTCACGCTATCAGAAACAAATAATAAGGTAAATATGTCAAAGGCTGAAGTTCAAAATCAATAATCAATATAATATTGTCCATGATTACATTGATTACTATTCCGTTTTCACGGAAATGTCATGTTGTGAGTAGAAAGAAGGTAATGGAATTGACCGGGTTGTTAGAGGATTGTCAGAATAACAATACAATGTTAATAATAACCTGTAAAACACAAGTCTTCCTCCGTTAGGCCAAACATGTGTTTTTATGTGGGAGTTTACTAGGAGACCTTGAAGGCAACACGTCAAACACACGCACGCAGATACGAGCTCCCCTCCTCCTCCTCCTGCTGCTTGAAGCTCCGCTATCTTTAGCACTGCCGCGGATTACAGTGCGCAGTGTGTCACAGACTGCGTCGCGTTCATTCTCCCGTTGCCAGTCGCGGTGTGTGGTCTACTTTGCACACAAAAAAAAAGCAAGCAAGACCAAGGCAAAAAAAAACCCCGCAAAGAACATACAAACAGAAGACAGGAGCGATGGGGGAATGACAAGAAACGCCGTCGCCGTCAGCGGTTCGCCGTCACCTAGAAGACCCCAAGGATGCCGCCGCCTCCGCTGCTCTCCAGCCCGCAGAACGGGCGCCTGCGCCGGGCCTCGCTGCTGCTGCTGCTCGCCGCGGTCCTCCTCAGTGGCGTCGCCGTCCGCGGCAGCCCTCCCGGTAAATACGCACGGACACGCGGCTCCCACGCGAGGCCCGCGACACACAATCAACCTGTCAAACGAAGGTCCTTTAAAAAAAAAAATTATTTATTTATTTGAGAGAAAACACGTGGTTCTTTACCTGTTTTTCCATCTTTAACCGTTGAAGTGGTTCCGTTTAGATGGACGTTAGACAGCACATCTTAGATGTACACCAAACGTCACCTGTATGAGCACAAAGAAAGGACATGGGTGAGAAAAAACACACAATTCCCTTCCTTGTTATGTTACTCAATGCGTTTCCTTGTGTGCTCACATATTTTGTTGATATTAAATGAATCCAGCCAGGACGTAAATAAGTAGCTTCCATTCAATAATACATTGAATACAACGTGTGGGAAATAGAATATTGTTTTTCTGTGACGTGGAGCTGCTGTTTTCATTCTTTATTGTATTGTATTGCTTTGATTAGCTCATTAATGTATAACACATCTACCTAAATGCACTTTAAAAACCAAAAGCCTGCTGTTTTATTTAATCCGAGCAACAGCCACAAAAAAACAACAACAATTTGCTTAACATCAGAAAAAACGGGGAGCAAATGTGTGCAACATGCACGACAACCTGTTAACACTTTGAGTAACTGGTTAATCCAGAAACTGGTTTGAACACCAATTTAGATATTGGAGACTTATTTGAGGGAGTTGTGTGTCTGTGTGTAATGGGTCTCCCACACAGTGACGACTGCTGGGGGGGATAATCCGCCTCTGAGCTGTTAACACAGAAACCATTTGGGAGAACCGACAGCTGGGTTTTCACATGTAATCTTTATCCTTTATCAGAGGACACACACACTTGATCTGGTCACAGACTTGTGTGAATTCATGCACTTTATTTCCCACCAAACACATGAATCCATGGAGCCGCGGGGGTCCACTCCAGCCAACAGAAGGCAGTGCGTGATGCCACAGGGGAGTGTAGTTTTCGTGCACGACACAGAGGAGGTGTTGCAGTGTCAGTGTTGTTTTTCTTCTGCTGAGTAAATAATTGAAGCCTGTCGATTTAAAAAAACAACAACTATGCATTTCATTGAAATCGAACCATTTCAAATATCATAATTTCTCCTCGCCAGTGCTGAAAAACAAATCTTTGGAGGGGGAGATAGTTTGGTGACATTGAGAAGTTTTCCAGTGTAAAAATAAAATACTGTTTTGTGAGATGGAGACAGACAAAGTTCTCCCCAATCTCTTGTTTAACAAAGAACAAACCAGTATATTAGGCGTTGGTGTCAGTATTTTGGCCTATTGCTTGACTTTGTTGAGTTGAGAAAACACATTTTTTCACTCCGGCACGTTGCACAATGCAGCTGCACGTACTTTTTTTCTATTAAAGTCTTATGTACTCTGCAGGCATTTTTTAAGTAAGCGGTGCTTTACATATGGTTGAATATATTGAAGGGTTCTGCGGAGCCATTCGGTTTGAACGGGCACTCGGGTTTCAGGGTGATTTTGCTGGATGGTGTGACAACAGCATGAAATGCATATTAATCAGGTTGATTCAGCAAACATCAACACATCGTCATGTTTAAAGCAAAGCTTTTCACGCGGAACATTGGGTTCTTGGGATTGAAGTTGTCCAAAATCTCCATAAACCCAGTTGATTACATAAATTGTGTCCAGTCTGCTTGCCAGGATACACAATCCTTTCCCCTAACGTACAGAATCTGTTGTGTAATCCAGGCTCACTGTCGTCCATTATAACAGCAGAGTATTCCCCTTTTCACTCGTGAATGTTCCTGCTGCTCTCATGTTAGCGTTCCGTCGGCTCTCAATATTCCAATTCATCCCGATCATTGTTGCGCTGCCACGTCTAAATGCCGGGGTTGTCATTCACCGAGGGCGCATCGAGCTGGCGTGATGATTATTCAGAGACCCGCTGCCTCTGGCCTTTCCTTCCACCCGGATTAATCTTTAACGATTAATATCTTCCGTGTCTCACACACCGAGCCGGTAGCCGCAGGGTTTTTCAATCACCTTTTTGTTTCCCTGCAGCATAATTAGTCATCTGCTGACTCTGTAGGAAAGGGATTGAGAGCGTTGAAAAGTCAAGGGAAGTGACAAGCGATCACAGAGCGCCACAAACACCAGGAAACTTCTACGCCACAATTTGTATTTGTCAGACGGCATCTATGCTTGAAGCCTCGTGGAAGTCATTTCGGGAAGATTTCAGAAGCCGTTTAAAGTCAGAAGGTGCTTTCTAATGGCTGTGGTTTGTGGCCTGTGAGGGGATGTGACATTAGCAGCAACCTTCAGCGAGAGGACGGATGAGCGGCCCTGCGATTGTACGCTGGTAACCATCGTAGTGCAATTGTCAAAAAACGACACGATCGATCTTCCCAATTGTGGTCTTTTGTTATCTCGACTGTCTGTAAAGTGCAAGCGGTCGACCGAGGCTTCCCTGCTTCAACCCCCCCCGCTCTCCTCCTCTGGTCCCCGACTTTCCTTCTATCTCCAACCGACCTTCACTCGGCCGGCTGACCAGGCCCCTCCCGGGAAATGAGAGGGTCACGATTAATCAACTTACAGAGCGCTCCAGGACATGTGATACCGCCGCAGCCGGCGCGAGTCGCCTGGAACAAAACGCTCCGTTCTCATTTAGCCTCACGACCTCCCGCAGCCTTAATTGTCGCTGGGGCCGATGTGTCTTTCCTTCGACCCACGCCTGCGATCAACCTTGATTAGATTTTTCCGATTTAGTCAGAAAATGAGATCATTTACTATGTCAGCTGCTTTTTCCTGTGCGGGTGCACCCACATCCTCACCACGAAATGCAGCCTCGATCTCTTTCTGATACCCAGAAACCCTCCCGTTAAAAGAAGGCAACAGGTTTGCCACCGAAGAACTAAACTTAAGTCAATTGCGAGCCATTTGGTCCTGATCGATTTGGGCTTTTTCCTTTTGCGTTAGTCAATCTGATTATTGTTGAAACGACTGGACCACCCACAGCCAAACAAACACGATGACCGCGAGGGGAAAACAACAAACGAGTCATGTAGGACGCTTTGACCAACATGCTGCTGTTGTCTAATTCCATTAAGCGTTTGTTCTGCTCGGTGGGGGTGGAGAGGGGGGCCTTCTCTTCCCCACGCTAACGTTAATGACACAGTAGTTATCTGGTGTGTCATGATTTGGACCCGTCATTGTGCGGCGTGACATTAGTCGCTGCAACACAAAAGAAAAATTACAAACGGGAGGAGGAGGGCGAGCAGATAAGGCAAGAGAGAAATGATCTTTTTCCGCCTTCTACAATCTGGAATTCTTCAGTTTTCATTCATTTCCTTTTCACCTCCTGACCTCTTCCCCCGGCACTGCGACGCGTCTGCGTGTTGGACAGGTGCTTAGTCATGCCCCATTTTACACGGAGCGTGACGAAGAAATGTGACATGCAGGAGCCACTGAACCCGATTACTGTGGGAACACAACACCTACGCTCGCACCGAAACTGATAAGGCAAACAGTTTCCACGCATCAAGTCATTCGGAGTTGGCTCTCGGCTTTCTGACGCAGTTTTCGGAGAAGTGAAGATGTCGCAGCGTTTTTATGCAGCTGACTGAGCAATAACCAACAAATGGCATATTTCCACCCTATGAAGGCGGTAGATGGCGTTCAGCAAAGCGCCAAGAAAGATCTAACGCTGTATAATCAGTATGGCAGAATATCACAGTACGACAATTTTGTATTGTTTCCCATTTTACAGAGCATATTGTCATATTGCCTAATCCTGACAAACAGCCCTTGTCCCGACTGACGCCTATTAAAACAAAACGCTCGAAAACAATCTGCTGGGCAAATGTTGGCTTCCGTCATTTTTTTGGAGTGAGCACAGCAGCATATTTACACAAAACAATAAGCCACACTTGAGCACGCGCACACACTTTTTATCCATGTGGAAATAAACGGCGTGGTAATACATCCGGTGAGGAGCTCCACGCAGGAGCTCCTAAATGTTTCCACTTGATTTGGAGTGTTTGTCTTGCATCCTGTCTGCTATCAGGTCAGGATAAGCACACAATGGGAGTTTATGACCCTCCCTGCCGACCCATTTCCCCTTTTCCCTCTCTAAAGCGCCCTCGCAGTCACACACGCATACACATGGTTGTGTGATATGTTGTTGTATTGTGGCTGTAGGACAGCTTGAAGGAGCACACGTTGATGGTGTCGTGAGTGTGTATCTTTGTGTGTGTGTGTGTGTGTGTGTGTGTGTGTGTGTGTTGGCAGGCCTCTGTTTGCCTCTCAGCCTGCAGCAGCAGATGGTGAAGAAAGTCACTTTTCATTTGCTCCAAATGATACTTCCTGCGTCCCCGAGTTACCTCCCCTGTCTTTACCGATGCCGAACGAGCTAACGCATCTTTTCCATCTCCAGCTCGCTGTCCGTCTCCTGTTTTGTATTTATCGGCCTCCCTGATGAGCTTTCTAATGAGCGACAGCGCCGAGCGGGAGGCTCGGCTTGCCATTCACTTGCGTGTTTCCTTTTGTTATGCTGCTGCATGCAGATGCATGAGCTGCTTTGTCATATGATTACCATGACGAGCCTCTTTACAGATCCAGTTGTGTTTCAAATACAGAGCCATGATGCATTCATGCTTTGGTAATACAGTAATAATAATAATTGCATCCACTTGTTCTAGTTTGAAACTGAATAATCATTTACAATTTTGCCAGAGGCCTTTTTGCATCTAATATTTATTATTTATTATTTCTATGAACATTTCTGCAGTTTCAGATTAAATTTGGCTGCACTATTTTAATTATAATCAATAATTAATAGAAATATTAGGCAGCGTAGGCTTGATTTTGTATTGTAACGAAAATGGAAGTATAATTTCCCAAATTCACAACATGTATCTAACATATTTTCTGCTTCGATCCATATTTGTTGACATTTAGTCCTCAAAACAACATCTTTACCTAGATGCACACAAAAGGAGGCAGGCGTACTTATAGAACTACTAACAGCACCATCAATTGCATTGATGTAACTCCACTAACGTCTATTTGGTTCTTTGCTTGAGGTGACATTTCATATAACGGACTGAAGTTGGAACAAAATGTTTTCATGCAACTGTTGCCGAGGGACGGCTGTCTCCTTCTCTTCCCACTGGCTTGTTTTTTTTCTCCCCCTCTTTCCTCACTGTTACCAAGCCTCACACATTCCTAATGAAACACGCAGAGAGTCTGTTTTTGTGTGTGCTTTGTGTACGCATGGCGGCTGCGTGCGTGCGTGTGTGTGTGTGTGTGCGGAATAATTATCTGCACTCATGTGACTGCTGTGGGTTCCGCCACCTTAACATCCGCCGTGATGAATAACGGATGAAGTTCTGCCGACGGGTGCCGAGATGCTTCATTGTAATAACGACGTTTCCTTCTCGCTTTCATAACACAGGGATTTAATGCCCGTTTCCTCTTCCTCTGATTTATAAATAGTCTTTTTTTGTGCACGATGATACGCAGCGAATGGTTTGGCCGTACGTGAAGTGCGATCCTTGTCTCTTGACGTTGTCGCCACAACGCGGCAGCTCGCCTGTGATACCGAGGTGTTTGTGTGTCTGTGGCTTCACTGCAGACACTTTCCAGGCCACCTGTGTGTGACACATGTGTTCCGCGCTGTTTCTTCCTCACATTGCGGCGAGGTCACGCAGCTTTACACGGGGATGAGCTGCTTGATCTCTGACGCGAGTCCCTCCATCCGCACCTGATCCGGGGGGGCGGCCCTTGATCCTCAAGACGGTCGGATCAAAGGGTCGTAAAATCATATTAAAGAATGATAGCCGGTGGAATAATTTGGGGCGAGGCTGTGCGGAGGAGGATGAGAGGGAGGGAGACGTGATGGGTGGGCAACATGTTTCAGGAAACAACAGCATGGCGCTCCGTCGCCGGAGTGATTCAGTGAATGAAAAGGTTGTTGGGTGGCATCTTTAGAACAAATCAGAGTTTGCTTGAGTTTGTGTCAACGGTAGCTTACAGAAAGTGGAAGAAAAACCGGATTTATTGATATTTTGACAGATTAAGACCAAGCCTCCCATCGGCCCGCGACGAAGATCTATTTTCCGGTGACATTAATGTCTTCTAGGACATGAGGGTTTGTAACAAAAATCACTAAGAACACATGAAACCGATACCTGGAGGGAAATTAAAAGGAAGCCACGTGACATGTAAAAAGAGAAGCCGGGGGGGACAATTAGTGGAGGGAGCGATGAGGCGGCTCGGCACGTGACATCGTCACACTCACTAGGACGCGGCGTACGTTGGCCCCCCCCCCGGGGACGTGCGGGTGGGGCCTTGAATACGCACAGAAGTGGCCGAGCTGGAAGTGTCCCCCCGGGGGGCCTGATGCCTCCGTGGCAGCGAGAGAAGCTGTCGGCTCCAGATGTTACACAAGCGTCCTCGTCCTCCTGCTCCTTCCCGTGTCTTTTGACACGAAGGCAAAAACAAAGCGCCTCCTATTCCACGTGCGTCACTCCCCGAGGTCAAACCACGAGGAGACGCGGACGCGTGTGCGCGCGTGCCTCAACCCCCCCCCCACCCCCCCACCCCCCTTGGTGTTGTTGCGGTGTGCAGGCCGAGCGTTCAATGTGTGTGTGTCCTCGGGTTTGTGTCGCTCTCGGTCTGTGATGTGAGGTCGTTCTCGGGAGGTTATTTTAAACGGATTGGCTCATTTGAGATGTTATTTTTTTTTTTTTAGTTCGTACGCTTTCCCTTTTCAGTGCGCCGTCAAGCTGCTGCAAGCAACGTTTGCAAATCGCAGTACCGGTTAAACCTGGGAATACCAAGGATCTGTTTTAATTTAGACGAAGACATTAGTTAGATGAATGTATTGATGGATGGATGAATGCATGTCTAAGTATATTTATGTGTAGAAAAATGCAAAAAGCAAGTCTATCTGCTCTTCTTCTCTGCTGCCATCCCCGTCTGCATCCGAATCGCGCCTTCCCTGATGTCGCGGGCCGTGTTGCCATGGAGGTCATTGAGATATTCCCATCGGCCATTTCCTGGCATGTGTTGTCATTCTCTTATGTAGCAAGTGGGGGGAAACAAATCTGGTGCAGAAAGACGAAACCAATATGTACACTGAACTGATTCACCAAAGCCTCATTGCACAGGTGGTGATGATCCCGTTTACGAAGAGGTGAACGAACAGGCCAAACTCCTCCTTTTTTTAATTTTTTTTTTTTTTTTTTAACTGTTCCGTCACCTCTTCAGACTCCAACAGCCCTGACCTTATGAGACCCATTATCCCCCCACTCCCAGAATAGCGTCTTTCCTCCACACGCGGCCTCCCGTCTGTCGCGTCAGTACAAACGCACAACGCGCCGTCGGGCCTCTCGGCCGCTCTGCCGGGGCTCATTATCCGCTCTGCACCCCGGTGCTCCTCCTGCCCTCTGCTACCGATCCCCCCCCAGCCGTGGATCAGCGACCCACTTCTCCCTGAGTGTGCATCCCGAGCTGTTTGTGTGTGTGTGTGTGTGTGTGTGTGTGTGTGTGTGCGCGTTGTCTGTTTGTCTAATCGGATTGTGATCCTTGGGAGTGCAGCTCTCTGGCGCTCTTTGCTTTGGTTTAACCTGACTCCGCTCGTCAATCAATCGGGTGGAGTCTGCGCGTTACGTAATGCAGGAAAAAAAATATTCTAAATGTACATTTCTTACTGTGAAAACGCTGTTGTCCAATCTGGCAAACCTTTCCCTTGCTGAAAGATTTCCAAAAACTCTGGTTTATGCTGTAATACAAATCTGACATAAGTAGAGGCTCTATTTGAGGGCAGATGTTTCATCTCGCAATGGAGCAGAAGACACATTCACTAACGAGAGCGTCTGTTTGATGCTGCTCTTATTGAGTCTTTTTGTAGCACACGAAGAATTCTACTTAACTGCCTCATTAAAAGCACAATTTCCTGTATCACATTTTGGTTGTTGTGATACTGATGAAAGTGTTCTGTTCTCTCCCCCCACCCACCAGCTGGCAGTAAGTGCCCTCTCCATATAGATTGTGCTAAAGAGGGACGCCACTTCTGCAGGCCTGGCTCCTCCCGATGTGGCCCCTGCCTCTCGCCATTGGAGGAGAACAAGGAAGGTCGCTGCGTGGTGAGGAAGAGGCACCATCAGCATGGTAGGAAATATACTCTCAACATTTCTCTCTCTCTCTCTCTCTGTTGCTCGGGTTAAATATGTCAAACTGACAGTCAGAGAGGACACCCTCCCCCACGTCTACTCCTTTCACACAGCTCATGCATCTTCTCTAATTTGCTCCTCTCTGGTCTAATTCCCTCGTATCCACGCCCGTGTTCAGGTCCTCGCTCTCCCTCCATCTGTATCTCTGGCAGCTATGGTGCGGTCTAATCCTCTGTGGTTTTTAATCTGCCCCGGTCCCTGCTGCATCTGCAACACACACACACACACGTCAGCATCGCCCCCGCGCCGGCTTTAATCACTTAGACGACATTCCCCCCTCGCTGTCTCTCTCGCTCTCTCCTGCCCTTCATCTCCATCACTGAATGAAATTTCATTCACCGAAAGAGCCCGAGCTGCGAAGTGAAGTAAATCTCATTTTCCGTTTTCTCCGTGGCCCGACGTCGCCCTGCTGGCTCACAATGGCGCAGCAGAAATTAGAGGGAAATTGAAACATCTTGTGTGCCCCGGCAGAAGTGTGTGTGTGTGTGTGTGTGTGTGAGACTGCTCATTTCTGTCTGTTGGAGGGCATGTGAGTGTGTGTCTGTGTGTGTGTTCTCTGCAGGATTAATAATTTAGATGGGTCTGCGTCAGGAGAGGATACAGACTTGGCTCAAATTATTGGCGGCGGCATCAGAGCGGGAAGCAAACACGAGAGGGAGATGAGCATCGGGGAGAAATGTCCCGTCATGCAGAAGTCACTAGTTGTTGTTTTTTACGATGATAAAACCTGATCCGTTACTTTGACTTTGAATTGTGACTCATGTGTGATGCTTTTGTTTGCGTGGTGAATCCAGCACATCATAAGCCTCGGCTAAGCTCCCTGGTGGTTACATAAAACCCCTGAAAGACCACAGAACACAGCGAGGCGCACGGGAGGCCCACTCCACACTACTGTGTACGTAGTGAGAAATCACTCATTTCACTATAAAACCCGACAGAATGTGCAGGTTTGTTTGCCGGCGTCACACACTGCAAATCACACCTCAGGAGTTGCGTCAGAAAATGGGCCCATTTGTTCTAATTCGATTTACAGCTTTGATGTAGAAAAACACATCGTGTCATCAAGCTGACTCACTGGCCTTGCAACCTTTTCAGCGTTTCTACTGTTCGACAGAATAATCTCAGTAATATCACAGAGCACTTTTTTTCTTAAAGCAACGTGTCTCGAGAGCCACGCAGGAATACATCATCTGACGTACGGACAAGAGGGCGGGAACCACAGTGGTGTCTCTCTTATTAGGACCTGGTCACTTTCCTCCTGCTTGTCCTCTTTCTGGCTGTAGAAGCTGGAGGCCGCGGCTGGATCGGTCGTACGGGGTCTCGATGGACATTTTTTGTCCATTAGACATTTTTACGTGGTCAAGTCACCAGACATTACATATATGCCCTTTGACGTCATGATCTTCACAAATATGCATTGGCCTTTTCTCGGCATTTATCTTTCTTTGATATTTGAATTAAATCAACCAATTGATTGATTGTTAAAGAAATGGTAGGATAATAATAACGTTGTGGTGCTTTTCTCCCTTTAAGCCCTTTGCAGTCATTGCAGTAACAACACATCTTTCAGAATAAAGTAAACTAAGGCTTCCTCTCCAATTACATGTCTTATATCTTATATTAAAAATGTCTATTTCAGTGCTTCTGGTTTAATGTCTGTCGCCTTGTACCCTTTTGTCAGTTTGGTTTGTATGCGGTCTAAAAGGTCAACATGTTATAAAAGAACTCGGAGGTTGAATGAGCACAGGGGATTGAGATGGTTGAGGCGCCGGTAGCACTTTTTATTGAAAGTAGGGACCTGTGCGTATTTGACATGAAGGCGTGAGCTGCCATTGGTAAACATGCAGCGTGGAAGCCGTGTCCTTTGTTCAGCAGCCGCACAAAGTGTGCAGATTGTTTTCTTTTCTTCACGTGCAATTAAATTGTGTATGTACCAAAGGCAGGGCTGTCTCTTTTTGTGCATGCATATTTCTATTTATTTACTTTATATAATATACAATAGAGCAATTCACAAACCTGTAAAAATAAAGGCATTCAAACAACTACTTTAGGGGCTGAGTTACAAAGAGCATGAATATCCTGCATCACTTTAGTAACGAGAAGTTAGATCACTAAACTGATGGAGAGCCAAACTGCAGTTGTAACCGATGTTAAAAATGGAATAAACATTTACACTTGAGTGATCGAGGGAATTGGTAGCAACCCACACTACTTCTAACCTGTGAAATGATTGTTTTATATAGTACAGTATCACTTCAACGTGACATTTTTGGGGATTGTAACCAGTCACACGTTTTGACGTCATACTAACATGTTGAAATGTAGTATGTTCTTGCTAACACTTTCCTCAATTTTCCATGAATTAACTAGACTGGCGGCTCGCCGTAGTATACTTTGAATCAGGCTGGTTTCATAATAAACCCAATATTATATATATATATATATATATATATATATTATATTACACTTCTCATGTGATGTGCTGGCGGACTCTCTCTTTGCAGATGTAGTGCAGTAACTTCTTCATAGGTCTTAATCTTCCTGTCAAAGTGCACTAGATAGATGCATTGAACTTTTTTTTTCAGGGTGCCCCCCCTACAGGATCGCAGGTCCACCCACCATAGTCTCCAAAAAAACATGCGGGAAACGCTTCTTTCCTCATTTTTCCGATTACTTGAAAAATATTCTATATGAATGAATAAATGTATTTCATATTTTCAACATTGTCCCTTGGTTTTTTTTAACGTATTGTTGAGAGTAAGAGGTCACGGCATGTTTACGAGCTGATATTGGCCAATTAGAGTTCTGACAGAACAGAAAAAGTAAACAAAAAAGAGAGAAATGTTTTTTCCACCGATTCATGAGAGACAGGCAGGACTGTATACTGAAGAACATGTAGCAGAGTTCCTCTTCTCACCAAAAAAGCTCTGCAGTGATCTGAGACATTTTTATAGCAGGTGGAAGGAGGCGACTGCTTCAGATTTCATGGGCAAAATTACTTTTTAACTGTGCGCCGCTCCCTCATCCAAAGCACTAACTCTTTAGTACGAGTTTCTGTTTGAACTGTATTCAGGAGCTATAAATCAGACCTGAAGTCTCTGGCTGCGTCTCTTCCTCGTGTGCATGTCATACATTAAATGCACCACTAGAAGGCAGCAGGACACTGATTATAAATCAATTATCTTTGGACAGAGGGACCTGCTCATTGTGACTGGGACACTCACAACTTGCAATCCAGATTTTAAAATGTACTTTTGTTGAAGTCTTTGTGAAGCTTGTGTAGATCAAACACACAAATACCGACCAAAAGTGTCAGGATCTGAGAAATCCGTCTGATTTCGAGATTTTGAACGAGGACAAGGCGGCAGGAAGTGTGTGTGTGTGTGTTCATGTGTGTGTGGTTTGGGGGTGGAGGAAAGGTGACTGCTTTTTAAAAGGGAAAATAGAACAGGACAGATGTGTGCGATCCTCAATCCCTGTTGAGCTGTTTATTGTTTGTTTGTTGTACCCGACAGCCCCCCGGGTGCCTCTCCAGAGGTTATGGGTCATTATCAAGCCGGCGACAAAACTCTTACACAAAGAGGTCGGTGCGTGCTTAGTCAGTGTGTGACAAACCACACACATGCAGACAATCCCAAAAAGGCCTCTTTTGGGGGAAATTATCAACTTTGAACGAGGATTTTCAAAATACTAAATACTACTCATCCGTTTGTAACCATCTCGCTGCACATGTAAAAGAAATCCACACCACACGTTTTTTTATCTCTAAAATGTTATCCTGCACAGTTGGAGCTCTCAACCACCTGCAAAGTGCAGATGGTGCGTCCCTCCTCCACTGACACCTGCCATGGAGTGCACTAAATGGCCATTAGTGGAGGGGGGTAAGAAAATAACAAAGCAGGCAGTGAAAGTGCTGGCATGTCATATCATACATACTAGCGGAGCCAGATGGCCGGCCTTCTGGAGCCCAAGTGGCTACGTAATCATTAATGTAGTAAAGGTGGCGTTTAAATGGACCACGGCAGTTTTGTTTTTAGGTATATTTATCTTGAGTTGATCATTTATTTGTCTGTACTGGTTTCAACGTAAATCAAAACAACTGTTAGTGGCAAACGATGCCGGCCGGCTCATCCTCTTCAGCAAGTGATGCAAGCAACTTCTCCTTTTTTTTTTCGCGCCATTATTTCCGTTTCCCTCCTTTTCAAGTGGATTTCTGACTCTGCAGCTTTGCTGGCAAATGCCTCTGATTTTTGGTATTTGATATATTGCAGAGTAACCCCCTTTTTTTTTTTTTTACGAAGGGAAATGGCACTTTGATCGCCACCATTAGCAGTGAGCGACGGGATCTATTGTGAATGTAGCAACTGAGAGCCGGTGAGGACAAAGTTTGGCTGAGTGCTCGTGGCCCCCCTGCGGTGCTTCCTCCCCCCGGCCACACACACACACACACCCCGTCGGCCCCGGTCGCCCTGGACACCTCGGCCGTACTGCAGGAATGCGGCTCACTGTCTGGCCTCAAGGGCTGTTAACAACAGTTTAGTATTGTCTCCTTTTTTCCTTTTTTATCAGTCCACAAACAAACAACCCACATGGGCACACTCCCTGTTCGTCACTTCAGAGGCGAGGTCCTGGAAACCGCATGGATGTGTGGCCTTAGCATGCGCACGGGCCCTCGGCCTCCCCTTTCTCATGCCTAATAGTTAGTCGTGTGATTGGCTGCGATGGAAAAAGCACATATTTTGAGATACACCGCTGAGACAAATCATTCTCATTTAATTCATTTTGTTGATTCACTGAGTTGATTCACGTTGAAGTTAAATTCTTAACTTTAAATCCTGTCTGCAGGTAAAGTGGCGTTCTACCCGGACGTGGATGAAGAGATCGATTACATTCACTCCGTCATTGAAAAACAGGAAGTGACAGAGATCAAACCACCAAAGCGAACCAAACACCCTGGTAAGACGGTTTTGCTTTCAGATGTGTAGGATATACTTTTAGGTTCTTCTAGTACGTTTTCTTTAAAATAAAGAGGATGTAACATCATCCCCACGTGCCCTTTACTTGACGTTCACCTGCATCAGATATTGACATTTCCCTCAGGTTGCCCCTTAATTCTCGCTTGTGTTCTCTCTACCGTCTCCAGTGGCCGCGGCAGCTGCAGATAAAAGCGAGACGGGTGCCTCCGAACCCAAACAGACAAACCAGGCACGTCTCTTGACTGAGACCCTCAACACCACCACTTCAGCCCCCGCCGTCTCCGGCCCTCCCAACACGCCAGCCCCCCGGCCCGGGGCCCCTGGCGTTCTGGGCCGAATTGGACCCATAGCTGTGCCGACATCCAAAAGTGACAACATCATCGTCGGTGAGTCTGAAAGCCCGATGTTCCACTTTAACTTCTATTCATCCCAGTGTGTTTATTGCTTTTGCGTCCAACTGTAATGAGCAAATGGGCTAAGAAATGATTATATTTATCACATACAAGAAAAAGGAGGCCCCTCCATCACTGCTCCCTTTTTGTTTCCCTCTGTGTTCCGTGAAAACCTGCAGTTGTGATTTCGCTGTGCGTGGTGGTCGGCACTGCGGCCGTGATCCTGGCAACTGTCTGTTACGTCAAGTAAGTACGGAAGACCTGAATTCGAAAGTAACGTAACGGAAAGCTGGAGTTGATCTCTCTGCTGTCGAGTAATCTCAGGTTGAATGAATTTCTCAGTCAAATCCACTTGATGTCGGTTATTTCGACTCACGATTTTGATTCATGATCCCACCTCGCCCCACGCACAGGTTGCAGAGAAACTCCCGTTTGGCTCAGAAGGTGGACTACCCTGCTTTCAAAGGGGCCGGCGTAGCCGCTACCGCAGCCAACGCGCCATCTGTAAGCGCGCCGCCTTTCCCTCACCCAATTGTTCGAGCTTGCTTTGGTTACAACTCTCGCTTCTTCTTATGTAGTAACCACAACATGTGACCGTGCACAGAAGTGTCATCCACGTTTCCTCCTTCTGTCGTCTCCTCAGGTGGGGGACAACACTTTGGCTCAAAGCGCTCAAATGTATCACTACCAACATCAAAAACAGCAGATGCTCTCGATGGGAAAGTAAGTTGTTTTTTTTTTCGCCGACAGACCCTCCCTTTCCACTTTTCCCCGCCTCTCATGTCCTAAATGCAGAGTGAAAATGTTCAACCACTTCCTCCGACCTCGCTTGCCTTAACGCCAGCGTCTCTTCTTTCCCTCCTTCAGTAACAAACCCGAGCAGAAGGTCCTCGACTCCGAGGTCACGTCCGACGAGGAGGAAGTGGGCGGAGACTTCACGGTGTACGAGTGTCCCGGACTCGCGCCGGTGGGGAACACGCAGATGCACTTAAGCTCAGAATAATCAGCTCCCATGATTGTATGTGACTCAAAGTGGATTTTCTCTCCTCCCTTTTACAGACCGGAGAGATGGAAGTGAAGAACCCGCTGTTTGACGACTCCACTTTGCATTATCAGGGGAATTCTTGAACACCTCTCACACACATATTTACACACAGGTATACAAGCCACTTCTCTGGAGGAAACCACTTGATCTCACATTGCATGCAAATAGAAATGGAGGATACTGGCAGAGGTGATAAAAAAAATAAAATAAAGAAGATTGTTTTCTTGTTGCCCCTCTACTATATCTGCCCCCATAATGGCATTTATCACTACAGATGTATGTTGGGCTCCTTGTTAATTTATTTCTGACCCAATGTTATCAGAGTCGTCCCGGATTTCGTCTCTGAGTTGAGATTTTTCCCTCCACCGTTTGTTACTTTCCTTCATTTCTGCAGCTATTTCCAAAGAATGTGATCCAACAGCAGACGTCTACAACACACCGAGACAGACACACACACACACACATACATAAGCAGAAAAACAGGTGCCCTCTCCTTGTTTTGTCATGCATAGCTACCGTCTAAACCACATTCCTGACAGATCAAATCTCTGCGATACCTCTGTAAAAACTCCCTAACACAACACAAGGTTGTTACTGTTGGTGTTGCCGATTTTATTCATTGTCATAAAGGCTGCACATAAAGATTTTAAGATTATAGAATATAAATATATATATATATATGAAAATGAAGTACTTGATGACGTCTGTTTGCATGGTTTGACTTACTGTGTTTGATTAATGCTTTGCTGAACTATTCGGCCTCCTGTATGTATGCATCTTGTTGCTGAAGGAGGAACGTACAGTAAAAGCGACTTCGGAGCACTTGAATGAAGTTTTGGTGACGGACTATACTGATGGATGCGTAGGTGGTAAATATCACTCTGTTGTATTGTCGCTCTTTCCTCGCTATCTTCTCGTCGGGCCCAGGTTAACTTCTTGCTGCAAAATGTACATACAAAGAGTGAATGTGTTCACTTTTATAGATATTTGTACATGCAGACCAAGGATTGGAATTAAAATTTTTACCACATGTGGAAATTACTTTGTTTCCTTTGCTTGGTATACACCCCCCAAAAAATAAAATATATATAAATAAAAAGCAATCACAACTAATTGCTTTATTTGTGATAGTAACAAGAACCACATGCACAGAGGGAAGGAGATGCTGGTTCTCAACCGTCATTTTCCGAGGTTGACAGAAATACAAAGATGTGATGTTAGAAATTATGTTGAAATGATCTATGTTATCGTTTTCAAGAGCATTCAATAAAAAAAGAATCCTGTTAGACATTGTTCAAACCCGCAATTAAATCATCTTAAACTTGTTAGGATCCCAAACCTTTCAAAGATGCCAAATATTTCCGATTGAATTTGGGGGTATAAAATGATGCACAAGACATTTTTTTTAATGTTTTACTTGAATCAATGGTGCTGCCATAAAAAACTGTAAGCCCTCAGTACACAATATGAACATATAATTTCAACGAGGAGCGTAAACAAGCTTATCCGTATCAGTGTGTGATGGTGGAAGCAGTGTTGTAGTCAAGAACGCGAGGGAGGGATGTTGAGGTTGAGACAAGGCCGAAACATTGAGGCCTTTGAGGTCGAGTGATGAACCAGAGCATGCTGAGTCCCCCACTGCAGCAAATACTACAAAATGTGGACCATGCAAACTATAAGCACTCCTTTGACCACCACAGAAAACAAATTACTCTCTTTTTTTTTTTTTTTAATATGACAAACCCTCTACCCCGTATTAGTGTGCAGTTCTTCATACCGAAGTGGGGTTTCAGCTGGCACAACATTTACATTCAGCCCGTCTGAGTCAGCAAGTCAAACTGCAGTGAGCTCTGCGTTTCCTGTTCAGATGAACTTTCCTACCACACGACACATCTCACCTCGCAGTGTGACACATTTCTGTTGAGTTACTGTCCGCACCCTAACAACTACACCCAGTGTGTGTGTGTGTTACGGGGTTGGTTCAGAGAGAAATCATGCATGTACCTCCGTGTGGGTTTTGTGTATGGGGTCGTATGTCTGTGGTGGGGAGGGGCGGGGATTGCTCAGGTTCCATTGAGCCGCATGCTAAGGGCCGTTAAAAGCCCTTTGTGGAGGAGACAGTGGAAGGACGGCAGCCATTGGCCCTCGGATGAAAACCGCGGGTGGGATGGAGGGTCTGTAAAGGTGGGTATCAACGGCAGGGCCGAGGAAAATTAAAAAGCCATCATTGTTGTTTGAGGTATGAGCAATATTTAAATTCCAGTCAAATTAGTTTTATAAATCAGTAACTTAATGAGACCGGCTTCTATGTCCATATTAATTTTGTTAAAATACATCATTATCATGATAAGCTTTAAAATGCCTTTTCGTTCTCTGGATTGCAAAATGTATTTAGACCCTTTTTTAGTTTGTAAGACTTTCAAAGAAGACAACAGTATTATTAACAGCTTCTCAGAAGTGCTTATCTAGTAACACCATCAGTCTCCAAATAAAACAATCATCTCTTAAGATGACATGTGAGGATGTGTTGATATAAGACAAACACACATCCTAAAATGAAAGACATCCGTACATGCCAATAAAAGTAAAACAAAAAGCTGCAACGCAGCAAAATAATCTAATAAAAAACCTGTCAGTCAATCATACACAGCAGCACTTCTGAGTTGGATACCACACACACCTTCTTTTTCCTTTAATGTGGCCTACAGTGAAGGTGGCAAGGAGACCAATTGAAGATAAATAAACTAAAGAGTAGTAGACGATCTGATTCTTTGGGGTTGGCTTGGTTACGTTGGCCTCCAACGGTGTGACTAGCTGAGGTGAGCAACACATTCACACTGCCGCTGCATCGGCAGCCTTTCTTTTATCTGAAACCGTCTCTCCTTTCTCTGTTTGACCGGACTTGCCCTGCGAGCAGATCTCCTGTAGGTGTCTTGAAGAGGCCACTTAAAAAAGAACTAAAGACAAGATCTGAGACATTGGGGGCAGGGGGGGTCAACTAAATACCCAGAGACTCCCCTCACACATCTCCTCCTCACTGTACCGAGCTATTCAACACTAGCTCCCCTCCCCTCCCTCCTTTGGACACCCTGAGAGCTCTGTGCTCTGCTGTGCCTTTCTCTCTGAAGCCCTGCTAAAGTCTGCTATCTCTCTCTCTTGCTGTCTGTCTTTTGCATGACAATTATTCACCCAAGTCCATGGCCCAGAACAATGCTTGTGTAGTTAGGGTTTGATGTCTTTTAAGCTATTCCCCCTCAGGATGCCTGGTCCCGGGCCTACGTAACTTTTTTTTTTGTATCTGGGGGGGCAGGGAGGGTGATGTAAACGCATTATGGCGTGAGTTAATTTATGAAACTCAGAAGAAGATATATTATTTATTCAATATCCAATAAATTCTGGTTGCAAACCGTGGCGACGCATGGGAGGTGTAACAAAATTTCTGTTGTATTTTTGTGGTGTTACTCCATTCCACCATTTGTTGTGAAATAATCCATCTTTAATAAAAAAAAAACAGTACAAATACAGTAATTGTACTTCACATGTCACATGGGCCAATTCAATAAATACAAAAAACATCCTGGATGAACTCATTTGTCTGAAGGTGGAAGGACACCGCTTGATCACTGCATCCGCACACAGAACCCTGGACCTCGGACCAGTTTTGGACCTTTGGGGGGCATCGGACGGGGAGCCAGTGGATAGTGTGTGGCCCCAATGACGCTCGGACCCGCAGACCGGGGTGAAACCCCAGCCTGGTGTTTGTTTCCCAGCACGGGGGTGGGTGGGGGTGGGTGGGGGGGAGACGGGAGGAGGAGGTGGGTGTGGGGCGGAATCTTGTTGAATCAAAGGGTTGAGACTTATTGTTCCAATTTGAAAAAGGAGCTAATGGTCGACCATCGCAACTCGGGATCTGAAATCCACGGGGTGCCCCGGGGCCAGGTCGTACAATGGCACCCCCACCCCTCCCTCCCCGCAGCGTGTCTTCCTGCCGCAATCTGCAGCCAACGACTCGCGCTGGGGGAGCGCATCTGTACCCGTGATGCGGCCATCCAGGCTTTTGAACGACCATCGATCAAGGCTGAATGGGAGAAGTTCACCTGAATGAGACTGGAGGTTTTACGATGTAGTTCTCTGGTTTCTTTCATTCGGAGCTCGGCGAGGAATGCCGTTTTAAAAGTGGCTCCTGATTTCTCCGTGAACAATTTATTTAGATGCATACTGCAGACAAATTATTATTCAGGACAAAGCAGTACAGCGACACACCAGTCTAACCTATTTTAAAAGAAATGGCACAAAGGCGTAATGTGGCCCATCATGCAATCCTCCTCGCTTATCTCATGCTTTCCAAACACTTAGATTCCCCGTAGCTCTAATTGTTTTTCCATCGTTAGAAGTTGCCCCAAACATTCATTAGTTTGTCTCATATCTTTACCAGGTACACTTGGCCCCATCAACTGTGTACACTTGTATTTATCCCGTATTGAAATGAGTTATCTAACTTAGTTGAAAGGATACTGATTAAAATAAACCCTGGCCTAAATGCCCAGGATTGTAATATCAAAGCCGTGTCCTTAATGGAGAATACCTTAAACAAACCCAGCAATATAATTCATGCATGAGCTGAGGACGTTATAGTGTTACAATATGTATTTACAGGAGCAGTGGCTCGTGCCTATTTAGCAATGTAAATATGCATTTTTTTTAAGTTGACTTAACACGATTGAATCGTTGATATGGTTTGTATCATGCTAAGATAAGTTTAAAAACCGCTTTAAAAGCGGAACGGGCGGTTGTTCTGCAGCCAAATTGAGTCAAACGTCCGTGAAACCACGCCCACTACTCCAGGACGAATCAAGGTCATTCACAAATTCACCATCAGCTGTGCGCGATTGTCTCGCTGGGCCAATGGGCGAAGAGTTACGGCGATTTCCAACACCGGCAGCTGCGATTAGCCGAACGTGTGGGGTCGAGGCCGCAGAGGAGCGCTGGAGCCTGAAAGGTGGGGTGACTGGTGACGGCGTAGAAGGCAGAACTTCATGGTGTAGGTCGTAGGCGTGTTAGGTGGTTATGTTGCACCAAAACGGCAACAGCGCAGGTCTACATTTTTGCATAATCGCCCCACCGCCCCCCAAAACGGACTTTTCTCGGTGAGGTGTTGTGGGCGAGATTTTGTCGGAGAGCTCCTTCTTTTATCCTCCGTCTTTTGGTGCGTGTGCGCGTGGGGAAAAACAAAAACGAACGAATGGACAGAGTTTAGTCGGCGCAAACTTTTTTTCCTTTTCCCCCAAAGATCCAATTTGGGACGCTCGCTTTATGACCGGTTCTCACGCATTTTGGGAGATGTCTGAAAGATCGCAGAGTCCGGAGTGCCAAGTCAGGCCGTATGACTTCAGCCGCACCAACCCTTGCAACCAGGTTCTGGGTCACGAGTGTTCGGGCAGCCCCGCGTCATTCCAGCTGCCCCACGGCGTCCTGCCGGACCCGGGCCTTTTCTACAACAAAGCCGCTTATGGTGGCATCACACCGGGGTCCGGGCAGACCTTTTTCGCGTTCCCACCGGTCACCAGTGACTACCGGGGATCCGATCTTCAAACTGGAGAGTTTGGGCAACCCAAGCATTGGTATCCATTCGCTGCGCCCGAGTACACCGGCCAGGTACCCGGCGCAACGGGAGCCAGCCAGCCTACAAACCTGAGCCCCCCGCAAGCCGAGACGCGGGAGCAAATCAAACTGCACGAAATTAAGACCGAAAAGGACACCAGCAATGACTACTCAACGGAGATAAAGGTTCAACAGTATCCAACTGCGCCAGCGTCCGCCGCCATGGCCCATGGGGTCTTCTACTCTCCGGCCTGGAACTCGTCCTTCTGGCCCGGGATCAGCCACATGACACCACCCAGTAGCAGTAATCAAAACCCCTCAACATCCTCTGCATCGTCGCCGTCGATGTCCCCATCTCCCCCTAGCAACGGGCTTCCAGGGAACGCGTTTTTCAGCGTGAACACCACCCAGGCTGCCGCCGGGCCGCAGGCGCAGAACCCGGCCTCTTCCACGCGGAGCAGCGGTTCCTCCAGCGGCGGGTGCAGCGACTCGGAGGAGGTAAGAACAGCCGTTTGATCGGTCCTCTGATTACCAAACTACTAACGTCCCCACAGTGCCGACTTATACCATATTGCTGTTTGTCTTTTAATTTTTCCCGTTCAGGAGAATCTTTCCACAGAAGAGCTGGAGCAGTTTGCCAAAGAGCTGAAACACAAACGCATTACCTTGGGTTTCACCCAAGCTGATGTTGGCCTTGCCCTGGGAAACCTCTATGGTAGGTTTGTTTACCATAGGGAGATTTACAGAGATGTCTGTATCATGCTATTTTTCCCCTCTAGTTTTAAAGTAAGAATTGTTCAAATTGCTGCAAGAATTAAATAACCAGTATCGGACACCCCGACGTTGAGAATTTGTCATGGCATGTCTTCAAGGGTCATCTCGGAGCTACTCAAATAATAATGCTGCATGGGAGTCCATTTTTAAACCTGCTGAATTTCTTGTTAAAGGTGTAGTTCCTAGATCCAACAGCATTAACGAAAGGAGCAACTAATCTGCATGTGTGGGAAACCGAAGTCAATGACTCTTGATTAATTATCATGTGTATGTTCACGTAGGTAAGATGTTCAGCCAGACGACCATTTGCCGCTTTGAGGCCCTGCAGCTGAGCTTTAAGAACATGTGCAAGCTGAAGCCCCTTCTTCAGAGATGGCTCAACGAGGCCGAGACCTCGGACAATCCCCAGGATGTAAGTCTGCTTCTCTAACATCTGCTGACTCGTTTGCAAGACAACAGAAGATCGCCAAGGCCCGTTGGATCATGGGTCTTTTCAGGCCTGGCCAGCAGAAAGTTGACCAGGATTAAGACCCTTTCACTCTTCTGAAGTGTAATACGCCACCCAGTGGCCAATCAGTTTTGTGAGCGCACAACTTTCTATAACCTTTTTTTAATGTGTGACATGAGCCAAGTGCTTTCTAATCCTCAGATGTACAAGATTGAGAGGGTATTTGTTGATACCAGAAAGCGGAAGAGAAGGACCAGTCTGGAGGGAGCCGTGCGCTCTGCCCTGGAGTCTTACTTCATCAAGTGCCCCAAGCCCAACACCCAAGAGATCACGCACATCTCAGATGACCTGGGTCTAGAGAGAGATGTAAGTACAAACCCTAAACTACATCCCATTTCCCTCTTTTCATCTTCTTAAAAAGAACACGTCCAATTGGTCACGTTTTTAAAAGACAAATGTCATTCCTTCCAGGTTGTACGCGTGTGGTTTTGTAACCGACGACAGAAAGGAAAGCGCCTGGCCTTGCCACTAGACGAGGAGTGCGACGGGCAGTACTACGAGCAGAGTTCTTCCCCACTGAACATGGTCAACTCCCCGATTCCCAATCAGGGCTACCCGGCGTCCAGCTACCACGGTGCCCCTCCTCCTACACTGTACATGCCGCAGCTCCATCGGCCCGACCTGCTGAAACAAGCCCTGCACCCCGGACTAGTTGGTCACCTGACTGGATAAACGGGTGCGCAGGTAGACCGGAGCCACAGATAGCCTTCCCATGCCTCTCTGTCCGACCCCCATTTGAGCCGAAGAAGCGTCTCTAAACCCAGTTGCAGATTACATCGGTTGATGGTGAGATAGAAACATTCCAAGTGGGGAGGCTCGTCTACCGACTGCAGCGGGGAGATGGGAGTGGTTCCTTGATCCCGCCGTGTGGCAACATCCTCTTCAAATGGCTGGATTTCCCTTCAAACCGAGAGTTAAAACCGAACATGCCCTTTTTGCTTTTAATTGGCTAATACGTAGTAAGTTATTCTAAATAGGCTTTAATCATTACAAGGTTAGAACAATGTCAAAGGGAGATTTGGTGCGGATGTTAACTTGTTTAAATAAGTGGTCCAGTTGTTGGGTTAAAGAGCCATGGTAATCCCTCCACTTTTGCCAAAACCTGCCCAGGATTTTCTGTGGTGCCGATAATGAAATCATTACAAGTTTGGAATTTTAAATCAAAATCTTGACCGTTTGTCAATGTTTGTGCAATACTTTCATCTATTTCATATGAATAGACCAGCTGCAGTATTTGTCTGATCTGCCTCATTGTGGTTTTGCACAACGTTTCTTTTGTATTGTTAAATCTTTTTTCTTTTTTTTTTTTATAAACTAATATGCCTTGTATGCTGAACACAGATTTTTGTCCTACGGTTGTTGATTATCATTGTCTTTTAGCAAACATTTTTTTATGTGTGTGTGGGGGAGGGGTGAGTGATGTGACGCTAAATAATGACTTGTTACTCACGTGTCTGAGCTGCTATCTGCCATTTGCACACAATCAATATTTTCCCAATGTCTCAGGTGAATTATAGCGAATTATTGACTAATGTGACCTGGATCAATTTTTTCAAATTGTATTTCAATATGTTTTAAAGGGTTTTTATGTTTACAAAATGTTGAATAACACTCAATACTTGTGACAAGTTTTGCTTAATGGAGTATTTCTCTTCAGATATTTTTAGACAAGTCAAGACATTAAATGTCATTTATTCACTCCTATGAACTGATTTTATTTGAAAAAATTAACAGTAACCTAAAGTGCTTCATTTTTTCCATTTGTGAATATCCTAAATACTCAACTTTTTTTTTTTTCTCAAACCGATTAAGTGGATTTATTATAGTTAATAGCTACAATGTCTTCAAAACACTAACCATAAATCTATGCAACTAGTCAAAAACCATGATCGTCTGTCTTGATATGTATAAAGGTCAAATGCTTTTTTTTCTTTTCATGTTAGTAAAGTTTTTCATATCCAACTCTTTTTATTTTTTTTATTGTGCCCTTGCAGTTTAATTAACCTACTCAAGTCCAACTTAACCAGATACGGAAGAGTCAGAAGTAATTACCCACAGCAATTGAGAATCACTTTAGTATGTGGCGTTTCCTGTAATTTTTCACTTTCTTGGCTAAAGATATGGGACATTGTCAAATAATTTATTACAGTGTAAATGTGAAATGACAAACATCAAAAAGAAACGTTTTTGATCATATCCTGTAACATGGTGCCTTCCTGGAGCAGTATGGGTCTGTTCATATCGATGACCATAAAGTGTCTGCTCTGTTGGGTTGAATTGAAAGGAAGTCTGGGAAAACAGTACTTTAACTTCCCAAACTTTTCTTAGCGAGGTCTGTGGCTTGTTAAATAGTTCTGGGTATATCAGTAGGCCCTACTATGGTGCGATTTTTTTAATCAATGCTCTTTGATGAATGGATAAAGCATGTGTGCATACATTACGTGTTTCCAGTGTCTTTTGAGGTTTTCTAATTCTCAAGGACGCTTTTTGGTCTAGGAGGTCGTCACATTTGTGCACGCTTGATTGTTATTAGCATTGACCCAGGCCTCTAGGTTGGAGTAAACCTTCTGCTGAGGTAAACTGTTGTCCTGTGAGCAGATCTTGCACAGTCTCTCCCTCCAGTCTGTGTAAAGCTTCACTTTCCAGTGTTGTTTCCAGGTAAAAAATTCATTGTAGCGCTTCTTGTCCTCTGCAAGCCCTTGTAGATACTTCCCCAAGTCTTTTACTGATGCAAAGTCATCAACATGGATGAAAGAATTAGGTGGAGCCACAGCTTTGTAGCTGTCTACTGGCGGTCCCAGGACGACAGGCACAGCCCCGCCTTGGAGCCCGTTCCTCCACAGCTTCTCTGTGACATAATCTTTGGCGACAGAGTTTTCCATCGCCAAATAAAAGTAGCAGCGAGATATTGCAGGTAAGAGGGCGTTAGAGGGGAGGGGTCTCTTTGCCCAGCGGCCGTAAACCTTTACGGGAACTGTGGCCTTGAGCTCTTTGTACACTTTGCTTCTCCTGTGATGGCTCTTATAGTTGCTGACCACCCAACAGACCAGGAAGCTCTTATTCAGAGGGACTTCTTCAACCAGATGTCCTCCCGCGTCCTTCGGCAGCAGCTCGCCATAGGGTATTGTGACATCAGCGTCTCTCCTGTAGGTGATGGTCATGTTAAAGACGTTGTCATACCGGCACAAGTTTCCGTTGTGGACAGGGGCTTCCAGGGACATCCAGGCCCACCTCTGGCCCTGTGGCCGTGTGAGGTTAAGGGGCAGCTTCTGGTGTCCCATTACCAGCTCTTTGGTGTGGAACACAACCACATCGGCTGAGGGGAAGAAGGAGCGCTGGTCCACCAGTCTACAGCCAAAGATGCCGTAGAGGTCCCAGCACACGTCACCCCTCAGGCTGAATGGCCTTCTGAAGGGCCAGTACCACAGCAGGATGGTGATGTTTCTCCGGTCATGGAAGGTGGTTGGAGTTATGGCTTTCGGTGCCCGGAATCCCCTCGGCCATCCATTGAAAAGACACAGCGATAAAACACAGAGGAAGGAGAGGAGGAGGCGCATCTTCATTGAGCGGAGTACGATCCTTCTGCACACCCCTCTTACACACTCCTGTCACAAAAGGAATCAGGAAATATGATCATAAATGAGCAATGGGGTTTATGCTTAACATTTTTGTTAAACCAGATGTTAAATCACTGTGTCAGGGATTTCTTCAGGTTTAAGTCTGTTCATTACACATCACATACCATCACATATCAATTATTTGTTGCCATGTTTTTGAAATTTGGATTCACCCAAAATGACTCCAGTATCAATTGCGTCTTAAAATAAATTAGTCAATTTTTATTCCAAAAACAAAAAACCTCAATGCAACGCTCACTTTTTAAAAATGCCCAGGTCGTGTTGGGGTTAAAGCACCGACAACCTATACATGCATTTATTCACCCATTTCTACAGTAATAACCAATATAAATTGCACCCAAAAATTTTTTATTTAGCATATATAGAAACCAATGACCAATTCTCAACTTAACACATCTTATCACAAATTGAAGATTATTTTTTGTCCAAGCCCCAATCAAACATAATCTACTGTGTTTGTGCTAACAAACACAGCATATTCAAGAAAGACTCCAATGGGGTTTTGTAAATTTGAATTGAGTATTTTTCGATGAGTTAAAATTATTTTAAACATATTCATTAATTTATCTGAATCTCAAAAATGACCAGTAAATGTGTGAACCTGCTGTATGATGTGAATGCGGCTCTCCTGTGCATACTGAATATGATCTTTAAGTTCCTAACTGAAATAGACGTAGGAACGGTTACTTCGGCGCACAGCCAGTAACTGAACACTTGCACACTTGCATGACCTGGCTGTGACATGTACGCAGGAAAAATAAGCTACCATCTAAACGGGAGATTGGCAGGGTGTGGCAGTCAATAAAGAGAGAAAAAACTTTTTTGCACAAGCCACACGTTTCCTTCCAGTCTCTCCGACTGGAATTGACTGACATATTTAATGATTGTAATGAGCACTCACCGTTAGATGTTTCAAATAAGAGATCATGGTAGTATTCCTCTGAATAAGCATGACTGAAGACCAACATGCGTGTCAGTTCTCTTTTTCTATAAGGAAGGGAAAGTGCATTGGGAAAAAGTTAAAGTTCTCCAGCCAAAATCCATTCAATCAGCTAGCACTCCTGTGCAAACATTTCATGCTGTTACATCGGAAACATTTTCTGTAATGTCTATGGAAATAATGTAATCAGAAACATTGTTTGGCAATAATGATAAAAAACGTATGGAATAAAAATTCCATCGCTCTTTTTGTAGTTGCTACAGATACTGCAAAAAGCTACACAACCCATTTTCTCTGTGAAATCTTCAGAAACATTTTGCGCTCAAGACAGAAAAAAAGAAGAAAACAAATTTGGGAATGTAAAAGTAGACATTTGCATTCAATACAAAAAAACAACATACACCCTGTTAAAGTTCCCATGAACAGCATAATAATACCTGCAAGCGGAGAGGAGAGATTAAGACTGGCAGCCTCCAGATATGATGGGTTACTTTTACATCATCACTTTTTAAGTGAGCCTCCAAAACTATATGCAAACAGGATGTGGTGAACAATTTATCGTAGTGGTGGCACTGTTTGCCTCACTGGCAGTTGCTCAGCTGCTATGGGCACACTAATTTACCCCGAACGTATCCACCCATAGCCGACTAGTATGCTGTCAGCTTTGACAATTTGCACTTCTTGCCATTGAGAGAACACACAAGAATAAATGAAAACAACAAGTTTTAGAATGTCAGACTAAATTGATTGGGGTGAAAGTGAAGCCCAAGATTCCTCCACTCACCTGATCAGAACAGATGAGCAGACACTCCGCTCTGCTCAGTCAGCATTGATGGCCGTTTTGGTTGCCGCTGGTGGAAACATAATGGGGATGCTGACAGACTAAAAACGCCGTCTCGTTGGCAACTCTGCCAACAGATCACATCAGAAAGTCGGAGAAATGTGCCCAAGTGTGCGCTTGTAAAAGAGGAAGCATGAAAAGAAACGGAGGGTTACACAAGGGTGAGCATGCACACTAGTGAGTCATCCATGCAGCTAAGTTGTGGAGAATAAAACGCATGTGGTATGTGGCATTTATTGACCACACGTACCAGTATGCACGTGGATGTGTGAAATTGTGCTACTGAGAAACAGATTAAGACAATGTTGGCATTGATGACAGACTTTGGTCTGATGTCAGTGTTCACAAATCAGCCAGTGACTGAAGCTCGAAGAGTTTGACCCTCACCCTCTCCTCACCCACTAACGCCCCAGACAGAGCGGCCTTTCCCCACAACCCCCTTGAGTTTGTTGGCACCTCGAGTCCTGTTGCAAAAAACGAAGGTCCTGCTATTACACCAGACGGGTTGAACGCCTTGACCAGTTTCTTGCACACGCTTCACTCCCTCCTCCTCCTGAGGAGCAACAGCTGGCTATATCCTTTCCTGTAGAGGGCGTCAGTGTGACGTGTCCTGTCCAGTTTGTTAATGATCAGCAGCCCAGGGTGCCCGTAGGACTGGACCCACTCCTTCTTTCGCACCCTGGACTCAAGCACGGAGGACACACAAAGGAGACAAGGGAAGTTGAACAGATTTATTGAAGAGCACAAATGAAAAGAGGAATCCGGGTCTGGCCCAGCAGGTCAGATGCGGCTGAGGTTGCACAGGGAAGTGGGCAAGTAGGCCCGGCAAGCACGAAGGCAGGTGATACTTTCGGCACGAGTGAAAAAAGGAGCCGTTTGAAACGTGAGACTAATGCTGAAGCTGATGGATGTTGACGCTGCATTGCTGATGTGGGGCAGGGGAAACAGCTTGGCAGCAAACAGGAAGCCAGGAGTCGTTAGAGGGAGCGGAGAAGCCACTCCCACCGGCAGAGAGACAGAGAGACAGAGAGGGGAGGATCCCCGTCTCAGGCCGGAGACTGTGGGGGACGGAAGGGACAACTGGGTGGATCTGAGACATCAGCCACTGTCTTCACATCACATCATGTTATGAGACCAAATAGTTTGCTGCCGCTCCTTATGGACATTGAAAATGTTTGAAAGTTCTGGTTTCACTTTGAATCATTTATTCTTGTATTTTTTTCAGAAATCAGAAAACATTTATTGCTATAATATGTCAGACATACAAGGAATTTGACTTGGCGGTTGGCGCGTAACAGCAGACAATACGACAATAGACGACAAGACAATATAGTGCAAGAGGAATGAAATATAATGCTATGGGTTAGTTTAAAAACTAAAGTTAAAAAGTATTTAAAAATTAAAAATAAAGTGCACCAGCGAACAGAAAGTGACAAGTGAAAGTGACGTGTGCAGTGTGAAGAAAGTGACCGGTGGAATGTCAGAGTCAGTCAGTGGGGGACCGGGCTCTGTTAATGAGCACAACTGCAGTCAGAGTCAGTCAGAGTTTTTTATTTCTACTACAGATCTTCATTGTAGACTGATTCAATATACCCAAGACTGTGTAAGAAGGAACTGGGGGCTGCTTATCATCACGCTTTGGGAATGCCCCAGCTGTCATTCCACGCAAGGTTTTGTGTACAGGATTTGGTGCCAATAGGTTTGCTCTGATTAATATCAGTCGACTTTATGATGAGTTGAATGCCGAACTGAGGTAAAAACTATTTCCAGACGCCGATTTTATTAGAGCCATTTTAAGCTCTGTATTTAAAATTCTGTCATCTTTAATTGCCGTTGTCAATTCCAGTCCTGGATTGTAAATTTTCTCTTCAATTGACTCTTTTTATGACAGTCTCATCTCATGGAACCTGACAGGCTGTCTTCTCCATTAAACCCACTGACTTGTTTCAGTAGAACGTCCAAATTCGCCACTGAAATCTATCGACTATGTTGAATTTGCCTTCAATGACCAGCGTGGTTTTAACAGCGTACCCTTTTTTCTTCTGCTCTACCCTTCCCATGGTTCCACAGTCTTTGGAGCATTAAGTCAAATTCCACTGTCAATATGGCTCAATTCATTGTATTTTTTCCTCCATCATCCAGTTGTCTTGGGAGACTTTGAGCAAATTGGGAATATCTATGATGACTTGACTTGAAATGGATCAGCGGTTTACCGTTTGTGTTGACGCCGGAGTCGTCATAAGAAGTTTTTTGCATGGGACATTATCGGGTGAGCTCTCCGATGGTGACGTTTCGTCTGCACCTCCCTAATGGTTTTCTTCGGATTCCATCGTGCAACACGCTGGGATGAGCAGAGCTTACAACTCAGACTGTTTCAGACTACATTTTTTGCTTACAACACCTTACGGTTCTCATTGTTCAGTTCTTGACAGGCTTCAGTACCATTGTCTATTTTTGCAGTGCAGACATGTGTTTGTTGTTGCTGCTGTGACTGGAGACTATGTGCTGCTTTCTTTGTTGTTACAACACCAAAGCAACTCATGAATGCTGAGGCAGATTTCATTTAGGAAACCGGGTTTTGCTTGTCTAAGCTAAATTCAGACTGAGAGTAAATGTTCTCTCCAAAATGTACCAGCTCGGTTTCATATGTTCGCAAATTTCAAAGGGTGAAAAGAAAGAGTTTGTTTATTTTTGGGGGACTTTTCTCTTATCTTTTCTTTTTGTTACCTGAATACATTGCCGCTTGGCCTTAATGGTCTTGGGTCTGAATGACGTGTGCGTTACGACGCCTTACAGCCTGTTAGTGTCTAGACGGGAAGTTAGCCGATTCAGAGTTGTATTTATTCAATCACACAATACAGCAAAAAATATGTGATACCAGATTTCCTCTAGATGCTTCTAAAAAACAAACTGAAAATCTTTTGAATTTTGATATGGCGGTCACAAATAAACATAGCTTTGTATTAAAGGTTGTATGTGATAAGGGTTAGAAACTGTAGCTCATTGTTTTGTGCATTGGGTACATTATTTAATGATTTTTTATGCTTCCTTAGCTTTGTTGGGTGAAATACTTTGTTGTTGTTGTTGTAATGCATTTTAGTTTTGGTTGTATTTTGCACAGTTAATTAGCCTTATTATGCTTGTTGCTTTACAGTTCGTCATGTGGTGTGTAAGTTGAATAAGTAATCTAATGTTCTTTGAAGCTGCTCAGACAAAAATGAAGTGACTGAATTGTTGAATTTACACGGTGCAACAAATGTGTCATTACACTCATTCTTTATGTTTTGTAAATAAGTACATTGATGATGGACAACTAGTGCTTTTGAGCACACCTGTATAGGAGGCTTTTTGTTTTGTTCCTTTTCAGTGTCACCGGGGACGATAGAGTTCAAAGTAGAATACTTTTCAGTGAGCAGGACCGTACTAAATAGCAAATTAGGTCGTTGACCTCATAAAATCTACGACTCCAATCTGTGGATTCCACAGCGCACAGTCATAAGTAACTGCCACCGCGCCCTCTCTGGTGCATCCTCGCCTATCTAATGACCTGTATAGCATGACATACCTCCACCAATGCGTTTCTTCCTATCCCGGGAGGTTCAACTCACTGTTCTCGGTGTGCTACACTATTTCCTTTTAAGTCAACTTGCTTCTAGGGTGTTTCTGCATCCTGGCTCCTATCACTGAAATCTTGTGAATACCTGCTACCTTTTTCTGCCAGTCATGAATGCAGATTGACAATTGATAGCAGGCTGCAGCTGATGAAGGCAAAACTAACACATGAAACGTAGAGTAAAATGGGCAACAAGCAGGAGACACCAAACTACTAAAACGCCATTGATAACTCAGATAAAGAGAGGAATATGTGATGTGGTTAGCTATGCTATTTTATGGAAGTGAATCTCTTTTCTTCCAAACACTTGAAAACAAGTTCTCTCTGAGTGTGAACATTTTTCAAATTCTTTCTGACAAGATAAGCAAATGCACTCTTTGGCCCGAGTATGTAGACAGATACTTGTGTGCACCTTTGGAACAAAACATGACTGTGAAAAACAATCAAGAAAATATTTTTTTAATAATATATGTTGCATTCATTTCTAAATATAAAATAATTTGAATTTTTTGATAAAGTTTGTGGAATGTCTGTTCCTGTTTCAACAGGACAATCCTCACTCCTCGTTTTTTTTTTTAGAACTGGGCCGTACGGAGCTCAGACTTCAACCCAATCCAAAACGTCCGTCTACGAGCCTTCATCGCACAACTTCGGTGACCGGCCAACATGTACGGCAATGTGGCTTTATTCTCAACGCTGATATGTTAGCGTCAGTAAACTGGTAATAATTGTGACGGCCTCTGTGTGGTTCATTGAGGCCACTCTGTGGGAGTGATACCTCTCTAGTAACCATCTTTGTCCGGAGTTGATGGCAGATCTGGAGCACCTGGGAGCGGTGAGCCAATGGTGATGAAGCCCCACCTGATCGGACTACACCTCTCGCTCTTCACCGCAATCCAGACATCAACCATGGCCTGATCACCCTGCTTGATTTCATCAGTTACGCTGCCTCGTTCCCTCTTTTGGCATGGCCCTTGAGCCAGGTTGTGACATAATGCATTGACTCATTTGCAGTAGAGAGAAATTGATAGAAAGCCAACAAGGGGAAAACGGAGATAGAGACGGGCTAAAGTGGACAGATTGAGTAAAATAACAGATTGAGTGAGGAAGACTTCTTTCAGAGAATATGCCGGAAGGCCGACTGGCTGAAAGGGGAGATCCAGATCTGCTGGTCCGACTGGAAAGGCCACAGAGGGTGTGGTCTGCCACGAAGAGGATGTCAGGTGCGGTGAAAGACAAACAAAAAACAGAAGAGAAGAGAGAAGAGAAGAGAAGGAAAGGGGAAATACCGGAATAAAAAAAACACAAAGAGCAGTAAAAGCAGTTTTCTGGGGTCCGGCGCTGACTGTGAGTACAGACTTCGGTAACACGTCTACCACCAATGTGTGTTGAAACTTTGAAAGTGTGACATGAGTGTGTATGAGTAAAAGAATGAGAGATTCAGAACTACACAGTAATGTGATGTCAAATTCCCAGTCAAAGATTTTCTTTGTTGAATGAATGGTTCTTTGCATCGACAGCGACTGAAACGAGACCATTTTGTGGATCCAATACTTATAAATCAGGACTACAAAACTGCAGGAATAAAGATGTCAGAGGTCCCTAATATTGAACTCTTTGTTAAGGTAAGACCTTTTTAAAAGTTGTGATGTGTGTGTTTTAAAAAAACTACTTAAACTCTACAGATGTCTACTTCAATGTTTTACTTTTATCGATGTTTAACAGCCAACATTTAAACCAAATTATTCAAACTAATATATAACTCAATTTGTAGTTTATAACCCTAAACCACTGTCTTAGTAGAAAAACAAGCATGCAAAAAAACAGAAAAAGGAAAGTTAATTTCTTGGTAAAAGTATCAGCTTATATATTGTTTTTCCTTAATGTAGCTTTGAACTTATTAATACTTATGGAGCACAGTAGAAACTAAAAAGAAGCCTGTCCAGTTTGGAAGCCTTTGTCCTGCCCTTTAAAAAATGTGATTGCACCACAAATGCCTGACTCAACCATATCAGACTGCAGTGGTAAGTGTTTTAATACAACAAAGACACTATCTGAATACTAGGTCATTTAATCCGGGTGAAAAGCGTCCTCGACTCCCCATTTTAAGTTCCCCAGTGGTTGGTTTGAACTGTCGGAGCGGGCCTGACGGTATGCGTAGAGGTAGTCGCTATGTGGTTGGAGACATTACACTCATGCTGTTGAAACCAACCCAGCGGTGTCCAATTTCAAAAACAAGACTACTTCTGATGTTTTAACATCAGAGAGCCTGCAAGCCAGGGGGAAGTGTGTTCATAATGGTTTGTCTTTGTGTCGGTCAGGCCAGTGTTGATGCTGACAGTGTGGGGAACTGTCCTTTCTCTCAAAGACTCTTCATGATTCTTTGGTTAAAAGGGATCAAATTCCGCCTCACAACTGTGGACATGAAGAGGTAAGAAAATGTCCTTTTCCCCAAGTGAAACGTATCGGTCCTGTTTTTGAGACATGTAACATCCGATGAGCTGCAACAAGAGACGCACACTCTTAACAGTCCGAACACATCTGTGGCATTTGCATTGAAGTATGTCTTATTGTCCACAACACATATGTTGTTAACAAGAGTAACAGTTAATGTGGGGGAAACAAGACACAAGAAAATGCTCATATTAAAAAAGGTTTAGAAAATAAACTCCTTTCGAGTGTTCAATATTTCATTAATCTATCTGGAGTGCCGGGTCTGCAGGTGGACTGCTTGGTAATCTTATTTGAAGCTGTGGTTGTGGCAGGTCTATGAGCAGCGTGTCCACCTACCTGGCAATCTGCTTATTGCGTGCACTGATTTGACATTATGCAGAATCTTCCACCAGACACTTGCAAACCACTTGGCAGCAGTGAGCAGGCGTATGTTTACGAACACAATGAAGAGTTTATGGGAGTGGCTTTGGCGAGAGCTACGGGGGAACGTCTGACAGCTTTGCAGACTTGGCGACATCGTCTGACGATTTAGTGACATGTCAAGGTGCGCGCTGATTTAATAACTGGAGGAATTATAATTCTAAAAGTAATAGTAAAAATTGTATTGAGAGACAATATAATTGTGAAATGCTTCTTGAGTAAATCGGATGACAGAATGTAAGTTTGTAAAGGGAATCAGAGAAAGTGAGCTCTTTATCCCTTTTGTGCTCCATATTTATTTTGCATGACCACCTTTGGTGAGCTCAACTTGTTCGTTGTTGCAGGGCACCTGACGTGCTGAAGACTCTGGCTCCGGGCTCTCAGCCTCCGTTCCTCCTCTACAACGAAGAGGTCAAAACAGACACTAACAAGATTGAGGAGTTCCTGGAAGAGAAGTTAGCCCCACCGGAGTGAGTAGACCATGGGATGTTTTCTGTCAATTCTTTTTTTTTTTCTTGAAAAAGCAGTAAATATCCCCTTCATTGTTGCACTGACACGCCGTTGTCCCAATGGCAGGTATCCAAAGTTATGCTGCAGATACAAAGAGTCCATCGGTGCCGGAGATGACATCTTCCGGAATTTCTCAGCATATGTAAAAAATCCTAATCCTGCATTTAATGAGCGTAAGGGCATTGGTTGAATATTTAAAAAATAAATGTACAACCATTTCTGTTTAAGACGTAACCACACAAGGGAGACCTTAAGGATAAAAAACGCATTTTACGCTCTTTCAGGGATAGAGAAAAAATTTCTTTCAACTCTGGTTAAGCTGAACATGTACCTGGAGACTCCTCTCCCCTACGAGCTGGACCAGAAGCCAAATGCCACGGAGTCCTCACGCCTCTACCTGGACGGTGACACCCTCACCTTGGCAGACTGCAACTTGCTGCCCAAACTCAACATCGTCAAGGTGGGCAGATTTTACACAGTTTGAAAACTTCCTTTCCATCGTTGGGACGGAGATACACAAATGTTGTGTCAGATGGGTAAAGATGAATTCTCATAATGAGCTGTGCCTGAAACGGGTCTCCCGGCAGGTGGTGTGCAAGCAGTACCGCGACTTTGACATCCCCAAAGAGCTGAGGGGTCTGACACGTTACCTGAGCAACGCCTACAAAAGAGATGAGTTTCGTCACACCTGCCCTCGTGACTCTGAGATCCTCATCGCCTACCAAGCTGTCGCAAAGTACCTGAACAAATAACGCATCAAGAGGGAGAGAGGAAGCAGTGGAAGTGAGGACCAAGAAGAGTAGAGCGAGAAACGTGGAGAACCACAGAGAAAAGTTGACAAACTGTAGGGGAGAACGGGGGTGAATTGTGAATTGCGCATTAACAGTCATTAAATTGAAGCTTAAGGTGTTGGCTTGAAACGTGTATCCCTCCCATTTACCTTCCTTAATGTAACAAAAAGGTGATTAACTTTCAAAGACACGCTGACACATTATGACAACCATGACGAGGATGGTTATCACACTGGGGGGGTTGGTTGTCACAAAGATATTACAATGGTAAGGGAGAACTACATTTGAAGTAGAATTGCATTGATGAGTTGACAAACACATGACTCAATATTATTTGACATAAAGAAAACCAACACTCCGACTTTAGCCGTCTTACTCCATAGAAGACTATGTACGCAAGCTCTGATTCCAATCCCGGACAATTCCAAACCAACATTTGAGAAAAGGCGCCTTTTGGTGGCGAGATATAATGAAAGTGACAGCCAACCCACGCGCTCCACTACGGGATGTATCTCTGGTTTGTGTCTAGATGAGAGTCTGGATAGTGAAGGCTGATTGGTGTTTAATGTCATGTTCAACAATTAACATTCTTTAAAAAGTATTATTTTCATCAATTGGGTTTTAATTTGCCAACTGCTCCTTCAAAGCTGCTTACACCTTGTATATCTACTGTTACTGCAAACTCTAACTGTACTGCTTTATTTAACCCCAAGAGTACGAAAGCAGTGTAAATCCCTGAGATTGTTCATATCGTATCTTGTTGTGCGTGCATATTTTGCGTCCAAGCAAATGCATGATGTTGATTGCAATTTATTGATGACATGTTGACATTAAATCCTACATGACTTAAGATGACATATCTTATGTTTAAAATGACTGCTGTAGAAAATTCTAAACAGCTGTGGCTGTACATAAGGCAGATTTAGAAGCTATTCTTTGCTTTCAAAGTGTCTTTTAATGGTATGTTCTTGAACAAGAAACATTATTTCTCTTCCTGAAAGTGAGTTCACACCCTTAATTTTTTTCAGTCCATCCTGTTTTTACCATTTTGAGTGTGTAAATGACAATGTACAGTACTGGTACTTTTTGCTGGTGCTGTATCTCAGTATAGACACAGTTATGTTTAACATTGACATACATTGAATCTAGGTCAATTACATGAGGAGGAAGAGAAAAGTTGGTTGTATGAATACTCTTGAATGCAAAAACAATGTACATGTAAATGTGAGGAAGTGTGCAATATTATGTGTTTAAGAATAGTAAGTAAGGAATGCAATAAAAAAGCTTTTAAAATTACATTTGGTATATGTATTATATATTCATTAGATTCCCACTGATCTGTTATTTAACATATGACCAGCATTTAAATGTTGTAACTGTTTCAGGCGTTAATTTGACCTACCTACTGAACAATCACATTACTAATGAATGTGTCTCTTTTCAAACTTTAAGTAACTTAGCTGAATAATTGTAGTGGAATCAATAATACTTTATTTTCCCCTTAAAAGAAAGATAAAGTAGCAAATGTGAATACTACAGTACTGTAAAAGTGCAACCCCTTTAGCATTGCATTTAAGAGCAACAGCTGAGCAAATGTACTCACCATCATTTGATTTTATAAAATTCACACACTTTCTTTCTTAACGTGTTCGTAAATATACAAACTACAACCTCCGCCTGGCAGACGCGCTGAATGAGTTCTACTGCAGATTTGATAGACAATGTCCTGATTCCATCCCCCACAGCTCCAACCTGCCCCAGTCCCCCAGCCCATCAGGGGCTCCTGCCTCTGTATCTCCTTCCTCCCCCACCTACTCTCCCACCAGCAACGACCCTCTCTATTCTGGAGAGAGACGTTAGCCGGCTCTTTAAAAGACAAAAACCTGGCCTGGACTCCGTCTCTCCCCGCACCCAGAATTATTGTGCTGACCAGCTGTCTCCGGTGTTCACTGACATCTTCAACACCTCCTTGGAGACATGCCGCGTACCAGCCTGCTTCAAGGCCTCCACCATCATCCCTGTTCCAAAGAAGCTCAGGATCACAGGACCCAATGACTACAGGCCCATGACCTAAAAAGATCGTAGCCGACCCCTCTCACCCCGGACAAAAACCTGTTTGTGCCCTTTCCATCTGGCAGGAGGCTGAGGTCCATCAGGACTAAGACCTCCCGCCACACGAACAGAGCCCAGTCCCCCACTGACTGACTCTGACATTCCACCGGTCACTTTCTTTCTCGCTGAACACGTCACTTTCACTTGTCAGTTTTACTTTTCACTCTCTGTTCGCTGGTGCGCTTTATTTTTTATTTTGAAATATTTTTAACTTTAACTTGTATTTCTTTTGTTAAGCTAAGCCATAGCCTTATACTACTAATCCATAGCATTATATTTGATCTTATTCCTCGTGCATTGGTGTCTTGTCGTCCATTGTTGTACTGTCGGCTGTTACACACCAACCGCCAAGTCAAATTCCTTGTATGTCTGACATATTATGGCAATAAATGTTTCTTGATTCACGTTACAATGGTACAAAGGACCTCGAATGGGATTGGTCCGTTTCTGATTGGACGAGCGTTTCAGACGGTTCCAAGGCGGAAGGAGTTATCGAGAGGTCATTGGTGTACGCGTGACGATGGGCGGGGCCAAGCAAGTGACACACGGCATACAGAAAACTTTGAGCAACATGCTAACTTTGGATCTGTAAGGCTATATTACTAGCTTGACGCGGCATGTCAGAATTGCTCGAAAAGTAAGTACAGCCTCTTCTGCCTGAATTTCACAACGCGTGGATGTGATGTCGACTTCGGTGGTTTATAATAGCTGGCAAGACGCGGCTGCTAGCCGGTGTTGTTTTTAGCTAACGTCAAGCTACGGCTAACTGAAAACAATAGCGGAGACCCGCAATCAACAACAGCCGCTAATTGTCCACGGCTAATCGCACCAGCTTGCCACGTCACGTTAGCTTCGCCACAATTCGCTCATCAACGCATATTCAAGTGACGATGCGAAGACAAGTGATGGGTGGCGGAACGTTAATTTACGGTTTATTCGCAAATCCGGGTTCCTCTCTCCATAGTTCCCGTTCATCCCCCTTAACAACCCGTGAGCCTCCCGCGACATAACGGCGCCGTGCGCGCGACGCTACGCACGTTTAACCGTTTACTTGGTTCGCAGGCGTGAAGTAAACGAACGTCCTTGTCTCCCATTTGATTGTCAATATGTTTTGTTTTATTTTAGCAACGCTTCCTGTCGGTTTCATTCACTCAATAGCGGTTATTCCATTGCGAATGCCCTGTACGTGACAAGCTGGCTGCCTTTAACCCTCCAACGTGCTGCTGCTTTACAGGATGCAATGCAGAGCAGAGGACGAGGGAGACCTCTGCAGACTGGCGAGGGCGAGTTCAGTAAGCGCTGTTGTTTCTTTCTTCATCTTCTTCTTTTATACCATAACACACACAACCACCTGTGACCTGTCGGGATTCAATAACTTTTGCTGATCTTACTTGTGTGTGTGTGTGTGTGTGTGTGTGTGTGTTTTTTTTAGCTGCTGTTGAACAGAAAAAATGAAATCAGCGCGCGGCTGCAACAGTTTGTGGAGGAAAGGATGCAGACCACCATGGTATGAAACCACAAGCCACTGTGACAAACCAGCGGGCTCTGCTGGCCAGATTGGGATATCTCTATAGTAGTAATAGTTTGGGGGTTAGTTGTGGTAATCTGGATTCCCAACATTTTGTAATTCCAAATGATTGGCCCCAGCACTCTTAAAACAGCGGGATTGAGGTTGACGCAGCGATCGATACCTGGCGAAATATAAAGCCATGTCAATTTTCACTTTATTGCAACTATTAAAAAAACTTTTTCCCATTCAAATGACTCTTCTTTCACAGCTCTGAGATAACATTTATGTAAAACATTAGATCGTTTAATGTAATTAATATTTCCCACAGCTTTGAGCTTCAGTTAACTGGCTAACACATGTGTGTATTCATCATTTCATCAAAAGCAAAGAACTTGTGCTGTGTCCCAAACAAAACAACATTGTGTTTGTTTCATCCAACACTTATTTCCAGTTCCTGTAGAAGGTTATTGTCAGTGTTGTCTCAACATGATCCATTTTTCCTGCAGTTAGCAGCTCTCCCAGTTTCTTTGTTTTAATTCCATTGCTGGCCAATATTGTATGACAACAGTAGACTCAGTTTATGTTTTACTTTACGTACCGCTTACAGACATACTGCATACTTTGTTTAGTCTCTTTTCCAGTGTAAATGCAATACTTTGCACATTGGCACTTTGCCAAGCTTTGGACTTTAACACATAAGGTTACTAAACCAGCAGATTAAACATCCTTTTCTGTGGGAAACTACTGTCCCTTCTCATGTGTCTTTACTTTCACTCCAATACAATGCTTGTCTCTCTTCTAGCTCACCGGTGTGCTGATTGGAGCAGCAGTCGCCGTCTCACTGATCGGTATTGTGGTGCTTTTCCTTTACAGGAGATTCAAGCTCGCTCGTGAGTCCTCAAACTTCCTTGTAAAGTTCATACTTATTGCAATGCTATAGTACATATTGGAAAATATTTTTCTGTTCCCCTGATTATAACGCTCCTCAGAACAGTATATTTTATTTATAGTTTTCTTTAACATGTGGTCTTAATGTGCTTTTTTTTTCTAATTCTATGACTAGGTGCAAAACAGCCGGGTGTACCTCAGTATCGCTTCAGAAAACGAGATAAAGTGCTTTTCTATGGAAGGAAGATAATGCGAAAGGTTTTCCCCACTTCTATTTGTCTCGCACTCCTACACAAGTATTTACAGTCTGGTAGACTCCTCATCATTGTAAGGAAATTGCTTTTGTACGCACTTAGGCTCCACAAGCTTATCCTTGTAATACACAGATAGAATAAAACACAGACGTAAGAATTTAGCTTACTAATTTCAGGTCCTCAAAATTATCTCTCTATGTTTAATCGAGAACTTCGGCATTTTTTGTTGTATCCCCTTTAATCATGAGGTCAACAGTTGTGTTGTATAAATACAAATACATGTTTCCGAACATTTCTTTTGTGTTTTGTCGTTCTAAGGTCCAGACGCTGTCATCGATTCCTCCCAACTCTGCCTCAGTAGCGAAGCAACCGCAGCGCATCCGCAAAAGAAGCAAAGTTCTAAACCTAGCTAGCAAGTATGCACCATTTATATCCTTTTTGTGTCCAAACGAAACCTTGAAACAGTTTTTCAAATTTGTTTAGTCGATTGATTAGTAAAATTTCCTGGAGTCCTACGTGTCATGGAAATCCTGAAAAACGGTAGACCGATTTTACACCGACCTGAAAGGAAATACAATACTGGTAACTCTTGTTTTATATTGAAATATTGTCCTAAGTAGGGAAGGAACCAGGTATCAGAGCTTCTCAAAATAAGCAATGTCTCAATGTGAAAGGGCTGAGTTTTGTTCAGGATCCCATGAACTTTTGGTATGTTGTGAAAGTTGTGATCATACATCCCCATGCTGAGACGGGCAGATTGGTTTCCAACACATAACGTAGTCCCAATTTGTTTGACACTGTTCAATTTGTCAGCATGTTTGGATCAGTTGCTAAACTGGAAATTCTTTGCATGATGTTTTGCTTACAAAAGTTTAAGGCACGTGATTGAACTCTACATAGGAGCAAGTGTTCAAATGTGTGTTCGCATTATTGGGAGAGTTGGATAACAGTCAATTGGAGGATGCTGGAATATGTTTGTGCATGGTGCCACCCCTGTCTTTCATACAGTCTTGATCAAGGCCTCGACTTTGAAAATGATCTCTAGATGAGAGTAGGAACCCTGAATTTAAATAATTTTGTACCCGTCTTTAGAATCCTAAGGATCGGCAAAGATCCTCCCACCCTGCAGCCTAAGGAACCCCCTTCCTCTCTGCTGGAGGCTGACCTAACAGAGTTTGATGTGCAGAGCTCAAACATGCCCTCCGAGGTCCTCTACATGTTGAAGAATGTCAGGTTGACAAGAATACTTTTTTTTTCTTTCTGACAGATTTTAGCTTCCCGTGCTTTCCTCAGTTTTCATAACGTGTTTATTCTGCAACTTGTTTTAGAGTCTTGGGTCACTTTGAGAAGCCCCTGTTCCTCGAGCTGTGTCGCCACATGGTGTTTATCGAACTGCAGGAGGGTGAAAGTCTTTTCCAGCCAGGAGACAATGACGATAGCATTTTCGTGGTCCAGGATGGACGACTCGAGCTCTGCATCCACGAGAAGGTATGTGGATATCATAAATAAATAAGTGAAAAAAGAAGTGTTACTCAGAAGCACATTAACACTTTGCATTGTGTTAGGACTGTTTGAATGTCATCCTCAACCTCACACTACCCATAAACAAACATAAACACCAGAGAGCAGTACAGCATCATATATCTAGATGCAGTCTGCTGTTAAAATGCTGAACAAGCAGAATAAAAGTACTATCTCTCCACAGCTTTTTATATCTATTTAAATGTTTTTCTGCTCTTTCTGTTTTTAGGATGGCACTGAACCCGTGGTGAAGGACGTGCTCGCAGGGGATAGCGTCCACAGCTTGCTCAGTATTTTGGACATCATCACTGTGAGCTGCTTTTTTTTTTCTCCATCCCATCTCTACACTGTTCATATCTCCATCGATGCCTATCTCGTTTCCAGGCACTTCCTTTTGTACTTCCTGGTAAACTGAAATGGTTCATCATTAAACCTTTAAATCACTGTGTCAAACCGTTTTAAGTATTTAATCACCTTTTTGTTCTTCTTATCAGATGTAACATTTTAAATGAATGGTTCAGATTTAAATGCTACAACTACAATGTATGAAACTCAAACTTCTAGTTAAGTCAATACCGCATTTCATTATGTATATGAGGCTCTCATGAAGGCCCTCTTTCACCTTGTTTCTTTTCTCGCCATTTCTGTCACCTTTTCCAGGGTTATCCGGCTCCATATAAGACCGTGTGTGCACGGGCTGCAACTCGCGCAACCATCTTACGTTTACCCGCATCTGCCTTTGAGTCCGTGTTCGAGAAGTACCCAGAGACACTTGTTCGCGTCATTCAGGTAACCGATTGTTTAACCATTAATATACAGTGTGTAGTGTTTGTTTTTCTTTGAGACGCGTTCTTATTACTGGAACACATAATTATGAAATTAAACATGATCAAATTTAAATGTAATCACAATCTTATATATATTATCTGTTGCGCTCTGTGTTTCCTTTTGTGTGTTTACAGATAATCATGGTGCGCCTCCAAAGAGTCACCTTCTTGGCGCTGCATGACTATCTGGGCCTAACGACGGAGCTCTTCAATCCGGTAGGAGGGGAAATGTATTAGTTCACGTGCGCATACAGTCAAACAAAAGAGGCCCGCATTGAATACATAGACACCGGTGTGCATTAACTTGTACCCAAACAAGAACTAAAAGGCACGTACACCCTCTGTCACTCATACAAGTTCATTTCACACCACAATGAGCGTATTATAAAAACTTCTTGTTGTTCCTTCATAAAGCTCATTTTAAAATGAGTAAAATCTATTACAGCCCCAGGGAAGAAAACAACTTTTAAACCTGGCCTGCCTCAGACTTTATGATGATGAACCTACATAAACTATTTTTCGGGGAAAATGTGTGCTTTGCAAATATTTTATTATTTTTTCTCATCACCCCAGTTATGAGCTTAATGTGTGTAATATTTCCTGCATTGTAAAGTAATGCAGGAAATATTTTACGGTTCTGGGAAAGGTTACTGTAGTCCTGACTAACTTATATGGGCACTGTTGTTATTTGTTTTGCCGCCTCATTGACAGGAGTCTTGGGCGGTGCCCTTGTCCAACATAAACAGTGTGATGGCCGATGGGACCACTGTGAAGACGACTCGTCGCTTGTACTTCCAGGACGAGTTACCGACCGGGTTAACGGAGAGCTCCTCAGAGACAGGTCACATGAATAATTCTAAACATACAACACAACACTGATGTTAAAAATTGCTTTGTGTTGAGCTGATTCTGTGTATCACTGTTCAATAAGCAGATGGCGTAAACGACAGTCCTTCAAGCAGCCGCAGGAAGCTGCGTTCCACCTCGATGCCCACCGACTGTTCAGGTGGGTCACTGACTCTGACATAAGCGCTCACCAAATAGCATACATCTGCACTAATGTCCTACACTCACCGATTACACAGGAAGGCCACACGCACGGATACAACATTTTTTGATTTGCAGGTAATGACCTGAACATGGCTCGTGAGCGAGCTCGAGTCGCTATGGATGAAGCTTCAAGTCCTGTGACTCCCAAAGTAAGACTCTCCTGCCACGTCACCGCTTTGTCTGCGCATATTTACAACCCAACATCCACTGCCACTTATGCGGATGAACTAGATAGCAGCAGCATAAGTCGCTTTTTCTGTCTTTGTAGTCAAGTCTGAAGAAAAGCGTGACAGTGCAGCAAATCCCCACCGAAGTGTTTCACTGCACCGACAGCGGGGAGCACTCTGATTCCACCAACTGCAATAAGAGTGGCGCAATCCTCCAGGCCGCTAAGAAGGACCTGCTAGGAATCATCCAGCTGCAGGTGAGGACCGTTGCAAATGAGCAACAACTGTAATATGTATTTTAATGATTCATGTTTTCAAACAAATATTTCAGTTTAATAAATTGAGACCTGTTTCTTTTGTGAGTATTAATGTGTACATGATGTTTGTGTATCTATAGTGTTGACAGCCCTAATATGAACACATATTTTGTGGTCAAACTTTGTTTTTTCCTGTTGCAGAACCCCAGCCTGCTAGATGGCAGAGTGACCCTCCGTCAGGTCAAAGCTGGCGCTGTGGTGGCTTGTCAGGGAGACCAGGTTAGAAAAACAACTTACAAAGCGACTATATCCTTCTTTTTTGTTTCTGACAACTATGATTAATTATTTGTAAGGGTTTTAGATTCCAATGTAGATATATTTGGAGGAACTTTTTTGATTTGATGTGTGAAATTTGCTTTGTGGTTGCATCAATAGTTGACAAATTTACTGTATTCTACCACACAAGTGTTGTCCTCCACTGGTCTTAATTGGACAGCATTTTCCAAATTTTTTCCTAAAACACTGTCCTGATATAAGCTGCACAAAAAAGTTTTTTCACTTCGAGCTCGAGTCAGTGTGGTCCATTGAGCTGCACATGTCTTTCTGAAGATGTAGCAAAACATTATTTCTGTAAAGAAATAGCTTGTTTTAGTGCAATACACAAAAATTAGATACTTTACACATCAGCTGTAATTTTTTTTTTTAATCCACAACAATAATGAATAAGAACTCATTAGCGTGTCATTAGCACACCTGAATGTTGTCAATCACCTTCAGACTCCCAGATATGTGCTCTTCTCTCTTCATGGTGCTTTAGGAGGTGAGCATCCAGTTTGTGATCTCCGGCCTCCTCCACGTTTACCAACGGATGATCGACCGCGAAAAAGAGACGCGTCTGTTTGTGACGCACCCCGGAGAGCTGGTCGGTCAACTTGCCGTTCTGACCGGAGAGCCCCTCATATTCACTGTTCGAGCCCTGCGCGACTGCAGCTTCCTCTCCATTTCCAAAACCCACTTCTATGAGTCAGTCACACGGACATCTCTGCACTCACCCATCCAAAGAGCAATTTGTTCAAGACACGTAGTCTCAAAGTCAGAGAGGGAAGTTTGAGTGTATAACGGATATTGAAAGACTCACAGAATTCATCCATATTCTAAACATCTAGATGAACGGCAGGATCTTCAAACAAGTGTTTTGTTTTAGACTTAAGCTTTCAACAAGAGTTAATGCAGTTGGACTTCAACCCATGTCTCCTTGTTGAAAAATATAATTTATTTTTAATATCTCCTGCCGCTCTACATTATGACACATTTCTATAGTAGATTTGAAATGCAAAATAAGTCAGCAAATTTTGATTTCCCACGTTTAACCAAAGGGATAGTTCCTGTGTTTGGACGTGGTAGTGCACTGACACACGTTGACTAAACAAAAACGCAAGCAATCAAAATAATCTGTTATTCCTCCTCAGAATAATGCGCGTGGAGCCAAAGGTTGTGCTGAATGTTGCTCACACCGTGGTGAGAAGGATGTCGTCCTTCGTCAGACAGATAGACTTTGCTCTCGACTGGATGGCTGTGGAGGCGGGCAGAGCCGTCTACAGGTACTCCACTCGTAACCTTGTAAAATACGTCTTCAGAAGACGGGGTCAACTTTGTTGACATAAACACATTTATGTGAGATTTAAATACATTTCTGTCACTTCCAAAGTCAAAAGTGTTTTCATATTTGTTGTGAATTGAAGTTGTTTGTATATTTATCAGGCAAGGAGAGAAATCCGACAGCACTTTCATAGTGCTGAGTGGTCGACTGCGCTCTGTAATCCTGAAGGAAGACGGGAAGAAGGAGCTCATAGGAGAGTACGGACGCGGCGACCTCATTGGAGTGGTAAGGACCGGGATGCTGAGGGGTGGAAGGAGGGGTGTAAAATGCAAAAAAATATTTATCTTCACATAACCTATTTACTGTCAGTACGTTCTTCAGAAACCCAAATGTTGGACTACTCTCACAGCCAATAAACAAAGAATAATAATGAGTATTTAGTGAGAAAAAGTGACCAACACCAGCTGCCAGCCAGCTGAAATTTGATTTTCAACAAGAACGAGAACATATTTAATCTTTATTAACCATGACATACTATTCATTATAGTTAACACACAGCTACATTAAGTTATTTCGGGATACATCCTGAAAAGAAAAAAACACAATCTGTCTATTCTGGGGGGTTTCAAACACATTTAAATTTGAGTTTGCAGGACGGAGGCATAGAAAGACAAACTAAACCGCTATGCAAAGTATCTAAGCTCAGTTGGAGTCCTCATGGTGACTCTTACTCCCTCCACCTGGCAAATCGGCACCACCTGCACAGAAGGATTGTGTAAATTAGCAAATAAAGCATTGACCGCTCTCAATCACTCCATATCCTCAGTCATCACCATAATGCCATATAAAAACATTGGTTGGTAAACCAAATATATTTGCCCTCGCAGACGTACGCAAGGTTTTGTAAGTGAATATATTTTTGGTGCATCTTTCAAGGCAAATATTTAGTGTTTATTCCATGTACTATTTTATAAATTAGGGACAGTTTGTGTTTTTCGTTGACTATCGAAAGCAAACCTTTTCCTTAGTAAGTAAACAAAGTTATGTGTCCTCTTGTTTGCCTGCAGGTAGAGACCCTAACCCATCAGAACAGAGCCACCACAGTGCATGCTGTACGGGACTCTGAGCTGGCAAAGTTACCAGAAGGAGCTCTCAGCTCCATCAAGAGAAAATTCCCACAGGTAGGATGAACCTCAGTTGCTGAAATACATTGTAGCTGATGTGAAAACACCATTGATTTTCAAAGCTGACCTTTTTGGAGACCAGTACAATCAAATTAGATTTGTTAAAATTAGTTGATTAAAGCTAACCTCCGATAACGAGTACACGGCCATTTGTGTGGTAAAGGGTTTGCAAAATGTGCTTTTCTTGCGGTTTTGAGTGTAAAATACTCAATCACTATAAATTACAGTTTTAAGCATCGCTAAAGGAGGAATGAGTGAGGAAATGACAGCCGACCGTCTGATGACGAAACAGCGAGCCTCTCATAAAATGTCCTTTCCAGGTTGTCACCAGGTTGATCCACTTACTGGGACAGAAGATCCTGCAGCAGGTCAACGGTCCTCTGACAGGTTTGGAGCCTCTACATGTGTTAATCTCAACCCGCCGATGACGGGGGCGTTTGCTAATACGCGTGCATGTCCCCAGCTCGCAGTTTGGCCCTCCACACTCCTGGCAGTAAGTGGGATGTAGGGAGCCAGGCCTCCAATCTTTCCACTGTGACAGTCCTGCCGGTATCAGAAGAAGTCCCTCTGACGGCCTTCACCCTGGAGCTGCAGCATGCACTCATAGCAATTGGTAAGAAAGAGAAATGCAGAAGCTCAAATATGTTCCTGATTTGTGTGTTTTGCTGCTACACTTAAGGTCCTGGATGTTCTTTGTAAACATATGGCCACCGCTTTTAAAATTTGAATTAGACACCCGGCATGTGCTGATAATCTAAGTGGAGGACAATCTATGGACTGACCGGACTTATTGACTAACTGCTGTAACCCGTCACATACAGGTCCTACTCTTCTGCTCACCAGCGACGTTATCAAACTGCGGCTTGGAGCTGCAGCACTCGACAGGTATGTTTGGTGGCTGAAAATTTAGAATTTTCAATATTGCATTCAACACCTCCCAAATAATAAAACCATTCATACTACTTATTGGCCGATTTCATTTTTTCCTTGGGCTCTTCGTCTTTCTGACTTATTAAATTCTGTTTAAGTTTGCTTTACTGGCACAATAAAGAGCTCTGCTGCCAGCAGTGGCCGTCTTTAATGGACTCTCATCCTCTTCAGTGTCCATGAGTATCGTCTGTCCAGCTGGCTGGGCCAGCAGGAAGACCTCCATCGCATCGTTCTTTACCAGACTGACTACACGCTGACCCCGTGGACACAGCGGTGCATTCGTCAGGCTGACTGCATCATCATTGTGGGAGTAGGGGACCAGGACCCTGCTGTTGGGGGGGTGAGATGAGAATCCGGGTCAATGGTAGCTCTGGGTTTAGGAATTTTTTTATTTTGATCGGTGTAGGGTTGCTTAACACAAGTTTAATCATTAGCTTGTTCTATTTGAAGAAATGTTAAAGGCCCATCAAAAGGCTCCAGAAATACATTTTATTTTTAAAAGATATTGTATCTGTACTAATATTCATTTGTCGCTACACAGGATAAGCAAGTGATTTGAAGAAAATGTTCTCTAACATCTGGGCTTGCTGTCTTCCCTCTAGCTGGAGCGCATGTTGGAAGGAAGTGCAGTGCGGGCCCAGAAGCAGCTTGTGCTTTTGCACAAAGAAGACGGCCCCCCACCCAAAGGAACTGTAGACTGGCTCAACATGCGGAGCTGGATCTCCAGACACCTCCACCTCTCGTGTCCCAGAAGGGTCTTCTCGAAGCGGAGTCTTCCCAAACTGGTAGGATGTAGTTGTTTTTCCAATCATTTCTCATCTGCGGACAAAAACACATTTGTCTGCTTTCGTCCCCTCATTTAGTTATTTCTAATTCAACATAATCATATTATTCTGATCCATTAAATTCTTCCTCACTCTTTCCTGCTTTTATTGCATTGATTTGCCTCTCTTCAGTTGGAGCTGTATCAACGTGTGTTTGAGAAGCCAGCAGACCGTCACTCCGACTTCTCGCGCCTGGCTCGAGTCCTTACAGGAAATGTTATTGCCCTCATACTGGGAGGAGGAGGGGCCAGGTAATGCCACCCAATCTCACATCATACTGTACTGAAATCTAGAAAACCTTTTCAAATACAACTCCTCCTATGGGTTTAGTGGATTTCACAATTGTCAGAGACTGACTATAATCATGAAGCTTTCCTATTCAGGGGCTGTTCCCAGGTGGGCATAATGCGAGCTCTCTGCGAAGCCGGCATCCCAGTGGACCTTATTGGTGGCACCTCTATCGGTTCCCTGATGGGGGCACTATATGCCGAGGACCGCAGCCACAGCCGCATGAGGATGAGGGCCAAAGAATGGGCGATGGTAAAAGTCTTAGTCTTGCAATACATCCACATGTTAAACAGCTGGAGGCACTTACAATTTGATCACACTTAAACCAAAAGAACGGTGATACTGTACATGTGAGATCTAATTACTATAAGATGGATTTGGATCCGAGTCATTTCCGAGGATCCGAGAACATGAACCTTGAGCATCTGCAGATTTCAGATTTTGGAGAAACAACTTTGACCAAAACCAAATGTTTTTATTGGGATTGTTTTGTAAACTTCAACAGTGAATCCTCCAGTTTTTTAAAAGGAATATTTTCCAAGCAATTAAAAATGTTCTGCCTGAGTCCTCCTTGTGAAGGTGGCTGGGTCACTTGACTTCTATTCTAACCTTTTTATATTAAGTAAAGGCTGTGTGATGCAGAAAGCCCTGAATGATTTGCACATTCAGCTCATGCAGTTATTTTGTAGTTGTCATATGAACCATGACTGCTGACTTGAGACACCTGCTCCGTGTCGAGGTCTGCAGGCTGAACATCATTCGTCCCCCACAGCGTATCAAGACCCCCCTCTTTGGACTCTGTCCTTGGTTCTGAACGTCTCTACAGCAGCGGCTTCTTAGCAGTTTTAGTATTTCTAGCTTAATACTAAGAACAAACTTTTTCAAACAAATAAAATGTTGATGCCTTTTTAAGAGTGAATTTGGGGTTTTACGAAGAAAATTCTGATTACCTAGAAGAACCTACTTATTCACACTTCAAAGAGATTTGCTTGAGATCAAACTAAACTTACGTTTTTTGTTCAGAATAGAAACCATTTTACCTTCTTTTTTTTTTTTTGTCCTTTTTTCCGGCAGGAAATGACATCCGTGTTTAAGAAGTTCCTGGATTTGACGTACCCAGTCACCTCCATGTTCTCCGGTGCGGCCTTCAACTCCAGCATTAGCAATGTGTTCAAGAGCAAACAGATTGAGGCGAGTTCCCAAAGAGCTACTGAAGAATAGACATAACCCACAAATTAGTTTCAGATGGAGATCACGCAATGTGGCATGTGAACTTATTGTTGTCATGTTTGTAACGTGTATGCAGGATCTACGGATTCCGTATTTCAATATTACGACTGACATCACTTCCTCTGCCATGAGAGTACACACTGATGGTAGGTGCAGTGTCATTTAAAAAATAAATAAAACTGTTCTTGTTTGTTGAAAGTATTCTTACCTAAAGAAGCCACAGCAGTAGGTGAATTAAATCCTTTTTGGCCATTTGAGGGTCTCTGTGGCGGTATGTTCGTGCCAGCATGTCGCTGTCTGGCTATCTGCCTCCGCTCTGCGACCCCAAAGATGGCCACCTGCTGATGGACGGAGGCTACATCAACAACCTGCCTGGTGTGTTACTCTGCTGACTTCATTCCTCTCTTAGTGGAATACTTTTACTACTCTACTGGAATACTAATACTTACTTCTCTTAGTGCCTTGAACATGTCGTTGCTTCCATTTCAACACTCATGTAGGATCTGTTCTTCTGTCCCACCGTTGTTTCCTCCTCGTCTCCCAGCTGATGTGGCGCGCTCCATGGGGGCCAAAGTGGTGATCGCTATTGACGTGGGCAGCCGGGATGAAACCAACCTCACTAATTACGGCGACTCGCTCTCCGGCTGGTGGCTGCTATGGAAACGCCTCAACCCTCTAGCTGAGAAAGTAAAGGTAATGAATTGATTAAAGACAAAAGACACAGACCGTACAAGGATCCGTTTTAATACCAAATGTGTCCTATGAATGACGATGAGGGCACGTCTGTGGTCTCAGGTGTTGAACATGGCAGAGATTCAGACTCGGCTGGCCTACGTGTGCTGTGTCAGGCAACTGGAGTCTGTGAAGAGCAGCGACTACTGCGAGTACATCAGACCTCCAATCGACAGATACCGAACACTGGAGTTTGGCAAGTTTGATGAGATTGCTGTAAGTTTAAGCAACAAATGTCAGACAATTCCCACAAGGTATTCTGGTGTCTCCTAAATGATGTGGCAGTGGAAAAAGTAATGGTGACGTGCAAGTATCTCCCTGACGTAGGAGGTGGGCTACCAGCACGGAAAGACTGTCTTTGACGTGTGGATCCGCAGTGGAGTGGTGGACAAAATGTTGAAAGACCGACACCAGGAGGAGTTCCACAACACCCAAAGCAAGAACAATGTAAGGGAAACACAAAAGAGGAGGAGCCAGTACAGAATGGATCTATTGTGGTTTTAAGTATAACCATAGATTGTCTTCACTACTATCTTTTGAATCCAGCATTCATGGACAAATCAAAGCCATTTAAAAACTTAACTACAAAAGTTTAAATTAGATAGTTCTTACATAATATTAATAATGGTGTCACAACATGAGTTCTAGATGACTACCCATCTAGGTAAAAAAAAGGACTCGAGGATGGCAAGTTTGCTGTAATCTTATTGTGCAGTCCATGTTTATCATCAACATGGGTATTCTACGTGTTCTGTCATCAGCAGGCTCATGTTCGGCCTTGGCTGCACTGCCGCTAGAGTAATAACGCTAAAGCTATGCAGCAGTCTGCTCTTTAAGTACAGAAGAAAAGATGTATTTTACAACAGATCCATTGTCCTGCAGCAATGGCCCATGTTAACAGGGACGGCTAAAGAATGATGAGATATTTTAACAACGCGGGGAGGAGGATTAAGAGAAAAATGGTATTGTTGATATTGAAATGAGTTTTGAAAATGGATCCAAACTGGAAAATTAACCTGAAAAATGATGACAATGGGAATGTAGTGAACTATAGTCATGCACTGCGTTTTGAAACCGTCTTGGACTGGATTTTCATTTAATAGCTATCCCACATAGAAACATCATTAACAGAACAGACTATCTTTAGGTGCAACCTGCAGAGGAAATAATGCTTCTCTGTGATGGATTCTACAGTGTGTTCAGTAATGATTCACATAATGCTGAACAAACAAAAACAGGGGGCAGCAATTTAAAAAAAAATAACATACAGGAGTTAAGATCCAGAAAGAAGTTGGTCATTACATTTTTAAATTGGCAAAAAACTATCGGCACAGTACAGGCAAAACTAATTGAACCTCAGTCAATTTTAGTATTACTTTAATGTTTATAAACGTGTGTCTGTCACAGGTGGTCTCATGTCCCAATGCTTCCTTTACTGACCTGGCGGAAATTGTGTCCCGCATCGAGCCCGTCAAACCTGCTCTGGTGGATGGTAAAACTGCTCTCACACACACACACACATTATTTATTTTGTGCACAATTTCTGGTGTAATGCATGTTATGGTCTTTCTCTCCTTTGCGCCCTATTATTTGTTTTAAGATTAAATAAATAAAACATTAAATGTTTCTAAAACCGTACAGGCAACAAATAGACCATAATGTTATATTATTTTTGATCAGCGCTGCCTAGCAACAACGTTTGTTTGTTGTTTCCTCGAGCCGTTGTCACGGGTCAAACTGCCCTTTGATTTCCTGTAATATCGTCAATGCTTCCTTTTTCCGAACTGTTCACCTGCGAACCCTCATTCCTCCTCCGCACACCACGAATTATTTACCCACAATTTGCTGCTTTGCTTCCTGTTTTCCCGCGCCTTCCCTTCATCAGAGGAGTCTGACTACCACACTGACTATGACGAGGAGGCAGTGGAGAGCGCTCTGTCTGACATGGAGCTATACAATCGCCCCGGAGAGCACACTGAGGGGGAGGAGACTGCTGACACGGTGTGAACACTCGGGGGTTTCTGTTGGGTTCAGCACTTTACGGCTCATCCGTCTTTTTCCTCTACTTAATATCGTTTTTTTGCATTATTGGGTGCACTTTTTTTTTTTTTACATTTAGACTTTGCGAAAGTCAATGTAAAGAAGGAGAATAAAAGCATTGTTTGAGGTCCTGCGGGGCCGCCAAAATACATGACAACTAAAGTTGCAAATAAGCATATTTATATATATTTTCCCCCTTTGTCATTAGATCAGAAATCATTCAAATGTAATTCTTTGCTGATACTTTACTTGTGATCATCAGGATGAAGAGCTGGAAGGGAGACGTGCACAAGACACGGCCTCACTCTCCAGCAGCCGTCCCCTGACTCCCACAGTCTCCGACAGTCCGTCAAGCAGACAGCCCATTAAGTGAAGACCAGTCTCATGAGCTCAGTCCGATCAGGTCTTCACAATTCCACCTGCCCGTTTCGCCCAATTCCGTCCCACATGACTGAAAAAAAACTTATCTGCTGCCCTTGAGCCTGTCAGAATGACCGCATTCACCACGCTGGCCTCGATACACAGGAGGGCTGACAACAGGCGACACAGGCAGCGAGTGTGACATTTCCTCAGAAATCCAAACACTATGCATTCCTCTAATCCAAGAGCAGCTGCAAATCTGATCATTTATTTCAGTGACAGCCAAGACTACCTTGTAACTTTACATGACTCGCAACAGTCCAGTGCAAGATAGAACATTCTATTCAATGAAATATGTTAGATTTAACCAGCTGAGAACTTTTGGTTGATAACACTCCGACAGATGAAGAGTTCCAGCTACGTTTCAGATAGTTAGTCAGTTCATTTCAATTAGAAAACAACTTTTTCTCACTGTTAACTGTACAAAGTGGTTGTTTGGAAATATATTCTGGAGACTTTTCCACACACAATGTATAAAGATTACAAAACATCTAAAGTTTGCCCTTTTCTTTTGAAATTCAGATACAAACACAAATTATCAACTTGACTAGAAACCACGACGGCCGTAGGAAAGGCGCTCAGTGGCTACTTCAACAGGTACATCGGTACAGTCAATTTTTACAAATTCATGTTGTACAGCCCAAATTTGCGTAAGTGGGCTTTCGGTCTGTTGAAGATGTGAGAATTAAATTATATTTATTAGAGGTCACAGGTGTTGTTGTGCTGGACTACATTATATTACGGGGTTTCTCTGTACATACAATACAGTCCAGGACAACAACACCACCACCACTCGGACAGTGTCAAGGGCACAACAGTTGTATTGGCGCAGACCTGAAGAAGTGGCATTGCACTTGAAAAATCCCAAACTTTTTGTGTTTTTAACATTCAGTCATAATCTACATTTTAAAATCCGAAAGGAAGCAAAACAAGCAGCACGCACTCCTGCCGCGGCTGTCGCGCAGCTTTCGGTGTGCCGGGGAGGGAAGGAAAGATCGCAATGCACTTCAAAGCGCTTGTTACCCGCTCAGCTGGCGAGAGAGCCCCCTCCCATCTGTTATCAGGACCGGATTTATCAGACAGACAGCGTGGATCTGCTGGGAGAGCCCTGAAGCGCTTCTCGCGTCACTACAGCTGAGGCACAGGGACGTGTTGTAACAGAAGTTATTTGGCTTGCACACGTTTTTAGTTTTTTTTTCCCTCTGATTTGCAACTGGCATCAACATTATCCGATGCCAACATATATTCAAAAAGGCAACTGCAGATTGTATTATTTAACCCAAGTATGTAAACGAGCTAGGCCCTAGGTGATTTTAAACACAAGTTATCTAGCCTTGTTTAATCTGCCTGTGTCACTTTTAATGATTTTTGTCTCAACTTTATTCACAACTAGAGCTGCATATTTTCAATGTTAATGTTCGAGTGATCCATCTTTTGGCCAATTGTGTAAGGAAAAGTGAAAAATTGATTAAAATTTCTTAGTGCCCAATAACTATCAGAGCCCCAGCAACATTTGAGGAGTCTTTCAAATGGTTTCAGGTATAATTTATCAAAATATATACATTTAAAAACAAAACTTTTTAGGGTTGTTATGCAATTTCCTGTTGCTTGGAAGCCAACGCACATTGAAATGCAACAAGCCAATTTATCCGTCTGCCTCCAATAATAAGGATATCAATGCGAATTCTTTAATGACATTTTCTTTTCACTTGACAAAGCCCCCTGTGAGCCTCACAGTATGAAGCTGTGATCTCCGCTGATACTGGTGCTACGGTTCATGCTGCCTTACACGCGTACAGAGAGAAGAAACCCTGTGATGCGCATATGGTGGTTTTTTTTAAATGCAGATGGAATGTGGGAGCGAAGCAGACGTTCGTAGTTGACCGATGAAGTAATGGTGTTTTGTCGTACCTTTTGGGTGGTTTCCAAAAACCGAGCACAATGAATCAATGTTGTCTGGCAGAATGAATGTTTTACTACTTTATTAAATGGGACATGGTAATGGATGAAGTGCTGATGTAATGTGTGGAACTGTGCCATAAAGTTAATGTTACAAAGCCTTAGATGACCCGTACGGGAGGGAAACACAGTGGAATGATGAATGTTTACCGTTAAGCCTGCACTGTATTGCATCTACTTTTCTATACTTCAAAGAGTTGTTGATAATCAATAGTTACTAATAAAAGTTTTTTTGTGTCTTTCATTTTTACGTGCCCGTAATTTCAACTTTAATGTGCAATTAATTGTTTGGTCTTCAAAACATGGAGAAAAAAAAAAACTCATCAAAATGCCTTGCAGAGCTCTAACACATAAGGGGCACATTTTAGCAGAGATAACTGATCCGGGAGAAAGTTTTATTTAATACATAAAACCACATAGTTCAGTTCTCAGGGTGCATTTCCAAAAAAGATCAGATGGTATTTGCCTAAGTAAATACAGCATCATCTAAAACATCAAATGAAGTGGTGCTACTTGGTGGTTCGATTGTTAAATGACTTTGTTGGCGTACCTGGAACCCTCAATAATGGAAATAGGTATAAGGATTACTATTCAATAATATTTCAGTATGTCATAAAAATGGATTGATTGATATCAAAAGTAATTTAAAAATGGTTTAGTACATCCCAGAAATCCTTGCATAGTATTTCATAAAATGTCACACTGGCATGTCACAAATATACATAGAGATTGTCGCAGTTGGATCAAAGTTTTAGAATAATGTCATAAGCAAAAATTGTATATGTTAGAGTGATATAGAACACAAAAGTCTGTAGGATCTTCAGAATCACTGGATGATTGCTAAAGAACGAGTAGGATGAATAACTGAAGCGCCATTAGACCAGCAGGCTTGTTTGTGACAGATTAACACACACACACTTAATCCCAATCTTTTGACGTGTCCTATAATGAGCTTTTTCAATCCCCCGCCCTCCCTGTGGAACTGAGGCTTGCATCGGCTAATTAATGAGCACCCCGGGGGGAATTTAGGTCACAAGGAGGGAGACGAGAACGAGGAGGGAATAATTGGCAGCAGCCTCAATCAATACATCACAGTGAGGACGGCAAAAAAACGGGGTGAATGAGTACAGGCTCCCAGGATATTACAGTCTTTTGACAGAAAAGCAAGGTTGACGATGTACAAGTGGCTGCGGGCGAGTTGGTGGGCGACGACCCCTTTCAGAGCCACTATTGGAAAAATGAGTCAGGGGGAAAAGTGGTGACAAGAAGCCCTCAAACAGACAGACCTTGATCCGCCGGAGGAATATGTAACCAGCTCCACACCGCGCGCCTCTTTCCGAACACGCAGGGCCGCTCTTCCGTTGCTGTGACCTTCCGTGCAGGAAGTGCTTTTGGAAGGAAGATAGCTGAGAAAAGGGGCACTTTGGTGCTGATGCAGTCCCAACTAATTGAACCTCGGATGTGGGTTCAGGTTCGACTTTACTTGGCACTCTCCACAAGAGCAAAGGAACCACTTCGGACTGATTTTGAAGCCTTGTGGCTGATTGTGGATCATTGTCCTTACATTCACTTCTCTGCCCCTGAGTACAGAGCATCCATACGTGTAAACCTTTCCCCCTCCGTAGGTCCATGCCACCAGTGTCAAACTCAATCACAGAGAGGGACAAAACTTAAAAGTGGGAGACTAGTGGCCATGCGGTTGCCACAACACCAAAGTTATGACTTTGATACAATAATAACAATACCTGCCATAAATATCACGATACGATACTCAATACAATACTCGTCCTCCCTGCTATCCCTCGCTGGGCCTCCCTGTCTCCTCCACCGGAGAAGTTGCTAGATCCGTCGCCAGTAGCGCTTGCAGTGCCTTCTGGGACGTTTAGAATCAGCCGCGTGCGTCCTATTTGACCGGCTGGGCCACTTATAACACACGTGATATTTACTCGCGGCCGAACATAATGGAGTTTGACACGTCTGGTCTATGCTCTCAATACCGTGAGAGGCTTTGTTCCACATCAGAAGCAGCAGCAGCGGAAACCTGCACTAACAGGCTCTCAATGGGTTGGATTTTTAAGACTTTGCTCGGTGTCATTTCAGTGCTGCATAGAATAGTGGTGAGGAATTTGCATCGGTATTCCGTTGAATAAAAGGTTTCTGCAGATGGGAGCATTAAAAAAGGCACCAGGTGTTGAGGAACGCACGGTTTCAAGGAATTACAAAGAACACAAGATTTCCTCTTAATCTTAAAAAAATATATATTTTGGAAATAATTCCTGTTGGTGGTGGATCTGGAAAACTGGACCCACTGCACCACTCAGCAATCCAATTTGTCACAAGTGCGCCCTTCACCCCCCACCACTGTGATCTTTGCAGGCCGGTGGACTCTTCATACTTCTCGTCTACAAATCCATTTTTGGGAATGACCCTTGAATGACCGCTCAAATCTTCTGCGCGTTTCCGACAGCAATCGCCATCCAGTGACTTAATTCGGCTCATCATTCCAAAAGTCCGTACGGAGTTTGGTCAGAACTCCTTTCATTTTGCCGCTGCGAATGACTGGAAGTCCGTACAAAACACGCTCAAATTAACGGACCTCACCTTCCTCAACGTGTCCCTCGCTTCTCTCTCTCGTCCATTTTTACGAAGAACTTCCAGTAATCTGCACAGGATTGCAGTACATTGCTGTACACAAAGCAGATCTCCCACGTTCACCTAGAGAGAGAAACGTGGTTTTGAACTACACTATGTGAATATTTTTGATGAAAATCTTTACTGAAGTTATTAGTCAATGACAAGAGAATTCATGAAGAAAAAGTCTGATCATGTATTAATCACTTACGCCATTTTTGCCATTTTTGATCAGAAAAAAAGCAATTTGAAGACGGGACGCACCGTCATAGTTCTTTTTACATTTTACAGAGTAAATGATTGATCAACAATGAAAATAACCATTACATGCTAAACAAGTTCCAATAAATAGTATATCCAATAAAGCCTCCCACCTCCCAAAATAAAAAATGAATAATAATCACACTACAAAAGTTCATCCAAAATGAAGAGCAGAATTAAACTCCAGTGTTGAATGCCAAAGCACCCAGGAACCCCAAAATAAAAAAACATGAATTCAGCTCGGTTTTTCTTTGTGTTCACAAACTCAATGTCAAGTGCGTCTGATTTGTGTCAGAGTTGAACGTTTTTCTTCTCTGGGTTTCAATCTGCCTGAGTGTGAGTCGGTTGATCTCCGTCGCCTCGGGCTCGACAAGATGGAGCGAATAGAAGAAAACGGTAAGAATTCTGTTGTTGCAGTGGACACCATCAGCATGCAGCTGAACCCCCCCCCTGCATCCACATTTAACAATTCAATCCGCCAAACTACTCTTATTTACAGCACACCGCTTCAACAGCTTCACACTCAACATTCGTTTCGTCCACCAGCCCTGATCCCCTGGTTTCCCACGGCAACATGCACGAAATACACGCGGAACCTTTTAGCAATTGATTGTCGTGAGAGGGAGAATATATATATATTTTTTTAGAGTTCCGATGTCTGAGATGAAATCAGTTAATATGCAGCCAGGGAAACAGGACACGAGTGTGTGGGAATAATAAGAAAAACCGTCGCCCACCATTGCAGGTTCCTGCATCACCGGACAGAGATGGAAGAATGTAAAGTCTGCGGCAAAACTCAACAGAGGTTGAGATCGCAAAGGAAATTATTACAGAATTTCGCTAAAAAGTATTCACATCATAATGAGGTGAGTTCTGTTATGCCTGATGTATTATGCTGCTTAGCCTTCAGGGTCTTCTACATTCAGCACTGAAATAAAAAAAAGATTTTCAGAAGGGGTTTGTGTATTTTATTCTGTCTTCTATTACAGGTCGTTTAATGGACTATACTCTATTTTATAGCCAAATCAATCATCTATGTTCATTTCTTTTATAGCCAAATCAATCATCTATGTTCATTTCTTTTTCTCTGTCAACAGTTAATAAGTAAACTATATGCTGCCTTCAGCAACAACGCCCACCACCGTTATCCAGGAACAAACACCAGAGAAAAAGGCCCAAAGACTGAGATAGTGTTAAACTGTTCGATTGCAAAAGGTCAAATACAAGCCACACGATTTTCCTTTATTTATTATTTAATTATGGTGAACTCATGAACCACTTCTCACTGTGGACTATGTTGCACCGTATAACGGAGCCTTTCTTTTGAGCCTTGTCTCCACAAATCACTCTCGATGGAGGAAAAAAACAACAACATGCCAGAATGTTTCCAGCTGCAATAAAAGCAGGTCCTCAACCGGCCGCATATGTGGGCCTGTAAATGAGTTTGAGGAATATGGCTGCAGATTTGTGTGTGTGGCCATGCGCTGTGTGGTGTGTGTGTACTGTGTGTGGTGCTCACAGAAACACAGCAGCAGAAATGAAACTGTGAAAACAAAGATGGACTCACAGCTGCTGCCGGTTGATCCGGCACATGATTTGGGCAGAGCTGCTGCCTTTGTCAGCTCCCCGGCCAAGTTAATAATACCCCGCTAACACTAAAGATTGGGAACACGAGGTGAGAGCACATCACTGCTCGAGTACGTCAGCTGCTAAAAAATAATGACTTTTCCCCAGATAGAAACACAGTCATGGGTTTTTGAATATGCACGACAAAAACTCCACCGACATACTTGACAAAGCCTATAAAGAGCATTCAGACGGCAACGATGTTAGTCATGTACAGCACGCTTCTTTAGGTCTGGTCTGGCGTGTACGTGAGGATGGTTTCATATAAATGATACATTTAAAAAGGGCCCTTTTAGTGCAACAGCAAAGGTCTGAAGAGGTGGAAATCCAGAGGATTTCACAGACACACTTTAACCTTATTGACAGGTTGGATGGGCGGCTAAAAACCACTAAAACCATGGGCCTTCTTTTTTATTTCCATTCTTTTCCACAGTGCATTTGACAGTTCAGTTAGGGGACTTATTTTGGGGCTGTGAGAAGTTGGATTCTCTCCCAGGTAACAAAAACTGATTTCCAGTCTGACAAACATTGAGTGTCCAATGTACAGCGACAGAGTGTGTAAACCATCTGGAGGGGGAAGAGAAAATGAAACAAGACACATTCAAAAAGAAACAGAAACTTGAAAGAAGCCTTTCGGTTTTTATCAAAGTTGGGTTTTTTTTCCCATTTGAAGCTAAAGTAATACTCCTTCCATTGCGACAAGTCTAGATATAAAAAGGCAGAAGA